GGTGCTGCAGCCAGCGGTTTTCGGAGGATTGCTTCCAGAGGTTTGTGGTCAGATTCTACAATCACACTACGGCCATACATGTATTCGTGGAAACGCTTACAGCCGAATAAAACTGCATATAGCTCCTTTTCTATTTGGGCGTAGTTCACTTCGGTGCTGTTTAGTGATTTGGAGGCATAGGCAATGGGTTTACCGTCCTGGAGGATGACAGCACCGAGGCCGCATTTTGAGGCATCTACTTGGAGTCTGAGTTCTTTTCGTGGGTCAAAGTATGCGAGCACAGGGTGATCTGTTATCAGTTTTTTCGTCTGTGTGAATGCTTTGTCGTGGTTTTTGTCCCATAAAAATTCAATGTCCTGCTTTAGCAGTTGGCGTAGTGGTGCGTTTATCTCAGAGAGGCGTGGTGCGAATCTGGCCAAATAGTTAATCATCCCAAGGATGGTTTCCAACTCCCCTTTGCTTGTGGGTGGCTGCATTTCTTGTATCGCTTTCACCTTCGCCGGGTCTGGCTTGACGCCTTCTCGTGAGAGCGTGTGACCGAAGTAGCTGACCTCTGATACGCATATTTGGCATTTGTCGGGATTTAGCTTTACCCCTCTTTCTCTTGTGCGCTTCAGCATGGCCTTGAGGTTGTTGTCGTGTTCAAGCTTTGTCTTACCGAAGACGAGTATGTCGTCGACGATGGCAGCTACACCTGTGAGGCCTTCATATGTCTCGTCGACGCGCCTTTGGAATTCGTCTTGGGCTGAGTTGATCCCGAATGGTAGCCTCAGGAACCTGTATCTGCCGAAAGGGGTATTAAATGTTGTTAACAGGGAGGACGCTGTGCTCAGCTTTATGGCCCAATAGCCTGATCTGGCATCGAGGACGCTGAAGTACTGCGCTCCGGCGAGCTTTGTGGTGACATCTTCTAGAGTCGGCAAGGGGTAGTGGGGCCTTTTTATTGCCTTGTTGAGGTCCCTGGGGTCCAGGCAGACTCTCAGCTTGCCAGTCTGGGGTTTTTCGACGACTACGAGGGCGTTAACCCATTCTGTGGGCTCTGTCACTTTGCAAATTACATTGTTCTCTTCCATCTTGTCGAGCTCTTTTTTCAGTCTGTCTCGTAGAGCGATCGGTACCCTTCGTGGTGGGTATACTACTGGTGTGGCGAGTGGGTCGATATGGAGGTTGCACTCCCCTGGGAACTCTCCTATGCCCTGGAAGACGTCTGCGTACTCTTTAAGGACGCCGTCTGTGTCTGTGCACGGTTTTGCTTCTTCCTCAGCCACAGCCAGTATCAGTTTGATTAATTTGAGATCTAGACTAGCTCTCATTCCCAGGATGGGGGGCGCTTTGGTGTCTACTATGTAGAATTCGAGTGTAATGGAGGTGTTTTTGTACTTGCACTTTAGACGACAGGTGCCCTTCACTTTCAGGAACTCACCACCATAGCCGGAGATCTTTTGGGTGGTTGGTTTTATGACAGTATCTCTAAACTGTCTTTCGAATGTATGCACGGGAATTGCATTGGTCTGCGCGCCAGTGTCAATTTTAAATTTAACTTTCTGAGTCCCGATTTCAATTTCAGCAAATGCTTGTTCGTTACATTTCCCTGTGTTTTCACTTGTAAGTCCGTCAATAAAAAGTTCTACTTGCTCATCTTCAGTGTCTTCATCCATGGTGTGAATCACTTTCCTTGTGTGCGTGTTTGTGTGTAGTTTTGACTTACAGACTTTTGCAAAGTGATTGAATTTTCTGCACTTCATGCATTGTTTTCCTTTTGCTGGACAGGCGCCTTCTTTGGTGATATGCAGGCCGCCGCATCTATTACATTCTTTTTGAGCTGTGGCGGCGGGCTCTCTCGGCCTGGCTTTGTAACTCGTGCGCGTTTGTCTGTGCTCCGGTCTTCGGGCTATGGCGTGTACCGCGTCGTTGTTGGGGTATTTATTTCCCACCATCTCTTTAAGTTGGACTTGTGCTAGCTCGTGTGATCGCGCAATGTCGATGGCTTGATCTAGCGTTAGCTCCGCGCCGTGGCTGAGTAACTTCTCCCGCACTCGCGGTGAATTTGTAGCGAAAACAATGCGATCTCGCACCATCTCGTCACTATTGGGGTATCCACAGTCCTTTACTAACAGCTTCAATTCCGTAACAAATTGTTCGAAAGTTTCCCCATCCCCTTGCATTTTCTCATGGAAACGATATCTTGCATATATCGGGTTAGACTTTGGTGTGAGATACGCGGTGTACTTATCGTAGTATGTTTGTAGTTTCTTCGCGTCCTCGTCTGTTAGCGTCCATGTGTTGAAGATGTCGCGCCCTTTTTCCCCGATCCATAAGAGAAGATAGCTGCATTTGTCCTGTTCGCGCTTTTCTCGTAGAGGTCCGGAGAATATTAGCTCCGCGTGCTGTCTGAAACGTCGCCACGCTTCTGGTAAGTTAGCTGACTCCCAATCCATCTTGGGCGCTGGGACGCCGAAACTATCCATGTTTCTGTCGGACGTGGGTGCTAGCCTCTACTCTGACACCATGTAATGTTTGCTCACTGGCTAAAACATTTTTATAGAATAACTGGATCGGACACAGACTCTTAGAACTGTCCACTTCCTTTATTCACATCCTAGCAATCCGCAATGACAACACTAAGTCTCGCGATTCTCGTGAAGCTCGCGGGACTTGCCACAGGGCTACGGTGTCCCTTTTGGGACATACAGTCAGGATGTTACAACCATTGGGTGGAATTTTGTAAGACACAATTGGAAATCTACAAGCTCAGCCATGTGGAGAGGATTCTGTTGGAAGAATGTTATCAGGTTTTTTTTTTTTTATCACAGTAACACAGAAGGGTGCCAGCTGTTGGAGATTATGTCAGGAAAGGGAAGCTAATCATATTTTATACAAAATAACTGTATAACTTGAGAATTCTATTTCCATGACCAATGGCATGCTGTTCAGAATGGTGTACTGTAGTAATAGGCATATAATACAGTCAAGCCCAGGCGGTTGGTTTAAGGTTTTTTGGCATCTCCATGTGGTCCTGTTCAGAATCGCAACTTGACTTATGTAAAATGTCTTTGCTGCTGCACTGTACACATACTATAAATACACTGTGAAAAATTAGTTTCTATAATGTTTTTTTTTTTCATTGGTGCTTCTGTGTGTATACATTCATGAAATATCTGGACTCCTTATATAATTTGGTTATTTGGTGTCTCCAAATGTTTTTTTTTTTTTTTGGAAAGACAAAAATTTAACTTGGAAAAAGCTTGCAGTTTTGTCAGAATCACCCTTCAACCTGATAGTTTACTTTTCTGGATATAGCAAATGATGACAAAATGAACGTGAAGATAAACGGTGTATGGTTATTTTCATGATAAGTGTGCAATTAATTAAAATAATGATAACAATCATAAACAAAATTAATCTATTAACGGCCTATATAAATATACTGTATTTGCCCTCTTGTGGTGACAAGTCATTTTGACGTTGTGTTTTAGTTAGTTTTATTTCCTTATAAATCTTACCTGGTTGTGTTGTTTTGTATCCATAGAGCTTGAAAAGGACTATGAGGAAAACCAGAAGGTATTGGAAGGCAAAGCCAGGCAGCTGGATGGCCTTGAAGACAAAATGAAGGCAATCCTGAATGCTATCAATAAACAGATTCAGATCTACAACACCTGTCAATAATCCATCAAGGAAGGAAGCCCACCTCCTGGACTGCTGCTGTCTCTGAAATTCACCTTTGGCTCTGCTATTAGATTTCACAGGCTGCTACAAAAAAGCTGTTTGCCAACAAACCTACAAGACAATGACAAACTGCCACCAGACACGATGTCACGATGCAACAAATGTTGTTTTGATGAAGGTTTTCTGTCAAAAGACACTACATTAACCTATTTTCATTAATGATTGTGTTTTTTGTAAGGCAGAGCAGTATTATTTCTTGTTTTTAGAAATTTGCTTGTAAAATACTGTATTCAGTATGCTGAAGTTACTGACTTTGCTTGAATGTAAAATACACTGTATCGTGGCACGGAAGTAGAGTGTATAGATTTTCTGCTTGCCCTTTTTCTTTTGAAACAGGTATTGCTTGGAATTTTATTAACACTCATTTTCTGAGAAACACTTCACATTTGTTGTCTTCTGAGAAAATAGATTCTATAATAGGCTGAATATCTAAGAGAAACTACTGCAACAATGGACTTTGTTAAATGAAGTTAAATGAGTTAAGTTGTCCATATCATTGGTTGTGTATGATGTACATTGATTTACATCATGTTTATTCTTGAGTATCAAATAACAACACTTAATAAAAATGAAAATGAATAATATTCCTATATCTGATTTCTTGAATGCTGTCTACATCTAAACCCAATAAATAAAAAAACCAAAAACGTTTGAACACCAACAGATACAAAATTATTGTGACAAACATGTATTATAAATATCTAGTATTCACTTCAAAGAAGGAAACAAGACTGCAGGGTGGTTTTAAATAGATTTTCAGCTCCCTGGGTTGAAAATAACCATGTTGCAACTCACAAACATATTAAATGCAAGTGCTGTTTTTATAAAATAGAACCTAGCCTACTTAAAATGAAAGAAAAATATATATTTCGAATAACAGTTCATTATACATGCATAAGACTTTTTAAAATGTTTTTTTTTTCTTTTCTTCTGCTCATTATGGCTGCATTTAATGGTGTAAAATGAGAGGGGGGGGGAATATTATGAAATTATACTATTTAAAATAACTGCTTTCTATTTTATATATTAAAAAAATTATTCATGTGATGAAATAAATTACATTTAAAACAATTTAGCAGCCACAGTGTCTCATTCTAAGGTAATAAGTTGTGCTGCTTAATATTTTTGAGAAAACTGTGAGACATTTTTTATTTAGAAAATTATACATTCAAAAGAACAGAATGTAGGCCTATTCTGTTCAAAACAATAGTTTTCATCTGCGCATGTTTGTGAGCGCACAGGGACCAGAGCGTCCGGAAGTGGCCCGTGTGTGTATGTTTGTGTGTGGAGCATGCATTTTGGCGTGATCGCCGTCGCTACCCGGTTTTTTTTTTTTTTTGTTCTCTAACAAAGTGTGAGTTACAGTGAACCGGTCGGGTCATAAAGTGAAGGACGGGCAACGTCTCTGCGTTTTTGTTTGTATTTACATCAGCTTGCTTTCTGTTTTAACACCACAAAATGGGTCCTGGTTAGGATTATGGATCTGGAAATAAAGAAGCATTGAGTTTGCAGGGGCGAGCTGATGCGGCTCAGTGGAGATCGGCGGCCCGCAGCCGTGTTCGAAGCCTGGTGCTGAATTAAGTTAGAGTCGCTGCGGCTCCGCTAACGAAAGAAAGGACAAGTCGTTGCGTCTCATCAGATCAGAACAGCAACGAAACAAAGTAAGATTTCAACTAAACAACTGCTGTCATTTCAAAATATCGTAAAATTCCCTTACTTCTCTTGCTGGTATGCACACTTTTGACTATACCGCACAACCCGACCTAGCGGGTGAAGTGTTCAGGCTCTGTAGAAGCTAAGCGCGTGATTAGCGGTGCAGTCGCGGCGCAGCGCGAGAGGCCTCGCGTCTCGGTTCCCTTTAACCGACATTTAGCTCGCTCTCCACACAACTCGGCTAACCGGCATCTCCAACAACCAAACAACACTGATAAAATATTTCACACTTCGTAGAAATGATATTTAGCAGCATTAGAACAAGGTTAACGTTAAGTGACAGTTTGTTGGTGAAATGTTTTGATATAAAGAGAACTTGCGGGTTGAATATAGTCGAACAGGCTAAGCTAGCGGCATTAGCAATCATTATGGTGGTTTAAGCTGCTTGTGTTTCCATGAATATCGTTTTCTCGCATGACAAATGAAATGGAAAACAACAGGGATTATAGAAATGACTGAAGTCAAAAATATCTTCTCTTTCACAAAATTCGCCACATTGGGATAATGACATCGAAGAGTAAGTACAATGACAGTAACCGGTGTTTTGTGGCTTGACGTTTTCTAATAAACTCACTAATCAGTGTTCACTAATCAAAAAGGTTTATATGAACATTTGAGTGTCCGAGCACATAGTTTTTTTTGTTTGTTTTTTATAAATAAGAGGTGCGTTTTCATTTTTAAAGACATTCGAATTAATAAACATGACCGTACTAGAATAAACAAAACACCCTTTGTTTAACATATTCAACAAATACGAAAAGAGAAGATCAGATCAAACTTATGTAGAAATTGTCTTCCATTTGGGGCATTTGCAGTTGATAAAAAGTTTGAAAAAAAGGTTGCAGTTGATATTGTAAAAATGCTTCATGTCCTAATTAATTATATGAGATCGTGGCTTAAGAATCACAATAATATCTTGGTTGATTCCCACCCCTACCACCTAACCCTTACATGCATGGCTGTTGTTTTTGTTTGCAGTCTCCCTCTGATTCTCTTCTGGGAGTGCTCACACTTGAAACGCCGCCAAGATAGCTGGACCAAGCAGGAAACGGCCCAGCTCAGATCCAGATCCCTGTGGAAGCAGCTCCGGCAGTGGGAGCGAGGTAGGAGACGGCCGACCCATTAGCGGCAAGTGGTTGAAGATGGCCAGCAGCAGTACAGGACCCAGTGAATCTGGCCGGAGGCGAGGTCAGAGAGGACCTGACGATGCGGTCAGCACCAGCAAGAAGAAGCAGAAGGACAGAGTCAACCAGGAGAGCAAGGAGGCCAAGCGGGCAGCTTCAGCCAACAGCACAGACACTAGGAAAGGTGAGGAGAGGATATGGTTTGTAAACACTCAAATTAGGTCTGAATTTCTTTATCTCACTCAGGTCCTTTTCCTCAATTCATTTTATCATATTCATCTGTCCTTTCGCTTGGTGGTGTTCTGCCTGGAGCTCAAGCCATTGGTTGGGACCTAGACAGATATTTGAATCATATGCTTGGGCAAGAATATAATGTGGGAAAATTGTTTTACTGCAGTGGTATCTAATGTAACATGAGCCGATAGAAAGCGTCTGTGGTGCAGTGTCCTTTTGACTGTTCTAAAATGCAGTCTGGCCCGTAGCTAGAGGTTAAAGTCATTAAAGATATAGTCCTTGTCCTGTTTTCATTTGCAGAGCTGGGATGATTCCCATCTGTTGACATAGTGTGGTAAACGGGGAACTGGGAAAGATAACAGACATTAACTCTGTTAAACGTACTGAACTTACATAATTGTTCTGCTATGGTAGTCCCTATTGATTTAGCTATGCCACTACTTCTATAGCTAGCCTATTTAATTGGTTGTTGTTGTGTGGCATTAGAAGCATGGTATTGTGAATCCAGTTTCATTTAGGCTAACATTTCTATTAATCATCGTATGGTAATTATCTTTGAACAAAACAAAGTGATAGTGAAAGTTAAACTACAACAATAAGGGTATTTCGAATGCCGTGATCTCAGTTGTTTTCACAGGTATGATTTCACATTGCTGACCGCTGTTTAAATGAGCCTTATTTTCCCTGTTGGATGATTATGAAAGTCCATATGTGATCATTTGTTTGGTTAGTGATGGCTTTTCAATCATAAAAGTTATCATATCCTTGGCATTCATGGTGAATCTTAATCTTAAAGTATATGGCGGCAGCTTCTTAGACTTTGTTTAATATACTTCAGTTGACCAGACAAGAGATATATCGATTTTGCTTTATTACCTTTACAGATTGTTTTTGTTTAGCTTGCAGATAACTGTAATGCAGAACTATTGTTTTATTTCTACTTTGACCATAAGTGAATTAGTACTGTTTAAATTGTAACCTAAATAGTCATGCTTTTCGTAGTTGTTTTGCACTAATTATTAAGCTGCACAATTATGGGAAATTTATTTATTTTTTCTTTATCTCACAATTCTGACCATTTTCTCTCACAATTGCAAGTTTGTATTCCACAATTTTGAGAAAGTCGACTGACAGTTCTGACATTTTTCTTGAAAATTCTCACATTTCTGACTTAAAACAAAAATCTGAATTACGGATTATAAACTTGCAATTGTGAGAGAAAATAGTAATTGCAAGAAAAAAAGTAAATTGTAAGCTAAAATTCTCTATTACCTTTTTTATTTTTTATTCAGTGGCGAAAACAAGGTTCCATGCATTTCTAACTTGAGAATTAATGTCTGATATTTAATAATACTTGTTGGCATTTTGTTGACACACATCAGTTTTTTTTAAATGCATGTTAGTGATCTTTAATGTTTTATCCATGGATACGATTCTAATCTTTTGACCTTGTAACTTAAAGTATCACAACTTGCCTAAGGTGGCATATGCCAGACTTCTTCAATCATTTAATTTACATAAAACCTGCCTCTTTCTTACAATCCGCAAGATTGTTTTCAGATCTGCCTCCATCCAAACAACAACCTATAGATTGAAAAAAATCCCCCGCCCTACTTTTTTTTAATTTAATTTTATTATTTTTTATATATATATATATATATATATAACCGGTTCACTCGTATGTTCTTCACAATACAGAATCAAAACATTCACACTTGCATCTACTGGTAGAGTTTTCAGTTCACGATTGTCATTGATCATTGAGACACGTGACTACAGGTTTGACTAACGTACTTTAGCTTTTTTTTGTCTCAAGCGTGGCAGCCTGTGCCCTGTCTGCTGAGTGTTTTGCCTCTGCTGTACTGAGTGCTGAAGTGTTGTAATCCAAGCCTGTGAGTCTCTGCTTCAGTAAAGAAGTGCTTTGTCAAGGTCAGTGGAGTGACTCTGCCTGGCACATGCATGAGAAGACTTCACTCCTCCCTCAATGGCCTCTCTACATGCATTCGATACGGGTGCACCATTGTCTTTCTCTTGTCGAAATGTCATGTTTCAGAGCACCATCCCTACACAAACAGCGGGACAGATGATTCCTGTCATGTAAGGGTGGGATATTGGCAGAGGGGAGATGACATCACGTGGAAAAGAAACCCGGGTGTGGGGCGTTGCAGCGTCTTCATGACCTTTTAGATCTGTCACAGTGAGAGAGAGTAAAGGGACGGGACTAGCTGTCACTTGATCCTGAAGCCTGATCCTTAGCGATAAACACGCTCTCTTTCTCGCTCTTTCCTGCTCTCTCTGACCTGCTGGCTCACACGCACCTATGTTAAACTCAATAACTGTGCAGTTTGAAATCAAAGGGAGTTGGGCTTTCTGCTATGACTGGCTATCAGATTGTGTAGCGTTATCATGAAATCAGGTTTGATTTTTGTTTTTTAATTCATTTCAACTCATTGTTTTCTCTGTACATAAATGTTCTTGTGCTTTCCCTCTGCTAATGGAATAATACTTTTAATTACAGTCAGGGTTTTCTTCAGTGATATTAAGTAAAGTGTTTGTAATGGATCCAGCTTTACATGAATGTACATTTTTCTTTGTAGATTTGTTTCTGGACTGGAAGCAGAATGCATATGAGGTGATTGTGAGGCTAAACTGTGGAGATGCTGGAGTGCTGAGAGTAGAAGATATCGATTCTGCTTTTTCCGATTCTGCCTGCCACATCCGCTTGCCGGGTAAGGACAGTATGTGTGCTTGTGACCATCGTATTTGGTCCATGTTTGTCTTTTTTGTTAGTGTGTGCTTGCCATTTGTTTGTGAGTGTAATGTATACTATTTTTCAGAAGTTTGGGTCAGTAAGATGTGTTTTTTTTTTTTTTTTCATTGAAGGAAATTGATACTTTTATTCAGCAAGGAGCATTACATTTATCAGAAGTGACATTTTTAATGCTACAAAAGATTTATTTTTCAAATAAATTAACTTTCCATTCAATTCAAATTTGTATAGCGCTTTTCACAATTCAAAGGAGCTAATTTCAGAAATGTACATAGAAAAAAATACAGTTAGTTAATCATATATTAATTTAGGGCATAGGGCATTGAGTCGTCTCTTCAAAGGCGTTTAGTCATCTCAACGCAGGTGTTGGGCATCTGTGTCTCTGTGAGAGGCTGGATACAAACTGGAGCTGACGAACGCTATTTACCGAACGATAACAGCAGAAAAGCAGATTGGAAATATTTAGCATAGCTACTTTTCAAAATATTAATACATTCGATCTGATTCAACAGTGGTATAAAAGATAAGCATTATGTGAATGCTTGGCTAAAGAGATGCGTCTTTAATCTAGTTTTAAGTTTCACAAAAGTAGTAAGCTTGAGCAGTAAGTAGAAAAGTAGTAAGCTTGAGTAGTAAGTAGAAACTTGATTTCACAATCAAGTTTCCACAAAAATAGTAAGCAGCACCATTGACATTGATAATAATAAGAAATGTTTCTTGAGCAGTAAATCAGCATATTAAGAATGATTTCTGAAGGATCATGTGACACTGAAGATTGTAGTAATGATGCTTTACATCACAGGAATAAATGTTATTTTAAAATATATTAAAGGTGCATTGCGCAAGTCTCTTCAGTTTTTGCAGAACTACACCTCCTCTGGCGACAAGCGAAACTGCAACCAGAGGTACACACTTATGTGTAAAGGGGAAAACGGGGGTAGTAGAAAACTTCGGTTTTTGTTTCCATCTATCTCCATGGGGTTTGGAATGAACTACAAGCTGGTCTCTTTGAAACCATATTTTACTTTTGTCGAAAGTCCACTAAAGTTTTGTCGCTCGAGTTGTCTTCGCTGATACGGAGAATGGCGGCGAATACACCTGCCAGACACTAGCCAGGTGAGCGTGAATGCGCATGACGTCACGCCCAGTGTCAAATTCCGTCCTGAATCTATCTTATTTATTTTACTGTAAAGGATTATAGAGGCAAACGCAGTGATCAGAGAAGGGCTCATTCAGCCCATCAGGCATTTGTTTAGTTATGTATGGGTTAGAAAAACTGGTGCTTTTAATATGAAATGTTGCTCAATGCACCTTTATAATAGAAAACAGTTATTTTAAATTGTAATAATATTGCTCAAACCAGACGCGCTCAACTACCAAGATGTTTGTGGGTGGCAGTTATAAAACAGTAATCAAAATAAAGATGAAAAACCGCACTCTCTAGTTGAATCTCATAAATATTTATTTTCCATGTCCACACAGACACGTTTCGGCCTAAGCCATCATCAGTTTCGGCCTAAGCCATCTCACTCACCGATGATGGCTTAGGCCGAAACGCGTCTGTGTGGACATGGAAAATAAATATTTATGAGATTCAACTAGAGAGTGCGGTTTTTCAATTGTAATAATATTTCACAATATTACTGTTTTTATTGTATTTCTGGTCAAATAAATGAAAAGCCTAACAGACTTATTTCAAAGACATAAAAAAAATCCTACCAACTCCAAACTTTTGAACATTAGTGTATGTGCTGTAATGTTTGTGTGTTCTCAGATGGCCGTGAATGGAGCTGTCATCTCCACGAAGAGATTGAAGGCTCCTGCAGTAAATTGCTTTATAAGGAGAAAACAAATGTTCTGCAGCTTGTCATGCACAAGAAGATCCCCCTCAACACCTGGCCCACCTTCGCTGTAAGAACACCTGCTCACTCTTATTTGCTCTTTTTCTCTTGTTGACCATTAAAAAATTTTTTTACACTTACCACTAATTTAACCTATTTTTTTTTTGTTGGGCAGAGATACAGTTTTTAAACTTTTTTTACATTTTTAAAAACTAAACTTGACTAATCTAATGCAATTTCTTTATTAGTCTATTTACACGTCGCTTTTGAGGGTGTTTAAAAATGTCATTAATTAAATTTATGATTTAAAGGTTTTTGAAAAATTGTTGCAAACTAATTAATATCATTATTTAATAATAAATATTTCGTTCCAGGATATTAAAAAATAAATAAATGCGAATACACAAGATTTTATCGTTCCAACTACTGTAGTTTTAATGTTGCTGTGAGTGTTAATGAAACTCACTGAGCACTACACCAGTCTGGAGTCTCATGAGCTTTGAAGAATATGAGGAGAAGTGACAACAATGAAATAAGAAGACCAGGCCTGGGACATTTAAGTTGTTGTTTTGTATGGGTAGCAGTCGGCTATGAAGCAACTGCCGTTTACTTTCCCATCACATCTTCACTTTAACTCCGAAAAAATCTGAATCAGAATGAGCTTTATTTATGAGCAGCATTTAATGTGGCATTTTATTGTTTGATTCAGAAATTAATAGATAATATAAATGCACCTTAAGAGGGTTTCTTACTTTTAGACTAGTCGGTTACAAAACCTTAATTGAAATGTCAGATTAGTTGATGCGCACATTACTAATATAATTCTGATAGTATGATATGGGCTATATAAGTAATTAGGACTATTAGAAAGTTTTAAAAAGTTATAGTTATTTCCTGTTGGTCTGAAAGAGCAATGTCAGAACTGTGTGGCCATGCACACATGAGCATTCATGAATTTTTTCCTAGTCCGAGATCCCTCAGACAAGTTTTATTTATTCATGTTCCCCCATTAAACAGAACAAGAAAAAGACTGAAGCGGTGAACATCCTTACAAAGAATGGCAGCAACCACCCGCAGTTAACCACAGGGCGGTCTGAAAAATCTGCCGAAACCATTGAAAAAATGCCCCCAGTGACTTCTGCTGAGCAAAAACGAGGTAAACCCGACCGAGGGTTGAAACGAGGGATGAAAGGCAAACAGGTGGAGCTTACTGAGAGCACAGGCGTGAAGGCTGCAGAGATTAAATCAAGCGATAAAGCAGACCCGATTAATGAGCCCAGCGCAAAGCGCACCACACGACCCTCTAGAAACACAAAGGAGCCCCCTCTAGCTCCCTGCTCCTCGAAGGAGTCTCAATCCAAACAAGTAGTCAATGGCAAGACACACTCATCAGCAGTAAGCAGTGGTGCCTCGTCATCTAGCAATGCAAAAGACAACAGGGCTCAGATGCAGGTCAAAGGTCAAGCATGCCAGGCATCGCAGGGAGAAAAAGTGGACAGGAGGTCAAAAAGCAATGCTCAGGTGAGACTTCACTCAAAAATGAAAATAGTCAGCAGGAAACAGAATGGTGGAAAGAGTCTCTCACATCCTGGGGTGCCTTTTTATGGTGTTGTTTACAGGTTGAAGCGGATGATAGCAAGATTGCGTCCTCTGTGCGTGAGCCGAAGGTGACACAGCAGGAGAGTTGTTCTTCTCCCGTGCAAACAAGCTCTGAAAAAATAGCATCAGATCAGACTGAGGAAAAGAAGCCACAGGCTGATACCCAGATCCCTAAAATGCTTCCAACTCATGATTCAGGGTCTGGGGGGCCTGTGTCAACATCCTCAAAGAGAGAAGAGTCTCCTCAGAAGAGCTGCTCAGAGGAGAAGAGGGACAAGTCCAAGGAGGAGCCATGTGGAGGGAACCATGAGGAGGATACAGGAGGTCAGTTAAGAACATTTGTAATATATACTGTGACGTAATTTTTCAAAAACATAAAAAAAATCTTACTGGCCCAAAACCTTTGAACTTTTATTTTCTCTCTCATGACTGATTTGTTCTAAGGTCCGGAGCCGATGGTGAACTTGAAGTTGGTGAAGAATGACTCGTATGAGAAAGGAACAGACCTGATGGTCGTTAACGTCTACTTGAAAGAAATTTGCCGGCAGACCTCCAGGGTGCTGTTCAGGGAACAAGACTTTACTCTTATCTTCCAGACCAGGTAAGAGATTCATCCACAGACATGAGTTTCCTCATGCGTAACTCTTTAAGTTTCCATTCATTTTTTAAACTGTCCACAGTGATCCCAACTTTTTGCGCCTTCATCCGGATTGCGGACCAAACACCGTCTTTAAATGGCAGGTTAAACTCAGGTAAGATTGTCTAATGGTCATCCTAATCTTCGTCGATCCACTACTAGCCAAGAGTGCATTTCTGAGGGTTTCATCTGCTGATGTTTCAGGAATCTAATCCAGCCAGATCAGTCCAGCTATGCCTTTACTCCGTCCCGAATCGACATCACCCTGAAGAAAAGACACAGTCAGCGCTGGGGGGGTCTGGAGGCCCCTGCCACACAAGGTCTGCTGCCTGGATTCTCTTTGCTTCTGAACTCTCTTTTACAAACTAATGCACATGAATTTGTCTACATTTCATGATTTCTTGCATCTCCAAAGCGATCGCTGCCTGAACAGTGTTTCCATGACTAAAGACCTGTTCTAAAAATCGTTCTTAATATTAAAGAATAGCAGTTCACACCACAGCTGTAATGATATAGAGAAACGATCACTTTCTGGACTGTTGTTTTCCCAGCTCTTGTACGATAAATCACTGACAGCCAATCAGAAACCATTCTAATTTAAGTGCTCACGCATTTAAAATGGCAGACAATATTGCGGAAGTTAATCTCAGAGGTCCAGAAAAATCCACCACTGTTTGACAAGTCAAGCCCATTTTCAAGAAAATGGATATGGAAAACAATCGTTCATACCCTCTGAATAAACGGTGAGAAGTATTACCTCAAGTATCCAGTGCTTGTTTCAACAACATCTTGTCTTGCTTCCTTTGAAGTTGCGGTGAAAAAGACGAGGTGTTGTTTTTATTCCGATATATTTACTGAATGCGTCAGCTAAATTCTGATTATTAGATCGATTACACATTAGCATGATGAGGACTGACTTGTGACTTGCTCTGATATGTGTAATAGGGAGCACACATTATTATTACTGTGGAAAAGCTGGACTGTTTTTGTTTATATGCTGAAATGAGTGAACCAGTCAAGAAAAGGAATGTGACTACAGGGAGTGATCTAGTAACTTGATACGAGCGTGAGACTGGGTCAAGCCAAATGTGCCAGTGTGTTCTTGACTTCTTGTCTTTATGCCAGACTCCTGACCCACACTGCTCTACATATCCTAGTCTCAAATTTAACTACCACTTCAATTTTGCTGTTTACTAGGGCTTTGCCAGTCCAAATATAATAAATAAACAATTAAAAAAAAAAAAATATATATATATATATATATATATATACACACATTGTTATAATGAAATTTGAAATTTAATTGCATCATAAGGTGGTTTCCAAATACCCAGTCTAACCTTTTACAAATTTAAGTTATAATTTTTCAGTTGCGGTTATGTTATAACAATATATACACTACCGTTTGAGACCCCACCCCTTTTCAGCGCTCCACTCGTTGTCTTTTATCTTCCAGTCTGTATTTTCACTGTGATCGTGCCTATTTATGAATGAACGGCTCGTTTTAAAATCTACCTATCTTATAAATCTACCTACTTATAATCTACGGTCTACTTACATTTTTTAAGACATCTGCTTTAAACATTACAATCCTCATGATAACTTTCATTAACTTATAATTTAATTAAGTAAATCCACTTCAAAAGCGAATTACTCCTGGACAGCAATGCCATAGAGATATACAGAGCGACCACAAAAACAGAAGTTCAAAGACAATATTCTAAAGATGGCGGCGCCCTTGTTTCTCTGGTGCATATTGTCTATAAGAATCCTGAAAAAAATGCATCATAGTTTCCACAATAATATTAAGCAGTACAACTGTTTTTAACATTGATATTTATAAGAAATTATTGAAGATTGAAGCTATGACTTTTAAATGCTAACCATAAGCTCGTTTGTCTATTGTCTGTTGTCTATTGTTTAAGGTGCAGTGGGGGGCGCCAAGGTTGCTGTGCCCTCCAGCCCTTCCACACTTGAGAAGAGTCAGCCAGGTAGCAGCCAGCATGCACTTCCTGCTAAAGAAGAACCACGTGTGGGAGAGGAGAAAGCCAAACCCCCTCGAGCCCCAGAGGACTCCGGCCTGGATGCGGTGGCCCCTCGCTCAGTCCAAGAACAAATGTCCCTAAAACAGGAACCAACTGTTGCAACGGTACTATAGCCGACAATAAGGAATGTGTCATCATGTTCATGTCACATATGATAATCTAGTGGGCCATAACTGCTCTCAAGCCTGTTAGATATGACTTGTCTTTTCGTCTGTCCACAGCCCAAGCCCACCTGCATGGTGCAGCCCATGACTCACACTCCTCCTGCAGGCAGTGAGAGAGCTGAAGAAGTGGAGGAGAAGAAAGTGTGTCTCCCTGGCTTCACTGGACTGGTCAATCTGGGAAACACTTGCTTTATGAACAGTGTGATCCAGTCCCTCTCCAACACACGGGAGCTCAGGGATTATTTCCACGGTCAGTGGTATTTTCATTGATGAGAATTGATACTTTTCATATGGTTGTATATCTTACCCAGCTATGTATTTTTGTGGTGTTTGTTTTCAGATAGGGGGTTTGAGTCGGAGATTAACTGTAATAACCCATTGGGCACGGGTGGACGACTTGCCATTGGCTTTGCTGTTCTACTTCGAGCGTTGTGGAAGGGCACTCATCATGCATTTCAACCCTCCAAATTAAAGGTATCCGTGCAGAACCAAATGGTCCTGTTGTACCAGATCTTGTAGTTTTCCATATGTGATTGTTTAAAAAACCCATAATGACCGGGTGTTGTTTCATTCCTTTTCATAGGCTATAGTTGCCAGTAAGGCAAGTCAGTTTACAGGCTATGCGCAGCACGATGCTCAGGAGTTTATGGCTTTCTTGCTGGATGGGCTGCATGAGGACCTGAACCGCATTCAAGACAAACCATATACAGAAACCGTTGACTCAGACGGCCGTCAGGATGAAGTGAGTTCTTGATTTTTGAAGTTTTACAATTCAAGTTTCACGTTTTAAATCAAGTTTTACAATTGACAAATGTAAGCGTTCTCATTAGTTGTATCAAGCTTTAGTCTCTGCACTTTATCAAGTATGGTTACAAATGTGCTAAACGGTGTTCTTGTTTATTGTTTGCCAGGTTGTTGCAGAAGAGGCATGGCAGAGGCATAAAATGAGGAACGATTCATTCATTGTTGACCTCTTTCAGGGCCAGTACAAGTCAAAGCTGGTGTGTCCAATGTGTTCTAAGGTAATGCATCAAGAGCAAAACAAGTTCTATGATTAGGGTGACTAGATTTCTCATGGTGGAATAGGGAGAGGATGGACTCGATATTTAAACCGGTCTAAATTGAGTCAAAGTGGTCCCCAGTTTAGAGCTTCTTTGTGTGTATGGAAATGTTTATTACTTTTGATGATGTTGGGCAGATGATGTCCAGTATCTATTAGCAGTATGGTTGTGGGAGTTTATTCATTTGTTCTATCTTTCTTTCTTCTATTTTTAGGTTTCCATAACCTTTGACCCCTTCCTGTACTTGCCTGTCCCTCTACCTCAGAAGCAGAAGGTGCTGACTGTTTTCTATTTCGCTAAAGAGCCTCACAAGAAACCAGTCAAGGTAAAAACAGCATCAAAATCTGAAGTTCCTTAGCAAGCCTGAGCAGGGTTTTACCTGTTCATTTTTATTTAGATGGGCAGTCTCGTTTTATTGATATTTGATATAAAACATTTCCCCTTTGCCAAACATTTGTTTAGTTTTTGGTCAGTGTGAGTAAAGAGAACTCGAGCACGACTGAAGTTCTGGATTCAATATCTCGCAGTGTGAGGACCAAACCAGAGAATCTGAGGCTGGCAGAGGTATGATAATTCTCATCTGAACCCTTCATCTGCTCTTGTTTGATCCATGTTTTTTGTCAAATTATCTAGAGGCAAACTTTTTATTACTTTTTTACTTTAATGCCCCAGAAAGTTGTCACACATTAATTTAAACATGAGCAATATGAAATTACTATACATGTTGTTTCTGTTCTAAAATATTTAGAGGGTTGATTTGGAAAATATGCTGGTGTGTATGGCTGCTCTATTATGGTCAAAATCCTAATTATAATTTTCCTACAGTAGATGTAATATGTTGTAGAGCTCTGCCATATTCTAATGAAAACTCCAAAACTAAATAATTGTCTTTACTTAAATATTTCTATTTTTTTCTTTTGATCGATTATATTTCTGTGAAAATAATAAGAGAACACCAGATTTTTAAATCAACAGTCCAAAAGAGGGCGCCATGATACAATGTTAATTATTAAAAAAAAAAAAAACAATTAAGTTTAAAAAATCAAAAGATTTCATCTTGGCTCTCAGGTCAATTCCATTGAATTCATGCTTGAGGAATGCTGAAGGAAATCCTTGACATTATTGATCGATTGGATTATTTGAAATTTGAACTGTTCTTTTCTTCTCCAAAAAACATTACTACCGTACATTGTTAATATCTTGCTTGTCTTCTTTGTCCACAGTAACTTTGCAAAACAGAATATGCCACAATATTAGTTTCATCTTGATTGTCTTGTTTTTATAATCGGTGGAAGCCAGAATCGTAATGAAAGTTCTATTTAATTACGACTTGTGATATTCCTACATTTTGTACGTCATTTATAAGCCTCTATATTTTCTCTCAGGTGGTGAAGGGTAGATTCCACAGAATCTTTTCATCATCTCAATCTTTAGATACGGTCTCGTCCAGTGACCTGCTCTTCTGCTTTGAGATGTTGTCTAAAGATCTCGCCAAAGAGAGGGTGGTGCTGCTGAAAGTCCATCAGGTACACCATTTCCATCACTCATTTTTTCTTAGGTTTTGTGGGTTTGTGTCAGCATTGTTGAAGTGTAATGATTGTGTCTTGGTATTAATCTTCAGAGACCTCAGGTTCCTAGTATACCAATCACAAAGTGTGCTGGCTGCCTGAAGCCTCCTGCCTCTGACGATGAGAAGCTTAAGCGCTGTACTCGCTGTTACCGTGTTGGCTACTGCAATCAGTGAGTTTGCATCTGTTGATTAGAAGCATCTGTTGTTGGCTCTGAGATCATGCTTAGGATTTAGAGACTGTGTATTGGCTTAGTTGGTGGTAAGTTTCTTTCCTCTGATTACAGGGCCTGCCAGAAAAACCACTGGCTTAATCACAAAACCATGTGCCGGCCCAATGTGGAGAGTATTGGACTGCCGTTTTTAATAACTGTGCCTGAGTCTAGGCTGACCTACACCCGCCTCACACAGCTTCTGGAAGGCTACTCTAGGTATAATTACACTAGATTGTTGACTCATTTGTGTATTTTGGTTAGTGGGTCAGCTTTAGAAGTAAGGGGAAGTTTACACGACAGCAATTTTCAAGTTAAAACGGCTAACCTTTTATCCATTTTGGCCCTTCATTTACACCACAGTGGCAATCTGGAGCCCTGGCAATGCAATTTTTGAAAACGATAGCGTCATCGCCTCCATGTAAACTACAAAAATACAAATTTGTGAAATTTATGACGTTACACTCATGTATATTATGTGTTCAGTCTACAGGCACACAAACAAATTACAAATTGACATCGCCACCTTTTGGCCTGGCAGCATATTAGTGTTTTTAATCTTTTTTCGCTGTGTACGTGAAAAAATGCAAAATAAAAGCTTTTCCATCGTTGTCGTGTAAACGCACCCTAAGTGCAATCATAGCATTTTAGTTTTTTTATATTGTTTTTTTTTATAGTATTTATATTTTGTTTTGTGTGAACATTTATTGTATGTTTATTTATTGATATCATGTATTTATAAATTATTTATTTGTCTGTATATTTAATAGCATTTATATTTATTATAAATATATGCTTTATATTTTTGATAGCATTTTTGTGATCATTTTGTATTTGTATTCATTAGGTTAGCAATTATTGATGTAATTTATATATATATTATTTGTCTATTTTATAGCATTTTATTTATTTTCATAGCATTTTTTATATTTTTAGTTTTATATAATTTATACATTTTTATTTACTTATTTTCTAAAATGAAGAATATGTTTATTATTTGGTATATTTTTTACATATTTAATATGTCTAGTTGTAGAATTTATTGGTGACTTTTATAAATGTATTTGTCTGATTATTTTTTATAGTTTATATCAGTTTTATATCTTGTATACTAATTTTTATGAAAATAATTTTACTATGTTAAATTTGTGATAACAGTTTGTAGGATTTTTTTAATTTGTCTATTTATAGCATTTACTTATAAATCATTAAATTTAATTATTATTTTTAATAAAATAATTCATTTTATGAGAAGCATTTTGATAAGTACTTTTAGCAAATAGATTGGAGTAAAAGAAAAAAACTAGGAACCAGCAGCACGGTGTAACCGTTCATTTCTATGTGCAGGTACTCTGTCAATGTGTTCCAGCCTCCTTTCCAGTCCGGTAGGACGTCCCCAGAGGCCAGCCTGTCCCGCGTTGACCTGACCTCCACGGCGAGTAGTGCCTCAGAGTTTAAACAGAAGGAGGAAGAGCCGACAGGAGAAGCAGAAAACCTAGTGGAGCAGGGTGATTCTGTCACAGCCCCGCACACAGAGACCGTGTCTACTCTCATCACAGCAGATGGGGACACCCTCTCCACACGCACCACTGACTCGGGATACTGTGAGCTTGCCACCAGCTCCAAAGATTCTTTGGTGGAGAAAGAAACATCATGTGAAAAGGCTATTAAACCAGAAGGTATGTTGCTCTAAAGATCTTTTCTGAAGTCTTTGTTTGTTGTGGAGGAACAGTCCATCATTGTATGTTCATTGGTAGCTATAGTGACTGGGTATCAGCAGCCTTCAGCAGAGTCTGGAAGTGGAAGTGCGTCTCAATTCTACATCAGCATTCTGGAAGCAAACCAAAAGGAGGACAAAAAACTTGAGGACAAAGGTTAGTCAGAGGTTTTTGGATGGATGTGTTTTTTTTTTTTAAATGCTGGTGTTTTCATCATCTTGGCGCCACCTACAGGTGATGTGGTACTGGAGCTGCCTGATGACTGCACGCTGGAGCTGGTGTGGAAGAACAATGAGCGGCTGAAGGAATATGTACTGGTGCGCTCTAAAGAGTTGGAGTTTGATGAAGACCCAGGCTCTGCTACGGAAACATCCAGGGCAGGACACTTCACTTTAGAGCAGTGCCTGAATCTCTTTACCAAACCTGAGGTGCTGGCACCTGAAGAGGCATGGTACGGACACACACGTCAATTTCAAACTCTTGAAGCATGAAGTACAGTTAACAAGACGTTTATTGTGCCCCATTATGCTTTTTGGATTTGATTCCGAAATGAGTCGTCAGCAATTCCAGTCTCACTTTCTGTTACAAACCTACATAGGCCCATTTAAATCTTCTTTTGTTGTGGTTCAGGTACTGTCCTAAGTGTCAGCAACACAGGGAGGCCTCTAAACAGCTGCTGCTTTGGCGCCTTCCCAACGTGCTCATCATCCAGCTTAAGCGCTTCTCATTTAGGAGCTTCATATGGAGGGACAAGATTAATGATATGGTCGATTTCCCAGTCAGGTACACTCAAAGTCTCAGATATTCACTTGCACAGGGGTTCAAAAGTTTTGAGTCTGTGAGATTTAAAAAAAAATGTTGTTAGTCTTGAATGCTCACCCATGCAACATTAATTTGATAAAAAATACAGTAAAAAAGTAATAGTGAAATATTAAAATGTATTTATATATTTAAAATAACCTTTTTAAAATGTATCTTTTTTATGAAATTTGCTGTACAAATATATTGAAATATGTTATGAATGGTTGAAACAAGTTAGTTATTTTGATACAAATTAATGGTTTTAAAATGCAAAAAAGTTAATTAATACTAGTTGTTAGAAATGAATCCTGATAGTTTAGGTGAAGTTTAAGGGTGGTATTAACTGTCATTTAGCTGAATAGTTTTGGATTGGCAATATATTAGATGTTTCACCAAGATTTTTCATTTTTATCAGAAACTTGGACTTGAGTAAGTTCTGTATCGGTCATAAGGGTGACATCCAGCAGCCCCCTATCTATGACCTCTACGCTGTGATTAACCATTATGGTGGAATGATTGGAGGACACTACACGGCCTACGCTCGTCTTCCCAGTGACAAGAACAGCCAGCGCAGCGACGTTGGTATGTGTGAGCTCTTCTAGCTCCATAACATTTCACCATCTGTGATGTGAAACATCTCACTGTATGTCTTTTACTGTGTCAGGTTGGCGTTTGTTTGATGACAGCACAGTAACGACGGTGGAAGAGAGTCAGGTGGTGACACGTTACGCCTATGTGCTGTTCTACCGCCGCAGGAACTCTCCAGTGGAGAGGCCGTCTCACCTGCTGGGGCCCCTTGGTGCTGAATCCTCTGCTGCAACTGGTGGTGCTGCCAGTCAGGTGAGCTCAGCACCTTCTCATGTCACCACAGCCCAATGGAAAAACATGTAATCCTTGTAGACCGGCTATATAATTGTTCATTAAAGATGCAGGGGATTGGGTAATGTTCCTTGTGGATTCTCAACATTTAAAAAAAAAGCTATCTCTCCATTGGTCATTTTTTTTTTATGAGGTGTCTCTCAAAAATTTCCAGACAGCATGAGGGGCCGTATTCACAAAACATATTATCTTATTACTAAGAGTTCTCCTAAATGGAAAAGTGAATTAATTAATTAGTTAAGAGTTTTCTCTTAAAACCTATTCACAAAGCTGCTGACCAAGAGAAGTTCTAAAGGTATAGTTCACCCAAAAATTTAAATTAGCCCATGCTTTACTCACCCTAAAGCCATCTTAGGTGTATATGACGAATACAATCGAAGTTATATAAATAAATATCCTGGCTCTTCCAAGCTTTATAATGGGAGTGAATGAGAGTTTTTAGAAGTCCATCAAACCACATCCATCCCTGATAAAAGTGCTCCACACGGCTCTGGGAGGGGTAATAGGCCTTCTGAAGTGAAGCGATGCGTTCGTGTAAGAAAAATATATATATTTAGAACTTTATCGACTAAATTAACTTCCAGCAGAAGGCCGTACACAAGTCGACTCGCTCCAAAAGAGTAACTTGACGATGTAGGAGTAGAGTAAGCTTTGACACCTCTCACGGTTCAAACAAACAGGGCTGGGCAACCACGTTCGTCATTACGTTGTGTCAAGTTCAAGGGTTAGTCTTTCGCCGTAAATTGATGTGTATGGCCGTTTGCCAGAAAAGCACGTCTATCTAATCAGTTCGAGAGAAGGGATATATACACAGCCGAGACTCACCTAGTTATCTCAACAGTTTTCTGCAACCCCGTTCCTCACTCTCGCCTGAGGATACGGGGGAGAACTCTGGGTTTGGGCTAAATTCTTAGCTTGGAGCCCTCGATCCCCTTGGACAGCACGCCAAAAACGCTTATTATATATTTTTTTACTCCATTCGATTTGTAAGTGTGAACTTGGGGAACGCACTGCCATAGGTAATCAGACCATATATATACATTAAAGATTTTATTTTTGCCATTTTATTGTATATTAAAATCTATAAATCAAAATATGTATTGCATTTATGAAAAAAAAGGTTCAGCACCCAAGCCTCTATCGCTCTATCACCTCAATGATGTACAGTGTCTTTGGCGGATTGTCAGCGACAGCCATTAGGATTGTTTGTGATTTAGGAGTCCCATTGACTACTAACGTTTCACAGATTTAGGTGATAGTTTTTTCGCTGAACTGATTTGTAAAATACTATTAGAGCAAAAATTTAGGAGTCTTAAAATTAGGACTGACACTCCCATTATTTTTAAGAGTTTCTCCTATATTGGAAAGTCAGGAGCTACTTTTAGCCATAAGATGTTTTGTGAATATGGCCCCTGATGATTATAATTTAATTAGGAGTTACATGAGGGATTGTACTCCAGAACATCTGAGAGAAAATAATCATCTTGTGATATCTTCAGTGGAAAAGCACGGAACTTAGCAGTGCCGTGCCATGCGGTGAAAAAGCGCCGTAATAGATTAATCATAAAGCGTGACTCATTAAATGAGTCGATTTTGGCGCATTGTGTTAGGATCTCATGACTTCTTTTTTATGTTTTTTATTTTTTCATAATTTTAGTGCATTTCAAAAAGTAAAAATATTCAGCCATAAAATTTAAACTCGGGTTTCAGCAATGTGTAAACGTTCGGTCACATTAGTGAAATTTCATTGGCTAAAAAGGTCCAATGACAATAGTGCAGGGATGTATGAAGCACCGCTCACACAAGTCACTTTCAACCAAGCAGCTTTCTGTTGGTCAGCAGCACAGCAAATTTGCATAGGGAACTTCTTCAGCCTCAACGCACAGAAACTCCCAAACGCACAGATTCCTGTTGAAATGACTGGATTTCGCCTGTGAAATTTCGCAGCGCAACAGTAAATTTGACCACACCATAACAAGACGTTTCTTCACATCTTTGCTCTCTGCTCAGTTGAACGCATGACTGACCGTCGCACAACTTTGAGGTTAATTTGGTAACATCAGGCTCATTATATGATTGATACTGAGGCACACTTGATCCAAGTTAGTCCATCCTTAAAGTTTGAACTGATCGTTTACGGGTGCATCTTGGGAAACATTTTGCCTTTAATTAAGTAGGTGCATCAGTTACAGGGTGTTTACCTTGATTTAAAGAAGCTGTGACTTGGAAAATTCTGCTTTTGGAATCTACTCTTGCATGCTAATCTGCTTATTCATCCACCTGAGTGTGTGAGCGGCCTAAGAAACTGGAGCCGTGAGCTCTCTGAAAGTGTGTTTGGTGTTCTACGGTGTAATGATGAGACAAGGCCCTTTCCCAGAAGCTGACACAGGTTTCCGCCAATCGCAGGCGTCTCTGATATGGCAGGAACTGGAGGAGGATGAGGAGGGGCAGCGACAGGCCTCTTTCCGGAGCCTGTTTCGCCCCGGGCTTCGTGGAAGAAGAGCCAGGACAAGGCTGGAGGAAGAAGAAGAAGGCAGGAGAGGGCATTCTCAGCGCAGAAGAGATGGCATCTCAGATTACTGTGACAGCGAACGCCTGAGATATTTCATCATGGGCACTGTGGCTGCAGTCCTGGCATTGCTGTTCAACCTCATCTATCCTTTGTTATACTGGTCCAACTGGGCTTGATTTACTACTCAATGCAGCTGCAGACCCTCAGTACAAAGATTTGCACTTTAAACTGATTGTACTGTAAGTCTTGTCTCTTTTTGATGGCAACTTTAATGTTTTTTAGCTTGGGAGTCACACAGCCTGATATAGCCATGCCAGTCAGCATTTTTTTTGTCCCATTTCAGTTGTTTTACAGCATTGTACAGAATGTTTAAAAAAAATACTCAGGAAAATACTAATAGCAGTTTAAAGATCTTTATTTACTGCCTCCTTTTTTGCCAGACTTGAGATTTTGTTTTAGCTGTATGACTAACCAATAAATCAAAACTTTGATTACAAATATTAAAGGGATAATCCAAAAATGGAAAAAAAATGTTTACCCTCATGTCATTCCAAACCTGAATGAATTTTTTTTTTTTTTTCGAAAATATTTTTTAAGAATGTTTTGGTTCCCTTTGACTTCCATTGGGTTTTTTTGTCCATACAGTTGAAGTCAATGGGAACTGAAACTGACATTCTTCAAAATATGTGTCCCAACATCCAACATGTTTGGAACAACATGAAGGTGAATTATGAATTAATTTTCATTTTTGGATGAACTGACCTTTTAAGGAACAGTTCAGCATTCAAACATTCAAAATAACTTAATTGCCTTTATAAACGGCATAATGGTGGCATTTTTAAACTCTAATTTTAAAGTCAACATTAATTCAAAAAAATTTTCTCTAGTTACAGTTGTGGTCTAATGGTTAGAGAATCGGACCTGAAGGTTGTGGGTTCGATTCTCAATACCGGCAGAACCTCTAATCGAATGCAAATGGATTCACACTGCTCACACTGCTCATGTGTGTGTACTACTCACTGCTCCTAATTTGTTTGCACTAACTTGGATAGGTTCAGTGCAGAGGACAAATTCCAAGTATGGGTTACCAAGTATGGCTTTCACAGTACTTCACTCACTTACTTTATTTACTCTAATGCAATTTTCTGGTCTTATGTATGATCAGTGCATACTATTCTCCAGGAATTTTTTTTATCTTAAAAAAAAAAAAAATATATATATATATATATATATATATATATATATATATATATATGTATATAGTATCTCACAAAAGTGAGTACACCCCTCACATTTTAGCAAACATTTTAGTATATCTACTCAAGGGACAATACTATAGAAATGAAACTTGGATGTATTTTAGAGTAGTCATTGTGCTGCTTGTATAGCTGTATATATTTACTGTCCTCTGAAAATAACTCAACACAGTGAAGCAACACAAGTGAGTATAATAGCTGTACCTCGTTTAACCATGCAAAGCCACATGTCCTATTCATCATGTACATGTTTTTGTGAAACCCGATCCTGTCATGCATTGTTTCTTTTTCTTGTTTATTATGTCATCTAGAAGAAAAATGAGCCGTGTGAGTTATTTCATGTTGATTTTAGGTTGGAGGAGTCTTGCTATCTTGCTATTTCATTTGCTGTCATGTTCATTTTGTTGCATTTTCTTTTTGTTAATTATTTTATTTATATTATTTACTCATTTTAACCACTAAATGAATTTCTTTTCTTCTTTTCTTTTTTTTTCGCCAAAGTTTGTCAGTTGTCTGGCAAGGGTTAGGATGTTTTAGTAGGTTGACTGATTAGTGTTTTCAGAGTCAGCAAGACAGTTCAACTCAGTACTGTACTTCTGTACACAACTTGGGAAACCAGTGAGTTTTTCTGTACTTTGACCCATTGATTCAAAGCCTAGTTGCACATGTTGTACATTGAGATGGGATCCAGCTATTGTAAGAGAAATAGTACTGTGGTTTGTGGATAAAGTGGCAGTTTCAACAGTCTCAGGGATGCTGATGGGCTATGATCATTCATGTAGCCATCCTCACTACAAAGCCTAAAGACATTTTGGCGTCTGTGAATGCCTCAGCCCTGGACATCATGACCCAAAACAATACCATTAGATGATATCGTACCTCATTCAAGGTCATTTACGTCATCATGGGCATTCCTGTTTGAAATGTTACTGGTTTTAATTTTAGAGATACATCTTTGATAAATGGCACAGGACTGCATTGTACATAATTTATGTATGTAATAATCATATTTAAGCAGTAATTGAATGTTTGGGTAAGTGATTTAAATATAATCTTAAAATGACAAAATGTTGGTGTTATTTATGATGCTGCACAAAATATCCCAGCAATAATTGAGACCACTCTAAATGCTGCTCAATTGTTATAGTGCCTGTACTACGCTCTTCACCACCAATAAATAATTCGAAGTGACCTGGTCTTGATATCACTGATCTTCTTGAATTAGCGGTTGGCGTTTATGTACTCCGTTCAGACGATGCCTAAAGTTTCTCTATAACGGTGATTTATTTTACAGGCTTCTAGCCAGACACTGTTTGGGACAGACCTGGACCCAGACGGACCCCCTCAGTTGAGCACGGAAGTGACCTCTGAGATGTATGCACACTCTGGAGAATGTGCCGCCCCGTCCTACAGCAGCATGGAAGAGGTGGATTAAAACTTGACCCAGTCAGTGAGACTTGCTTCCTCAAAAATAAATAAATAGACTTTAATTCTCACAAGTGGATCTAGCATGGCGCAGGTGCTCAATTAATTTTTTTTTTTATTTACATTAGCAATGTGGAGTAAAAAAATGCTGGCTGTACATTTCCAACACACACTGTTTGGAAATGCCCGGTTAAATGGCCTGAATGTTCAGAATAACACAGTATCCTGATGCTTAAAATAAAGACTAATCCTCAAACACTTTGGAAGGTGGACACATTTAAATACAGGTCAGAGGAATCGCACAGATATGTACGTTTTTTTTTTGTTTTATGTACATGTACACATTTTAACACCTAGAAATTATACCATTCACAATGTCCTATGATGGGTTTCTAATATAATGTTTATCTTGCTTGGATTTACACAAGGTGTTACTTTGCAAACCCATCTATGAGTGAGATCAACATGGTTTGTTTGGATGCACAGATAAGTTTTTCTTTTCCTCACTGAAGTGTTGCCTGGACTGATTTGTTTCTCTGTAAAGAGTCTGGAAGTGTTGTGCAAAACTATTACATGTGTTGTAGGTGAAGTTTTAAGTGTGGACCAGGACAAGGCAGATTGTTTGGAGGGGTTTTTTTTTTCTCTCACACTCTGGTTATTGATGTCCTGTTCTTTCTTTCTCAGACAATCCAGTGATTGAAAATGTTATTTTGTTTTACACCGTGTAAGATCCTGTGGAAATGCAAAAGCTTGATGGGCAGAGATGCATGTTGGCCTACAATAGCCCTAGTTGTTCTGTGTATCATGTATCATCTCTTAGTTTTGAGTGGATTGTCTTGTTTCCCCATTCCTTGTTTTCGTATTGGACTGCATAGTAAGTGGGGACTGTGGGTTTGATCGTAAGAATGCTGCTGTGAATAAAACAAATGGTTAATATAATTAAAAGGCTTTTTTTGTGTGACAACCTTAAATGTATCAACTGTATGTGGATATTAATTTGTCAAATTTAAGTTTTGCATGTAAATTTGAAGTAAAATGTAATTAGCAGGTGAACCTCATGAAAATCCCATGAAAAAATAATTTGTACTTCACTCCAAAATTGTGGTCAGAATTATTGGCCCCCTTGGTAATTATGAGCAAAGATGGCTGTGGAAATAAATATGCATTTTTTTCTCCTTTTGATCGGTGTGCTATTTTTTTTTTTTAAATACAGACTTCCACCTGCTCACGAGAAAGTCTGTATATTTTTATTTTTGCAAAGGTCCCTTTAGGGGCTCGGTACGTAGGAATCACTTTATGAGATAAATATTGTTCTCTAATACTCATAATTATCCACATTACCGGGAGGGCAGGAGTAGGTGGCGCTCTTACAACCATCTCCTGTGAAGCGCGGCCAGCAACCACGCTCTTTCTCGCGGTATTTGACACCGACAAGGAAGTCATGCTGGTTTCGCAAAAGCCGGTTTGGGGAGCTCAGCAGCGTCAGCGGTTTTTATTCAAACGCTCTTTCTTTAAACGAATGAAGCCAACGAATGTATCCTTTAACCGCCTAGAGAATGAGATCATCACGTGTCAGGCTGTTTCACATTCATTAAAATGAGTGTCATCATCAGGAGTCACTCGCATGGAATCTGGAGGGATTCATCAGTCACTCGTCGCCAGAGATAAGTATCCTAGTCTACGTTGAAGTATCTTTTAAGTCTATATCTGTAGTTTTAAATATACCCTCATATAAAGATTTTAGTACTATGTATAACGCGGAGATGATCCCTGAAAGAATTATCGACCAAAACAATGAAAACAGAAGTGACGTGAACTCTGACGGGGCAGGTCAAGATAAAGACTCTACGAGGAGACCTTCCAGAAAAATCGTCCTTCACTTTGATCTCAACAACACAATCCTTGTATCTGACGCAGTCACAAGACAAGGAACTGTAGGTGCTCTTGAATATTTCCTGTCCACGGTGACCTGGGGGCGAATGACAAAAGGTAAGACAACTTATTTTAAGGGCTTCACAGACAATGTTTAAGCCTAGTTCTAGACTAAAAAATAACTTGCACTGACATCTCTTAAAATGTCAGTGCCATTGCATCGTCTCAAGAAGCACAGCAGTAATGTGTTTTTTTTCTTTCTAAGGCTCGTTTATAACAGCTACTTAAAGGGATACTCCACTTTTTTTGGAAATGGGCTCATTTTACAACTCCCCCAGTCGAGTTTTACCGTTTTCGAATCCATTCAGGCAATTTTCTGATATTTAGAAGCATTTGAAAACGGTGAAACTCAACTGTTTAACTCTAGGGGAGTTGTAAAATGAGCCTATTTCCAAAAAAAAGAAAAGAAAAGTGGAGTATCCCTTTAAATGTCTGGTCTAATCCTAGCTCAATCTAAGATCTGTCTGTGAAACCAGTCCATAGTGGTTGCCTTGTATACTTGCTCAGCATCACATCACGTGTTTCTTCTCACTGCTTGCAGGTAAATGGGAGTGGTTGTCAGAAGCACCATCTCTCATCCAGCCTTGTGAGGGCGCTGTTACATACTACTCTCAGTTCGGCCGAGTGGCGAGCTTCACCACCGTAGGTCCAGGCCGACGGTTCCGGAAGATCCTGGAAGAACATCTAGAGCTGCTCCGATGGCCGCCTGACTTACCTGCGGATAAGGAGCTATCTGTTAAGGGAGAAGATGGGAAACTTTATCACTGGATCCTACCTTCCTTCTTCCAGATGCTGCAGGACTTGGCTTCACAGGGTGTGGAGTTCTCTGTCCTGTTCCGTACGTTTGGCTCAGATCTGCCCCGTGTCCTGACTGCCATCCAGCACGCCGTCGAACACGGCTCACATCCGCTCTTTCCCGACCTCACAGCTCTAAAGGTATTTGACATGCAGATGCAGAACTAGGATTTGTGTTATCCTAGATGAAGCAAGCCTAAGTAGGACTTTCTCCCCTCACAGTTGAAGGTGAATGTGAGCGCCGGACGCATCAGGTGCAGCGGTAAGGGTGCAACGCTGACTCGTGGAGAAGAACATGTGTCCACACGGGATGGAGAGCGGTCTGTTTACCAGTATCTGAGCTCTGCTGAGGGTCTGGGTGGCTTTCAAGACAACTTTGACTGGTGAGGGGCCTGTTATGGATCAATTTTTTTTTTAAATTGTGGTGTGGTTTATCAGTATCAAGCATTTGTTCTTCCCAAATAGGTGGGCACGGAACACATACTCCATTTTAGGAGGAAAACCACTCTGGATTGACCCTTTTGATGCCAAAGTTCAGCATATCTTCATTGATGACAACATTCGGCAAAATGACGAGGACACTATTGTTCATCCTAAGGTGCGTGATGTTCATTTTCTCTTTTCCAGAATGAGCGTCCCATGTTTCTCACCCATTCCACTGTACACTCAGGTGTTCTTGGCCCCCGAGAGCTTGCAGACTCGAACAGCCTCCACATCAGAGCTGTATGATCTGTGTCTGGTACAGAACGACCTTCTGAAGGCCATTTCTGAACCTGGATATTTCACCCGACGCATCCAGATCTGCATGGAGAACTATGAGGGGAACATCCAAACGGGGTAGTTCGATGAATCTCAAGTCATGCAGGGAAACATGATAAAGAACACACAAATGCATCAACACGATCCTGTGGTATGTGTGTATATGAAAAAACATATTCTCAACCACAGATCAACACCCTTTATTTATCTAATGAAGAATGTTGCAATCAATAGATCCATATATATATATATATATATATATATACATATATATATATTTACCGTCATGGATCCGATTAGCACTCTGAAGATCTAACAATCATAAATGCATTGGCAGCTGCTCTATGTATTGTGTTATATGCTCATTAAGATCGTTCTTCCAACTGTATTCTCAGGGTTTGTGAACATCAGAGGTAGTTTTTTAGTGTTATTTATATTTTGATGCTGTTAACAAAATAAGTTAATCATATCAACTAGTGCTGTCAAATCGATTAATTGCTTCTAACATAAGTTTGTAAATAAATGTGACTCTCTCTCTCTCTATATATATATATATATATATCAATCAGTCAACACTGGTCACTCACAGACACAAAGATGTGTCTTTAATTTCACCAAGCTGATTCACCATTTCAGGTTTGATTTTGGCGTAACATAAAGCGGTGAGCTCTACAGTAAGTGGCTGAGCTGTATGTCATACCAGCAACGCCATCACTTTGTTAATTCAGACTGATTCACGAACACGGAACATGCACAAAAACAAGAGGTGGGATTTATTGCATGAACCAATCACATCCAATTATAGCGAGATGCCTCCTCCTCAAATGAAAAATTACTCTACTTTAGACCTACCGCATGCTTTAGGGCAGTGGTTCTCAATCTTGGTCCTGGGGAGCCACTGCTCTGCATGTTTTATATGTCTCCTTTATCTGACACACCCACTTCAGTTCATAGAGCTCTTTTCTAATGATCTGAATTAGGTGCGTTAAATGAGGAAGACATACAAACTGTGCAGAGCTGTGGCTCCCCAGGACCAGGATTGCTGAACCACTGATGTTAAAAGTCAATGGGCTTAGTGGAGGCAAGAGAGACTTGGTGTCCTGCTGTTACTTCAACTGTGGGTGTCGCTGCTGGACAGTGTTACTTTAGAAAAATGATTGATTCGTTCACTTTGTAATGTCACATTTTGTAATATTTACATTGGGGGTCTTTTTGTAATATGGATTATTATCTCCTATCTTTTTTTTCATGGAGGAAGCATTGCCTCCCTTGCTTCTTTGAAGAATAGACCCCTATATATAGTATGTTAATCGATTAATGGATTGGACAGCACTAATCAAAACACTGGAATTTTTGTTTTTTACTTTTTTGTAAAGAATAATTCATTGTTTTGCACTTCTATTAAATTTTTAAACCCTTTTAGTTTGTTCTAACACCAGTTTGAAGCTGAGACTAACCAAAGCAAAATTAGACTGTTTCTAACGTTCATGGATTGAGTACCTTATAGTTTACATAAATCACATTTCACACTGAAGTGTCTGCTGCATCCTCATTAGTTTCAAAGTTCTGAGGTAAAGGTTCTGGTTTAAAAAGAGTTTATATAATCCAATAATCCAAACATCAGTTAATGATTCTGTAATGTTCATCTTACTGTCATGGTAGATTGTTATTCTACTGAAGCTTGTCATTGCACAGTTACTGCTTGTATTGTGTATTGTTATTTAATGCATTATTTATGATGGCAATTTTGAAGTTATTTTTTTGTGATACTTTTTTTTGAAAAGTTGCTGCAGAAATAAATTATTTTGACTTCATTTTCTGGTCACATTCATTTTCATTGTCTCTGTATTTATTTGTTTACATACGTTTCAAGCTAACGTATTGTTTGTATATTTTTAGCCAGGAGATTTTATATTTAGTGAACATTTGCTATGCGGACATATTTGTCGGCTTTATTTGACATCAGAACAATAATTATATTCATAACGGAACTTTCAGAATCGGATGTATTTAATCGAACTGACGAAAATTAGTATGCCACAGAAAAAAAAAACATCTTCTGGATTGTCATCTCATTTCAGCTTTTAATCAAGATTTGTAATATAGACATTAAATTTGAGCATTTAATAGATAAATTCACGTGCGAGATCCTATGCATAATAGGCGGTCTGAGACTCATGTTACTATGGTAACGGAATAAACACGGTTCAGCGCGAGGTGAGTGACAAAGAAAACCTGTTCAAATCAACATATTGAAGTAAATTATTTTTTAATTCATGAAGTTTTTGTTTAAAACTGTATGACTCAAGTTTCTTTTTGGTGCAAGTAACGTATTGTTAGTTTAGTATAAAGCAGGCTAAAGTAGCTTACTCGCCGTTGATTTGACCGAATTAATTTTTACGTCATAAGGTTTATTTTAACACGTGAAAAGTCAATCAACAACGTAACCAAGACAGCAGAATAATGTCAAGCTCTGATGAAGATGAGATGTTGAAAGCAGGGTCTGAGGAAGAAGAGGTTGAGAAAAAGGAGATTTCAAGACAAGAGGATCAGGTAACGTTAAGTTAAACAAGTCTGTATTATTATGCATTTTACCGTATCTTATTTTAACTTAATTCTTATTGTTCTTAATATATTGACATGTGTTATACTATATTATTAAAAAAAAAAAAAAAGATTTTCTTTTTGTTTCTAGCTTGAATCCTGTCCACTAACCCAGGACATGATGGCGAAAAGCTTGTCCTTATTGTGTCGCACAGGGAATGGTCTGTCTCATGCCTATGTCAGACTTGACCTTAAAAGCAAGTAAGCTTGTCTAGGACGTTCTTCTTAATCCCATCATTCCCAACATGTCGCCATGCATTTTTACTGTATCTCACAATGTTGCTTCCTACTGTACCTGTCTAAACCAGGGGTCTGACAGACCTGGCCTTGATCAGCCCCTTCATCCATCTGCGCTACTTGGACTTCTCCTTCAATCGTTTGTCAGACTTCTCTCCATTGGCCGACCTCACTCAGCTGCTGTGGGTGAAGGGAGACGGTAACCTGCTTCAGAGCTTCGAGGGTCAGCCGTTTGGTCAGCTCACTTACCTATAGTGGCTCAGCTTTGCCAACAACCGCCTAATTGATGTTAAGGGCATTGGAGGCCCAGCACTGGAAACCCTCAATTTCACTGGTTAGTTAGATCCATTTGGTTGGTTATTGTACTTTTGCAGTGGTAATGAGCTCTAAAAGTTTTTATATTATGGGACCAACCACACTGGTTTATTTTGCCAAATCTAGAGTGGTGTATTTAGCTATAGGCTATGTAAAATACAGTATGCGATTCAATAGATATTATGAACTTCATTGTAATCTGCACTAGACAATAACAATACAACATTATTTACTCACTAAACACTAACATTTCATTTCTATATTTTTAGGTAATGGTATCCAGACCATGCAGGGACTGGAATATCACAATCTAACTAATCTGGTGACTCTCGAGCTCAGAGGAAATTGTTTGGAGACTACAGACGGCATTTACCTGCCCAATTTACGCAACTTGTATCTGGTACAATTGCTCGTATTGATGTTAATGGTAGATAAAAGTGCATGATGCTGATTAGAACTACCATCTGATACTTTCACCCAACTATTTAGGCTCAGAACAACCTAAAGCGACTGAAGGGTCTGGAGAAGCTTGAGCATCTCAAAACCCTTCACCTCAGAGATAACCAGTTAGAGACACTAGATGGACTCAGCCCTAACATGAAATGTCTCCAGTATCTTAACGTCAGGTAACAGAAATACAATAACACCAGGTTTGGCATTTTCTCAGTCTGTCTGAAATGTGTTTCACTAATATAGACAGACTTAATACCACTCTCTGATAACCCTCTTTTTCACACCTTAAGGGGTAACCTTATATCTTCTATGAGGGCTTTGCGAAATCTAGTGAGTGTTGGGCAAACACTGAAGGCCCTTGTGCTCTTGGAGAACCCTTTAGCGAAGACTGACGATTACAGGATGTATGTGATCTCACATCTGTCCGAGCTCGAGAGACTGGACAAGGATCCCATCACAGCTGAAGAGAAGTCTGCGGCCCAGGAGAAGGTGCGGAACCTGTTTATGGCATATGCTGTTAATTTTATTTAGACTAGTTGAGTAATAAAAGTTTCTCAGATAATATTTTAACTTTACATTGCAACATTGTCTTTTTTTAGGAATTTAATGATGAATATGCTGAAGATCAAGAGGATAACTAAATAGGCTGTGCTACATTGAAATGTACTTGTAAATATAATTTTATATTCAATAAAGTTTACTATAAAAATGGTTTCCTTTCATGCAGTATAGTCTCTGATGTGATCTTTATTTCTGCAGCTGTTGGTAAAAAAAAGATACTGAACAACACTTGTCAATACACTAGATATGATAACAAGGTATAACACTCTAATCTAAAGCCTATCTTGAAGAGAACAAGAATACGCATCTCAAGGTTGTACATGCATCATGTTCTTATTTATACACATACGTATGTTTTAATTTTCTGCAAAATGTATTTTACCAAGAGAGAACCAAAAAGTTCGACTTTTGCCCCTTCTAGCACATGCTCTACTGTTTCTGGAAAACCATAAAAAGATTACCAAAATCCATATTAGTCATTCTCTGAGATTACTCAGACTGGATTCATGTTTTACTTTTACCATTTCTTCTTCTGATTTTCAATGGTGGTTGGCAAACAACTATTTAGTGTGCATTACCGCCACCTTCTGAAATGGAGTGTGGATTAAAATAGCCTACTTTACCTGCTACAATATATATATATATATATACACTCACCGGCCACTTTATTAGGTACACCTGTCCAACTGCTCGTTAACACTTAATTTCTAAGCAGCCAATCACATGGCGGCAACTCAGTGCATTTAGGCATGTAGACATGGTCAAGACAATCTCCTGCAGTTCAAACCGAGCATCAGTATGGGGAAGAAAGGTGATTTGAGTGACTTTGAACGTGGCATGATTGTTGGTGCCAGAAGGGCTGGTCTGAGTATTTCAGAAACTGCTAATCTACTGGGATTTTCACGCACAACCATCTCTAGGGTTTACAGAGAATGGTCCGAAAAAGAAAAAACATCCAGTGAGCGGCAGTTCTGTGGGCGGAAATGCCTTGTTGATGCCAGAGGTCAGAGGAGAATGGCCAGACTGGTTCGAGCTGATAGAAGGGCAACAGTGACTCAAATAACCACCCGTTACAACCAAGGTGGGCAGAAGAGCATCTCTGAACGCACAGTACGTCGAACTTTGAGGCAGATGGGCTACAGCAGCAGAAGACCACACCGGGTGCCACTCCTTTCAGCTAAGAACAGGAAACTGAGGCTACAATTTGCACAAGCTCATCGAAATTGGACAATAGAAGATCGGAAAAACGTTGCCTGGTCTGATGAGTCTCGATTTCTGCTGCGACATTCGGATGGTAGGGTCAGAATTTGGCGTCTACAACATGAAAGCATGGATCCATCCTGCCTTGTATCAACGGTTCAGGCTGGTGGTGGTGGTGTCATGGTGTGGGGAATATTTTCTTGGCACTCTTTGGGCCCCTTGGTACCAACTGAGCATCGTTGCAACGCCACAGCCTACCTGAGTATTGTTGCTGACCATGTCCATCCCTTTATGACCACAATGTACCCAACTTCTGATGGCTACTTTCAGCAGGATAATGTGCCATGTCATAAAGCTGGAATCATCTCAGACTGGTTTCTTGAACATGACAATGAGTTCGCTGTACTCAAATGGCCTCCACAGTCACCAGATCTCAATCCAATAGAGCATCTTTGGGATGTGGTGGAACGGGAGATTCGCATCATGGATGTGCAGCCGACAAATCTGCGGCAACTGTGTGATGCCATCATGTCAATATGGACCAAACTCCCTGAGGAATGCTTCCAGCACCTTGTTGAATCTATGCCACAAAGAATTGAGGCAGTTCTGAAGGCAAAAGGGGGTCCAACCCGTTACTAGCATGGGGTACCTAATAAAGTGGCCGGTGAGTGTATATATATATATATATATATATATATATATATATATATATATTCATAATAATAATACATTGTTATTCCCATCCCATCATTATAAGCACAATTTAAATAATAACTAAACGCATATCCTTCTAATAAGATGAAATATTGCTCAATACCCAACATGCCCTGAATTCATTTATAATGTTTCCTTCATTTCCAATCTATTTTTTTTTCTCTACTTAGCCTATCTTTCAGAATCATCTTTTTTCTGCTTGTGCTTAGGACAATTAATAATGACATGTTCTATTGAGTCACTCTATAGTATTACACTGCTCACACAACCCAGTTTCATGTTTCCCTATTATTTTAAGCGTACTATTTAATCCAATATGTCCAAATCTCATTCTTTTGCCACTTCCTCAACTCGTTTGTTTATAACCGCCCACGTTAAAGGGGAAGAGCCTGTTTTTTAACCCTGTAAGCCAGACATAGGAAATAGTCAGAAACATTTTTTTTAATGGGCAGTTTATTATGTATTGTATGTTTTGTATCATATTCGCTACATTAGGTTTTTATAGTCTACGTATAGTATAATATGCGTGAGAGGCATAAGAATTAATTAAACTCCTTTCCTGGCTTAATTCATCATGACTCGACGAATCATTGATTAAATCAGCTACTCTTTCAGTGATTTTACTTCAATATCAAAAACTACTGGCAGATTTGTGATCACTGAATTGCATTAGTGCTTTCTAAACTCTGAATTTAAAGTTCTTGTCAATTTAAATCACTTTTGAAACAAACTAACAGTTGTACTGCACCCTTAAAGGACAAAAACCTGACAAACGTCTTGAAATACATCATCTGAACAATTTAATTTTTTTGTTTATTTATTTTGAGTGGTAACCGTAGTGTATAAGTAGAATATTTGTAGCCTATATAAAGGCCATTGTTTCGTCTACTATGACACACCAGGCTTTATAGGGTTAAACTCCTTTCCTCAGTTCATCATGACTCGACGAATCATTGATTAAATCAGATACTCCTTCAGTGATTTTACAACAATCGCAACATTCAATCATAATAACAGTGTGCGCACATAAAGTTTTTACTTTTTTAAAAAGTTTCAATATAAAAAACTGACTCAATTCTCTCACACCCTAATCTTATGTGACATTTAACCTAACAGAGCTCTGTTTGTCTGCAGTCTCTGCCATCCTGATTTGGCAAACTCTCCTCTGTTGCGAAAAGCGCTTCGTCCAATGGCTGGCCTCAGCGGATGAGTTGACAGGTGACGTAACGCGTCTCTTAAAAGCTACAGCGCACCACGTTCCCCGTGTCCACTCCCACACCGTGCTCGGCTCTTACTGCGTTTATCTCAGTAATTACAGATTAACGTAGAATCCGAAGAGTTTATTTGAGCTACAGCAGTTTCGTTCATTGCATCTCATTTCCCCACACAGCTGAAACATGAGCTATCACAAACCCGACGAGAAAACTCTGCAGGGCCTGAAAGACATCGCGAACAAGCTCAGGATTCACTCCATCAAGGAAACATGCGCCTCAAACTCCGGGTAAAATCTTCTGAACTCATCAAAATTGATTCTTAATATCTTTCTAGAACGGTAAACGACAGGTTTTGCAACTGTTTTCGCTTATTTATCGCATTTGTTGTGCAAATGTTCACTTGACGCTCCTGCACAACACGTGAACTTGGCGAGGGGGCCGGACACAGTGCTGTTGCTGTTTGGTTTTGAATCATTCGACCTTTTTTCAGTTATTATAAATTAGTCATTAGCATTGCACTAATACTACGCGAGTAGTATTAACGTTACAGCTTGTTTTAGCCCATCGTGGCCTCCAAGCAATGACCAGTGAAAATTGGCAACGTTAGCTCTCATCGCCCCTATAATTAGCACGATTATGTGGGAACGCTGGTAGGATTATAAAGTATAAATTCCAACTATCCACTGTGTTTTTCATATTTACCACGGACTGAGTTGGGACTGATTGGCTTTTAGAGATGTCCTATTCGAAAACGAATTATAGTGAGTCGAATCTTTTTCTGAACCGGTTCTTTTGAAACGAACTGTTCGTAAGAACCGGTCTGCGGAAATAACTCGCACTCCCCGTAACGTAACTAATTAATTACTGCCAGCTCGTGGGTGCACGTTTCCCCTGCAGGTTGTCACGTGGTGGCGTGCAGGACTCGTGGTATGCGTTGTACTATAGGTTAAAGTGCTGTTAGCCTCCATGAATAAAGCATGCTTCTGATTTGATTTTCATCTTACCATAGCTTTAACTATGTGGTGATAAGGAGAGTTCAAATGGAGCTTGCACAAAAGGAAAGATTTGCTTTGGGATTGCCTAATATCTCTCTCTTTCTCAAAGTTATGTGAATTGAGTAAAGTTCTTTTCAAATTCTCTCCCTCTCCTTTTTTTCTGGCTGACCAATTTATTGCAACATATGGTCATTTCACAACATGAACTGAAATCGAAAAGGGGAGTTTATGAACATATAGAGGCTATAAAAGCTTCCTTATTATTAGATTCCCCTCAATGTATCAGAGGGTTAATTTGTTGCAATACATGTAACAATCTTTCATTCATTGTAAGTCTTGTTTTGGATTTTCCCTGGGTGTTGAAACTCTTACCTGATACTATTTGTTTTACTGTTGTGACACTTCCTCATTTTCTGTTCCTTCTCATATTTCCTTAAGTATTGTTATAATCACTAGTGAACATGCAGTGGTTTAAACAAGGAATCAAGGAAGTGTTAATCATGACTCGGTCTTCGTCTGCATCTTTTGAAATATAATCCCTTATTCCGGATCTGATCAATGGACATTTGTTTAACACCTTTTCCGTTGTTTTTTTTTATTTCAGCTTAAATGAGTCTCATTGTAAGACAAAAATGGTAATTCATGGTGTTATGTTTGGTGAAAAATTAAGAAATATATTGAATATTAACCTAAAACTGCATGTATTTTGACTCACAATAAAATTATAACAGGTTTTTCAACAGGCAGACTTGTGATCACTGAATTGCATGAGTGCTTTCTAAACTCTGACTTTAAAGTTCTTGTCAATTTAAGTCACTTTGGAAACAAACTAACAGTTGTACTGCACCCTTAATTGAAGTTAACGTCTGTAACCAGTGCTGCAATTTAATTTAACTGTATTGTGAGTCACGCTCATTTAAAAGAACTGGTCCAATTAAAAAAAAAAAATGTCGTTTTCTAAAATATACAGATTTGGAATGAATGTTTATTACTTTGTACATGAAAAATTAAGCAAGATATGTGTATTGGCTCGAGTCTTTTCTTTAACCTAGTGCAGTGTAGTCCCTTTATTTGAATTTTAGAGGCTACAGCCCTACTGATTATTATATACATGGCTTATATATTGTGTGCTAAAGTAGCTGAAGTCATTGATTCAGATAAGGTCTATTACTACACCTCAAACCCCAACGAAGACAGTAGCAACTTTTGCCCTTTAGTACCATTTGCAATCATGTTCGTTTTTGAAGTGAAAGATAACCTGCACGTCTGATTGGTCCTTAACATCCAGCATGTTTGAGCTGATGGTTAATAGTTGATGGATGGTTTGATAGATACTCATGTGTGTTTCCTCTCAGACATCCCACCTCATGCTGCAGCGCTGCAGAGCTCATGTCAGTGCTGTTCTTCCACACCATGCGCTACAAAGCCGACGATCCTCGTAACGCTTGCAATGACCGCTTCATCTTGTCCAAGGTGGGTTGTTGTTCTGTGTTGGGTTATGAGCTTCATTGCACTTTTTACTTGGAGATAAAATGTTTTCCACTCCTCACGTTACTGTTTTCAGGGCCATGCTGCTCCCATTCTGTATGCTGCCTGGGCAGAGGCTGGATTCATCAAAGAGTCGGAGCTGCTAAATCTACGTAAGATTGACAGTGACTTGGAGGGTCACCCCACTCCTGTGAGTAATACTATTATCACCACGTTTACGTCTTTCAAAAGTTTGGGGTTGCTCAGGTGTTTTTATGCTTTTGAGTGACATCTCTTATTCTCACCAAGGCTTTGTTGATTTGAGCGAAAATACAGTGATATTGTAGAATGATTACAATTTAAAATAACTTTTCTATTTAAATATTTTAAAATGTGAATTTTAGGGCTGGGTTAAAATATCAATATTTTGATTCTTGAATCTCGATAATCGATCTTCTAAAGGGGTGGTTAAGATTTCACTTTTCTAACTTTAGAAAAGCATTCCTCCTGGGTTAATGACATCACTAACCCTAAAATTTACATAAACCCCGCCCATGTGAACGCATTTATAGATTATCATGACAGAATATGCTAATCAGTGAGTAGAAGATTACTACATGAGCTACTAAAGTTCAACCAGAAATGTCCTGTTCATTCTACATGTCACTTCTTGAGTCTATCCATCGGTTTTAACATAAAAGGCTAAAAGCTTTTGAAATTTTCAGTGTATGTCTGTGAGGTAAAAGGACACAAGCTGTTGAAGCTCTGCCCTCTGTACCCTCCGCAAATTTGCATTTAAAGGGACACGCACAAAAATGGTGCTTTTCACCCTCAAAGTGACAATTTGAACATGCCATAAATATATCTGTGGGGTATTTTGAGATAAAACTTCACACACACATGCTAGGGGTAATAACATTTAAATCTTGTAAAAAGGGCGTTATACTACCGCTTTAAACTATGAAAACATAACTTTTTTTTTCTTTATATATAGGGCTGCAACAACTAATCGATAAAATCGATTATAATCGATTATGAAAATCGTTGTCAACGAATGTCATTATCGATTAGTTGGTCTGATTACGTCACGGGGATTGTTTACATGCTACATGCGCTTCTTACATGCGCTTCTTACGTGCGCTTCATGAGGCACACACGCAGTCTCTCTCCCTCGCCGGTCTGTGCGCAACACGGACGGTTTGGAGCACATTATCTTCTGTCTCGCATGCGCACTCTTGATTCAGTGAGTTTGAACTGATTTGCGGGCATCAGGAAACCGCTATCAATATGCAGCATACACGAAAATCATTCACCTTTCGGCAAATTCGCCGTTTTGAAACCAAAATAGGTGACCTGCGTTAATCGTGTATACTTTATGAAGCCATACTGTAGTATAATGTGAGATAGAAATGTATATTTAAGTCATTAAATTCAAGTTAACGTAAGCTTTTCCCTCCACTGCGGCTGTCAGTCATTCTCTATTCGGTGTTCAAACAGCGCGTCGCGTTACAACAGTTAACATGATGAAACTCTTTCCAAGATGATTCAATATTATTATTATAATTGATCCGTAGATAAAGGTCTATGGTTTCGTAATATAATGACTATCTTGCTAGACTTTTATTGCTGTAACTTAATCACTTTCTACTGAGTGTCTGTTAGATCACAACACTAGAGTAGACTCGGTGTTGTGATCTAACAATTATAGATTAGTAGACTATAATTGTTCTTCACGTGCACAGTAGCCTAAATGAAATTTAAAACTGTTAAAAGAAAAGGCTGAATAAACTATTGCAAAGATACTGTATAATACACAGTCAATATTGCTTCCTCACTAAACAGCTGTGCATCTGATTTTTACAATGTTTTTCATGAATGTATAACAATACAAAGAGCAATGTGTAACGATTTACCAGAGTTAGTGCTACACTTATTGTCTCTTATTTTTTCCCCACTAAGGAATGTTTTTTTCACTAAATGTTCAGATTTTATAAAATTATTGTGCACTTGTGATTTTTCTAGGCTAAGTTTTTCTGAGTTATCCACTAATCTAGTTTACAATAGCATTTTTGTCATAGGTTATAGTCATATAATTTTTTTTTATTTGTTGTTTTTCTATATAATGAAGTTGTCTGTATTAAGAAGATTGTTTAACACACAAAAGAGTGTGGTTTTTAGGGTTTTATTTAGTTATAATAAACAAAAAAATGAAATAATTTTTTTATCCGATTAATCGATTAATCGAAAAAATAATCGTCCGATTAATCGATTATCAAAATAATCGTTAGTTGCAGCCCTATTTATATATAAATCATACTAACTTTCATACAAGTCTTTCACTTAACTAATTACCATGAAAATAACTTCTGTTCATTTCAGAAACTGGCGTTTGTGGATGTGGCGACAGGTTCTCTTGGCCAGGGTTTGGGTGCTGCGTGTGGTATGGCCTACACTGGAAAGTACTTTGATAAATCTAGGTATGCTTGTTCTCCCAGAGCATGACATCTTATTTTGAGTCACATTATTTGATTCCCTCATTTAATGAGTACAATGAATACTACTAAACAATTAATTTGGTGTACACCAAAAAAAAAAAAAAACTATATATCATGCTGGTATGGCTCCAATGATCAAGCCCAAACAAGGTTTTGCTCTCAGATCATAGTAATTTAATAATTGCGCAATAAGGCGTATTCGGATGGGACTAGTTTCCCCGGAGGTTGTTGGAGAATGTTTCACAGGTGTGTTTTTTTTTTTTTTTTTTTTTTTTTTAATTTCCATCCAAATCTGCCAAGTCTGTTTCTCAAACATCAGTAAAAATTAGAATTGGAAACAAACTAACAGTTGTACTTTCTAATTAGAAAATTAGTAAAAATACCTGTTTTCGGGCTAGCTCCATGTTCCTCTGAGAAATCTTATCCTGCCTGAATACTAATGTCTGTGATTTGCTGATGTTGTATTATCCTTAAAGTTTCTCATGTGTTTTTTTCATCTACCTGAGCCTGCCGTTTGCACTCCAGTGTTGTGATGTTAGTTCCGTCCGAATTTGGTACACAGTCACAAGTGATGAGAAATGTAACTCAAACGTCATTTAGAAAACTAGTCCCATCCAAATAGGGCTTATAGAGGAAAACTTAAGTTTCTGCTGATCATTTGACGGTGCTGTAACTGGACGTTTCTGTCTTCTCACTGTCTCATTAGCTACCGTGTGTTCTGCCTGATGGGAGATGGTGAGTGTTCAGAAGGGTCCGTGTGGGAAGCCATGGCTTTTGCCTCCTATTACAAGCTTGACAATCTGGTGGCCATCCTTGATGTGAACCGTCTGGGCCAGAGTGAAGCAGCTCCACTGCAGCACAACATGAACACCTACAAGGAGCGCTGCGAGGCCTTCGGGTAGGTCTTCCAGATACTGTTGGGTTTTATCTCTTGCTATGGTAAATGCACTCACTGGCCACTTTATGAGGTACATCTGTTCAACTACTAATTAATACAAATATCTAATCAGCCGATCACATGGCAGCAACTTGCATTGTTTGGGCATGTAGATATGGTCCAGATGGTTTGCTGAAGTTCAGACTGAGCATCAGAATGAAGGGTGGTTTTTAAGTGACTGAATGTGGCATGACTGTTTGTGCCAGACGGGCTGGTCTGAGAATTTCAGAAACTGCTGATCTACTGGGATTTTCATGCACAGCCATCTCTAGGGTTGACAGAGAATGGCCTGAAAACAGAAAATATCAAGTGGGCAGCAGTTCTGTCAGCTAAAATGCCTTGTTGATGTTAGAAGAGAAGACCAGAGTGGTCCGAGCTGATAGAAAAGCAAAAGTAACTCAAATGTTCACTTATTACAACCGAGGTCTGCTGAAGAGCATCTCTGCACGCACAACATGACAAACCTTGATGCAGAGTAACTGAGACTACAATTTGCACAGGCTCAGCAAAGTTGGACAATGGGAGATTAGAAAAATGTTGACTGATCTGATGAGTCTCTATTTCTGCTGTGACATTTAGGGGAAGAAACATGAAAGCATGGACCCATCCTGACTTGCATCATTGGATGGGCTGCTGTTGGTGTAATTCTGTGGGATATATATATATATATATATATAATCCCCTTAGTACCAATTGAGCAGCGTAACTGAGTATTGTTGTTGACCATGTCCATCACTTTATGAACTCAAATCATCTCAAACTGGTTTCTTGAACATGTCGATGAGTCACTACACTCAACAGTGCCTCCACGGTCACCAAATCACAATCCAATAGAGCAGCTCTGGGATGTGCTGGAACTGGAGACTCGCATGTATGTACAGCTGACAAATCTGTAGCAACTGCGTCATGTTATGTCAATATATGAACAAATCTCTTAAGGAATGTTTCCAGCTCCTAGTTGAATATGTGCCATGAAAAATTAAGGCAGTTCTGAAGGTAAAAGGTGGTCCAACCCAGTACTAGCAAGGTGTACCTATTCAGCCAAAAAAAAAGTAGCCGGTGAGAGTAGAATGGTAGCATACTACTGTTTCTGGTGTGTGTGTATATGGTTTATATACTCTATCCTGCCTACTGAGCTATAACCAGTGTGCTAGTATTAATTCGGAACACAACCACTTTCCTTGCCCGTATGTTTGAGACCCGTAACCGGTTTGTTTCTTCAGCTTCAACACTTATGTGGTGGATGGCCATGATGTGGAGGAGCTGTGCAAGGCGATGTGGCATGCCAAACAAATAAAAGGGAAGCCCACTGCCATTGTAGCCAAAACATTTAAAGGCAAAGGTCTCAAAGGTGAATAACAATTTCCTGTACTGCAAGACCAGCAGCACATCATAAAGATCAGCATTAATGTTTGTTATTATCATAGTCCTCTTGCTGACTTTCTGAGCTGTTCTTTTGTTTAGACATTGAGGATCAGGATAACTGGCATGGGAAGCCTATGCCTAAAGACCGTGCGGAAGAGCTGATTAATCACCTCCTGAGTCAGATCCAGTCCCCCAATAAGCCCATCCACCCTCAACTGCCTAATGATGATGCTGCTCCAGCTGACCTCACACCCATCCACCTGCTCACCCCTCCAGAGTACAAGATCGGAGACAAGGTGATGAACTGAGACATTATAACTCATGGCTGTTGGAGTTTTGAGTGATTCATTTCTTTGAGCGAATGCTTCCCTTCTGCTCAAAAGAAGGCTTTATAAAACTGCTTTTGTTTGCCCACTCAGGTCTCCACTAGGAAGGCGTATGGTGTTGCCCTGAAGAGAATAGGGGATGCCAGCCCTCGTGTGGTGGCCCTGGATGGTGACACCAAGAACTCAACCTTCTCTGATATATTCAAGAAGGCCCATCCTGATCGCTACATTGAGTGCTTCATTGCAGAGCAGAACATGGTGTGTAATTGGATTTTTCTTCCTCCTTTACACTAATAATTAACAAGTCATGTTGGCAAAGCAAAAGTATATTGCCTGGCAGTGTGTATGTCACAGATTAATAGGTTTGTAAACTGTTTCTGGAGAACTTTGTGATGAGTTGAAGGTGTGGTGCACTATTCATACAGTTTGTTGTAAATACCTGACCTCACCCTGTTAATGTTTTCTTTTACCATTCACTTTCTGATTAATATTTATCAATGTCAAGTGCTTACTAAATAGGACATGATTTCCCACAGTGAGAGAATTTCTTCCTGCATAAACAGTCAGTCAAAATCTAGAAAATATTTGTATTAAAATAAAATTTCAGCAATAAGTAGTTTTGTATTTAGTGATTTTATTAACGGTTTAAAATGTATTTCTAAATAACATAAATATACACTACAGTTTGGAGCCAGTAAGATATATATATTTATATGAATATAGTTTGTGTACCCTTTTTTATATTAAAATAATCCTGCAAAAAATTTGCATCATGATTTCCTAAAATTTTATTTAAAAAGAAAAGCCATTTTGTATTCTAATCTTTCTCTATTACAGTTTTACTGTATATCTTACCAAATAAATTCAGTCTTGGTAAAGCGCTATTCGCACTGGATTAGTATTACCTGGTGACCTCTAGTCACTTTTAGTAATTGCGGAGATTTTCTGTGATCTTAATCCCGCACAAATCGGCCTTAGCTGTAATTTGTAAAGTAAAGATTTCCCCCAAATGACCTCCTATATTTCGCTGAACACAGAGGTCCTGTGATAATATTAGTGTCTTGTGAATCGTCAGATTTGTATAATTTGGTGGGATCGTATATAATTGTTTTCAAGTATTTTGGGAGCTGGGTCCTATTCAGAGAAAGCTGAAAATCATGTTCTTTACTGCAGCATACGGTAAAGTGCATTTATTCTTTTTATGAAATGTATATCATACAGCTAGACTTCTGATTAAAGGATATTTCCAAGCAATAGCCTATTGACATCATATCCAAGAGTTTAGTTAATAAAATCACAGGCGTCGCTTATTTCTGTGCGAATTTGGCACACGAAATTCAGATGTGGGTGGATAATTTCTAAATCACACCATGTCCCCAGATAATACTAATACAGTGCAAATAGCGCTTTGATTAACAAATGTGGCAAACAGTTAAAAAAAAAAAATCTCACTGACCCCAAACTTTTGAACAGTAGTGCAAGTATATTACATTTTTAAAGTGTAATATTTAATACATAATATTATTAGTAGGGCTGTGCAATGATTAATCGCATCCAAAATAAAAGTTTGATTACATAATATATGTATGTGTACTGTGTATAATTATTAATTATGTATATAAAAATTCACGCACATGCATGTATATTTAATAATGTGTTATTAATATATGAATATACATATATATAATATATATTTAATATAAATTGTATAAATAAATCTATACAGTATATGCAAATATTTCTTAAATATATACATGCGTGTGTGTGTGTATTTATTTATAGAAAATAATTATATACATTACACACATTATGTAAGCACAAACTTTTCTTTTGGATTAATCGCGATTAATCGTTGCCCAGCCCTTATTATTAGACAAATGAAATGGATATGTTATGTCTTAAATGTATGTAATTATGCTGCTATCCAGGTGAGTGTGGCTATTGGTTGTGCCACTCGTGATCGCACGGTTGCATTCGCCAGCACTTTTGCCGCCTTCTTCGCTCGTGCCTATGACCACATCCGCATGGCAGCGATCTCCCAGTCTAACGTCAACCTGGTCGGCTCTCACTGTGGCGTTTCCATTGGTAAGGCATTGTGATGTCAAGTGCATGCATTCTTGCCATTTATCTGGACATAATTCATAGTCAAGTCTTGTCTTCTATCTAAAATATCGTCATTTCTTTTCTTTTTATGTGTTTCCTAACTTTCAATTTTGTCCAGGTGAGGATGGCCCCTCGCAGATGGCACTGGAGGATCTCGCAATGTTCCGTGCCATTCCTACATGCACAGTGTTTTACCCTAGTGATGGAGTATCTACCGAGAGAGCCGTGGAACTTGCAGCCAATACAAAGGTATGGTTTGCGGTTTACACTAAATGATCCAAGTACTGTAATTTATTATGTTTGGCACCAGAAGGTTTATCTGTTATTCTTTGGCTCAGTGTTCATGCTATTTTCTGCTTTCAGGGTATCTGTTTCATCCGCACCAGTCGACCTGACACTGCAGTCCTCTATGATGCTGGAGAGAAATTTGAAATTGGAAAAGCCAAAGTAAGAATGAAAAAATTGGACCAGACCACACTTTAAATTTGTAAACTATATATAACTTAAGTTTCATACTACAATGTGTATCATTTTGCATAGATAATGTTAGGGTCACCAGGGCTTCTGACTCAATTTAGGAAGACTAAATTTGTTCAATCAGCTTTTTCATTTACTGCAGTAGAAAAGTGGAACATAATTCCACATTATATTAGAGATTGTGCGAGTCTTAGCAGTTTTAAAATGTCCTTAAAGATTTGGCTGAAGGAGAATCAACTATGTGATCATTGACCTTTTTTATAACATGCATTGTATAGCTGTACTTTTGTTTTTATGCAAGTAATGTTTGTCTATATTATCTGTATTTTCCTTGCCCAGGGACCACAAATGCAAATTAGCTGTATAGCTAACTCTGGTACAGGGCTTGAACTATGCTTGGTCCCTGACAAATAAATAAATAAACAGAAAGGAAGGCTACAGCTATCAGCCATACTGAAATATGTCAATTCAGTGTAATCTGCTGGGTAATGCAGTGAGCAAATGAGGCCTCTTGTGAGGAAGCTAAAAGCTGTCTTGTTCACAACGGTTTTACTAACAATTCTCTTTTGGTCCTGTAGGTGGTGCGGCAGTCCAACAAAGATCAGGTGACCGTTATTGGAGCTGGTGTAACACTGCATGAGGCTCTGAAAGCATATGAGCAACTAGCCAAAGAAGGTTTGTTTAGCGCCTACTGGCCATAATAGGTCATTAACTGTACCTTGGATTCATTTTATTGAATTAACTCAACTTTGTAATGCAAGTTGAATTAACTTGTATTATGTTACATATTTTATATTAAAGCACATTGCTTTCTTTTTCTCATATTTCAAAGCTGTTGAGCATGTCTTAAATGTAAAAACGCTGCTTACCGGAATATTTCAGATCCTCAATTCCACCTTCTGACCTTTTAGACCAGTAATTAACTCCTTTATTAATAACTGATTGAATAGGATGAATGTGACGGAAATAAGTGTAATGAATTTTTTTGTTTGTAAATAGACATTTTAATTCAGAGATGTGTTTAACTGATGTATATGAAGCATCACTGGAATGTATTAATATTAAATGTTTTTTGTTAATTGTACGACTACTTGTTCTCACCATGAAGATTGCCATGCTGCTGACAAAAAAAAAAAAAAAACGTAAGTATATTCTCTATTTGCCAGGTGTGAACATTCGGATTATCGATCCATTCACCATTAAGCCCCTGGATGCCTCTACTATTGTAGCAAGTGCTCGTGCCACAGGAGGAAGGGTGATAACTGTAGAGGACCACTACAAAGAGGGTGAGCTGCTTTTTTTTTTAATTATTATTATAATTGAAAATGCATTAAGATCAGATGTGTAGATGTAGATTCCCCTTTTCCTGTTACTTAGTTTCTCCCAATGCTGTGAGGTATTTTATGTTGGTCCCTATGCTCTCATTGTAGGTGGTCTGGGCGAGGCTGTCCTGTCTGCAGTGGGTGAAGAGCCTGGCATTGTGGTGCACCGGCTGGCAGTGAGCCGTGTTCCCAGGAGCGGCAAACCGGAGGAGCTTCTGGACATATTTGGCATCAGTGCCAAATGTATCATTGCGGCAGTCAAACGTACTTTCGCCAACTGAAACTCTTTGAACCACCCTGAACATCACCCTTCTTCTTTCTCCATTCCTAACCCAGACTTTAGAGATAAGCTCACCATCCGTATCATTCCAGAAGCTCACGACTTGCAAATATACCTAACTTTATAGTGTGTGGACATTCTCTAACTTGTGCACTATAGTCAAGTGTCACCTATAGCTCTGAAATGCTTACAAAATGTCATTATCAGGTTTGCCTTCTTGAAATCTTTAATACTGCATTATTAGTGGTTTTTAAAGGTTTGAAAGTTTATCAGTGTATTCTTGGATTAAATCAGAGTTCATTCCAGTTCAAGCTGAACAAAAAAAAAAAAAAAGAGACCATTTCATATTGTCATTTTATTATTTGTCATTTCTTGCTTTTTACTGTTTGCTTCCTGTATTACAACCCAGTCTCCTGATAACTGAAATAAATTTGGATTTGGTGCTTTCAGGGAGTAATAAAGTATAGCTTTTTTTTTCTTCTTTTACTGCTGTTGCATTAAACTACTGGACAGCCTGGTTTGTACATGATTGGTTTGGTTTTGGTGACTTGATAAAAGGTATCATGTTAAAGAGACCTCTCTGTTGCTTGTTTGAACCTGTAGTTTTTCACAGAATTTGATGTAATGTGTGTTAATAAATTCGACTGCCCAGCTAACCTGCCTATTTACTTCTTGGTGTTGCTGTATATTCTGAGTTAGTTTTTACACTAATACATGTATCTCTTTTTATGGTTTTCAAAAAGTAGATTTGTGCAAGAAATAATGAACCAAACGGGCGACCGTGTACAGAAAATGTTTTTTTACTTTGAACACAAATATGGGCAGCGGTACATGACACCATTGACTTGTTTCAACAAATTTCAGAATTATAAATGCAGATCATTTCCCGTGCTTCCGGCTTGAATTTACGTATGGTGACGTCAGAGAGACTAGTTTGGGTCAGGGAATGATTTTTGAATCCGTCAAGCGAGACTTTATTCGACACCCTTCATGAAATCCAAGAACTCTGTTGGCATTAAAAGTAAGCATGTCAGTTGGGTTGTTTTTCGAGTAAATTTTAATAAATGTAGCCTACCATATTTTGAGTGTTGAAAGTTTTGCTCTGCATGTTTACCGTCGTAATCGATCTTGCCGTCGTTGTTCTTGTCTCCGTCCTTCATGAGTTCCTCGATGTCGTCCTCAGTGATGGCCTCACCTGTCGACTCCAGCATGTTCTTTAACTCGTCTAAATCAATGTAACCATCTCCATTCCTCAAAGAGACAACGGTAAAACATGTATTTATTATTAATAACTGCTTTTAGATGCTAATATGATGTACAGTAATACTATAATATGCTTTGGGATAAAATGCAGAGCATACTTATCAAACATGCGGAAGACCTCAGCCAGTTCCTCTTCTGTTTTTCCTTTACTCTCTTCTTTCATGCAGCGCACCATCATCACCAAGAACTCATCAAAGTCCACTGTCCCGCTTCCTACAAAGCACAGGGACCACTCAACAATGACATCCCAATTCAAACCATCAACAACATGAATATAATCTTAATCTAATATCCGACATACCATCCTCATCTACTTCATCTACCATTTCCTGCAGCTCTTCTTGACTTGGGTTCTGGCCCAGCATCCTCATCACCTTCCCCAACTCCTTAGTGCTGATGCAGCCATCCTCTGCGCCCTGCACGAAGATGTCGAACGCAGCGCGAAACTCTGCCAGGTACAGTCAGATAGCAGCGCAAAAGTCACACATCAACAACACTCTTGTGTTTAATCATAATGGATGCAGTGATATGTTCAAATTGACAGATTAGAAGGAGAAACTCACCATTTTTTTGCTCTTCGGTCAAGTTCTCCACCTATTAGGTGAAAAAAAACTTTACTCCAATTGACTTTGAACTAAAAATAAAATATGTTGTAAGACTATATAGCATGCGTGGTATTCCTCAAAGACTGACCAAGGTCTAGTCTTCACAGGAATGACAGCTGTCACTCGTTTAATGGTCGTCAGACACCAGACACCATCTGCCTTGTTAAATGCCTCAGTGCCTTTGACCATTCGCTATTTCACCAGCTATTGTGGGAATTGCCAAACCTAAACTTTTCAATTGTTTCGTTGTGTTAATTTATTGAACAAATTCATTTTGATAGTGTGTTCTGTGCCATTAGGCTATTTACCCTTAAAAGGGCACCAAATTTCCACTGTCCCATTTTCATTTATTGATTTAACCTTGAGTGCTAGCTAGGTGATAGTGCACTGATTGATATCTCTTAAAGATTATTAGTTATAATACTGAAATATGTCATTTACTGAGGAAGGAAATGTTCAAGGACAGGTTAACTGTCAAATTAACAATTATTAATTTATCATTTAGCTGATGCTTTCCTACAAAAAAACAAATGGGACTCTTTATTACAGGACCACTCTCCTTTCAGGCAGCCTGAGGTGTAAAGAAATGCTGAAAATTATTGCATTCCTAACTTACCGCTGCTTTATATACATCATCCATGGCTGTCCTGGACTAGGGGTTTTCTTTGTGATATTGTCTTTAAACTCCTCACTGGTAATCCAGCACTGTTGCCCTGTCACACAGCGGTCCTCTTTTCACGGCAGACACAGGACGAAGAGTGCCGGGGCCACCTGCCTTGGCCTTTATGGCTGGAATGGATGGCTCAGAAAAGACAAAGCCTTTTGTCACTCCCCTTCCCTATCTGAGTGAGCTTGGGATGGGTCGAAAAGGAAAGGGAGTGAGGCAGAAAGGGGTTAGGGATGGTATGTGTTATAAATAGAGGTGGAATGTCAGAGACAACAGGCAGGAGAACTCCAGTTATGACAATAAGTCCTTGGCACTGTTCTCCCTGGCAGCCAGCGCAACAACCCCATATCAAGTTCTAAACTTATCCACTGGTCACCTGCATTTGCCAATCATTGAGAAGCATCCCAACTCCATTCTTGTGGCAGACACTGACCCTATGCATGCACGTAAATTACTATAATCAAAGTGGCCAATTGCACTTCTTATTATTAACTCTTCACCAATGTTTGGATTTGTTAAAGGTGTGGATCCTTTAAAGAGCTGAACATTAATATTGCCCTTCCAAAGTTTTTCATATAACCACATTGAAAATATGAGACCTGGATAACCAAAAAGTTATAGAAATATTTTAAAAACCAGGCCACTAATTTAGTGCATTTACTACATTACTACATAAACTTCATATTTGTTCATGAAGTTCAGTTTTTAAATCTCTACAATTTTAGTGTCTAAAGTATTTTTTTTTCTTTTTTTATATACAAAATATTAGCAATTTAACTAGGTTTCAGACCTTTGAACCTTTTAGTATAGATAAAAGGATTTGAAATGCAATTCAGAATGAAAGATTAAGGCAAACATCTAATTATTCAAGTCCTAAGGTTAGATCTATAAACAGCTGTGGCATCCCTCCACCACAAGTCCACCTTTATTTCTATAATTAAGTCCAGAGAAGGGAACCCAGTACTCAAGTCACGTCTTGTGCCTGAGCTGCTTAAAAACATATGAACTTATTTTGTGAATTGTTACATCGGTCATTGTTTCTTTCTCTTCTTTCTCTGCAAATCAACTAATATTTGATGTCAAAGTGTGATTGTCATATTAGGTCACAAGGCAGGCAGCATGAACGCATCAAGCATAGATTAATGGCTCCGAAGATGACATCACAATGATACGCTATGCTATTCTGGATTCCTCTGGCCTAAATAAAGAACCACCAACTAGTCATGAACCTTCCCTTAAGAGACTCTCAGGGTAGGAGATTACAAAGTACATGCACATACAATTAATTCACAAATAGTATACTTGGGAATTCTAGCTGATGATCATCTTGCTGTTGGATTTCTCTCTTTCTTTGCCCAGCGTTTTTCTCCATGGCCAGCATAGACCGACCTCAGCCACCTCTTCCTGAGAACATGTAACAGCTGAGACACTGGGCTGGTTCAGAAGGTGTGTGTGGGACAGTGAGGACAGAGGGATTGGACAGGTCAGCAGAACACACTAGTGACTCACTATGGACATTTGTACGAAAAAAGTGGTTTTGCCATATAGCGTAAAATTACACATACTGTCTTACTCTTAGTCACTGTTTGTTTGGACAGGGTCATCCATTTGAAATGGTACTTAAAGAAGCAGAGATTCAGGGAACTTGGTTGGATTGGGAGAATTTTAGAAAAAGACAGATTTCTTCCAACTTACTTTAAAAGTTGCTTTGAAAGCACCATGCATACTCAGTGTCTATGAGAATGAATGTGAATTAAATAAAAAACAAATAAATAGTCTATAATTTTAGTGTGTGTGTGTGTGTGTGTGTGTATATAGTATATACTGTACATACTGCAACCATGTAGGAAGACTCTGGTTGGGAGGGACCATTGAAGAATCATTTTCACACATTAATTAGCACTTCTGAGTCCAGACCTCAAATTAAAATAATAAAACGTTTGTAACAGGCTATGACTGTGCTGGGATGTGGGGATGTTCTGGAGTAGACTTTACAGAGTGCTTGACTCTTGCATTGTCAAAAACAAGATCAATTTATGCACCTCTTGATGGAAATAACATCACAACATTTAATTCCATCAATGATCCAATCATAGACTTTTAAGGATTTACTTATTTAAATCCAAACAGCAACTTTTTGCGTGTGTGTAACAAAATGGCAATTTTATGAACATTTTATTTAAAAACAATGTGTATTTTTGTTAATAGAATAAAGTTATTAAAAAAAGGGTATGAAGATGCCTCAAATTGTGCGCATAAAAATATGCTTTCTATGTCTATGCCCATTTGTGGCCTGTGCTGAGCAAATTTAAACAGAGTCGCAAGGCAGTATCTCGCTCTGCAGTGATACTTTATGGAGTAAATGTAAATGCAAACAATCTCTCCCTACACAATGTGACCCCGAGAGCCTGTCTATTTGTATGTGTGTGTGAGACCCTTGTCCAACCTTAACTCAGACTTTTTTTTAAACATCCTTCTGTCCTCCCCCACAGTTTTAGACTTCTCAAATCTCTGATTTCACACTACTGATTGAAATGAAAAAAGATACTGTGTACATGCATGCTTTTAAAAAAAAGTGTTTTGACTTTTGACACTATTTTTTGTTTTTGCATTAGAAAACAAAATATTAAAGCCAGTGGCATTATTTTAAATACAGCCCAAGAAATAGTATCTACTTATGACATTCAGACGTTTTAAACGTGACTTAGCCAGTGCATAAATATAAGCCTATAATCTCCATAAATAACAGGAGTGTGTAGCTGTATGCTTTGAGAACACATTGCATTTGTCTGTATGCCTGTCTGCCTCCATGTGTTTGTTTTATGAGTTAGCGAACCATGTCTTTCTCTTTTGGCAAGGTCTTTTTCTTTTTCTTACATATACGTGCTAATGGACGAATGCCAGGCAGGAACATGTTGAGGACGAGACATGGAGCCGGTGAGAGATTTCTCTACAGGTCAGTCAGGCTGCTCTCTCACTGCCCTCTTGTTTGGATAACTCTCTCATTTGTCCATCTCAAGTGCTACAAGGTGTGAACACTGTGTCATTGTGGCATGACGTGACTGACACTGACCATCTTCTTCCTGCATCTCTCTCTCTCTCTCTCTCTCTAGTGTTTTTTGGCACAACCGTTGACTTTATAAGGAGGGGTTGATATTTTTGTGAACTCCTGGCAATGAAGGTCCTTGTACACGTTTAACCACGTACTGTGATCTCCTCCCTGTTTTCTCCTCCTCCCTCTCACTGCTAACTAAGAGAGAATTTAAGAGGGCAGCTAGAGGTGAGCCTGCAGGTACACGGCGAGCATCTGAACAGATCGGATCAGAACCATGCAGGCTCTTTTGCTCTTCTGCTTGTGCTTTGGAGTTTTAGCTGTGGACGGACAAGGGCTGAAGAATGATCTGGATTCACTCATCGCATTGTTACCTGAGACTGATGTTTCATCCTCACAGCATCAACCGGTGGATTCTTCTTCATCATCAAGTGAGTAGAGCAATAATTATAGTAATTATGATTTCAAGAGCAGTGGCACAGGATGAAATCTCAGGACTGGTCAGACAAGACCATTGTAAATAATTCATGGTGTCTGTTTCTGTAATGTTTCTTCTTGTTTAAAGTAGCTTATTTAAAGTAGCTTATTAGAGAAAATACATTAACAATGAACATACTGTTCATCTGACAAATCAGTTATAGCGAATCAAAAGATATTTTGAAAGAAATAAAAATGAATATAGGTAAAAGCAACGTCCTTAACAAAAATGGTTTGATAGAGTGTATCTGCCCCAAAAACGTGTGTATGTGTGTGTGTGTGTGTCTGCATCTAGATTAGTCTTTTAAAGTACTTCAACATTTAATGACACTTTAAAATGGATTAATTATATTGTATTAGTTAACAAAATATGAAAGCAAGTTATGGCTTTTCTCCGAGCTAACTTCACTTTTCTTGACCATTTTTACAATAATTTGGTCTTTAGTGGATGTATGAATTCTCAAGTTCACACAGGTGTCCTAGCAGAGTAACCACTGGTGTAGTTTATCATGTTAACTATAAATGACCCACTAACATTTTACAACCTGAAAGAGTATAAATGATATTTCGCTTTATTTTGAACATTAGTTCTATTGTTTCAACATTTAAAGTCTTATGCTCACCAAGGCTGCATTTATTTGATAAAAATACCGTCCTAACTTTAATATAATGAAATATTAATACAATTTAAAATAACTATAATAATTGAATATATTTTATAGATGTAATTTATTCTTGTGATGCAGAGATGAATTTCAGCATCATTACTCCAGTCTTCAGTCTCACATGATTCTTCAGAAATAATTTGAATATACTGATTTCTTATTAATATCAATTAAAAAGAGCTGTGCTTTTGTGGAAACTATAATTTATTTGCCCAGATTGTTTGAAGAATAGAAAGTTCAAAATAACAACATTTATTTTAAATAGTTTTTTTGTTTTTTTTTACAATGTAAATGTATTTACTACCATTGATCAATTTAGTACATCCTTGCTGAATTAAAGTATCATGGCTGAATTTGCAGGTGAAAGGGGAGCCAATCAAGCACAAAGAACGGGGCAATCGAGCGACACTTCCACAGACACACAGGTGAGACTGTATTTCTGCAGTCATAATGTCACTATCCTGGTTCCTTACATCAAACATTGTGATGAAATAAATAGAAAACAGTAAATATTGAATCCATGGCCATACTTGTGTCCCATAGTAATGCCCGTTTGCTTCACAAGCTGCTACTGTTGTTACAGTGGAACAAGTATGTGTATTCTGGCAGTCCAAGATAGAATAACCATACCATAAATGCTAATTATAAGTCTATTTTTGCTTCCTGTCTTAATGCTCAACCTCTCATTTTCCATTTCCTTTATTCCCGTCTGTGCTATTTATCCACTATATTTAGTTTGTTTAGTTTGTTCAGCGTGTTTCTGGTCATTCCGGTGACACTAATGGGCTCAATTGCTGCCGTGTTCCTTCTGTGTGTCCCACCAGTCAGTTTTGGGGCGAGTTGAGGCCGTGTGGGTGGAGCTCAATGCTGTGTTGAAGAGATGGGGTGGCGCAGCAGGGAAACTAAACACATTCTTGAGGGAACTCAGAGAGGAGAAAAAACGGCTCATGGATCAAGGGGAAGAGCAGAAACCAAAGGAAAAGAAAAAGGAAGAGGATGAAGATGAAGAAGAAGATGAAGAAGAAGAGGAGGAGGAGGAGGAGGAGGAAGAAGAAGAAGAAGAGGAGGAGGAGGAAGAGGGAAAGGAAGAAGAGGAAGCCAAAGAGGAGGAGAATGATGCTTCCAACAGCACCCTGACCCGAGATGGTTTCTTAGACTCGTTACCAGAAGGCTGCCAATTGGAAGGAACTAGAATATCCTGCAAGCAGATTGGCTTGTCCCACCTGCCCGTCATCACGAACCTGGAAGTCACCATACTTGAACTTCCTGGTAAGGTCAGGCTGAAAGATCCGACATAAGTATATGGATTACCGAGACACTGTAATTTATGTCGGTTATGTCTTGTAATAAGCCCAGCAATTCAGCGTTTTAACCAATGTGCTGCTGTCTTACAGGGAATAACTTAACAAGAATTCCTCCCCGTGGTTTTTCCGGACTGCCAAATCTCGAAGAGCTTGACCTAAGTTTGAACATGCTGGACGACTCCTCTTTCGACCTAAGTCTCTTTATGGTACTAGCATTTCTTTATCCCTTTAATTACACCCGTTATATACATCTATAATCTATAAAGGACTGTACATGTCTACATTAAATCTAAAAAAAGGTCCATCTTTGTCTGGATTTTTAAGAACATACAAATTAAAAGAAGAAAGTTTCAAATTATAACTGCTAAATGTATGTCCGGGCCAAGATAAGTCCGGATAGACCTTGAGAAGTGACCAAACACACCACTCCCAAAGCAAACCCAGCACCAGAACTCTGAGCAGTGGAAAATACCACTGTCTTCTTTGGACTGTCTATGCAATGTCAGTAAAATTAGCTTGAAGAGTAAATGTTTTTTGAGTGCACAATTTACACTGTCTATTTATGATATTCCACGTATGAAAAATAATACAGGTCCTGGGACAGCAAGGTTTGAAATACATTTAAAAACATTAAAATAATTTCATTTGGTGGTAGGCATAATGGAAATTTTTCCTTAGGCCCAAAGCAGACAGGACGTAACAACTTCCTCCCAAGTTGAAAAGAGTGTTTTCTTCTGCTTTTTAACAGAATCTGACAAATCTGAAAACTCTGAAACTTGACGGCAATGAACTTACAACAATTCCACGCTTGCCATCTTCTTTGGAGAATCTAAAGATAAACAGCAATAAAATAAACCAACTGGCTTCACACAGCTTCAAAGGTTTGTCCTGCGCAAACAGTGTGTTTATTCATGGCTTTGTTATGAAGTGTTTATTCATAAAAAAAGTGTTTATTCATGGCTTTGTTATGAGTTTAGATGTAGAAACATTATTATAAGGAAAGTCAGAGTTCTTTAGTCATTTTTTCCTTAATAAAAATGTACAGAAAAAAAACTGAATAGTACTTTTAGGTAATTTTTAACTGAATGTACACTCACACATTCTAGTTTTATTTGTACATGGAGCGAGTCGTTGAGATCACATGACCAGATGAATATTACTTGCTTTATTACAGTAACTTTCACTGATTAATGGACAGTTTTGCTCAGAAGATATACCTGAATTAGACTGTTAATAGTTCATTAGTGCAATAATTTTTAACAAGCTTTTGCTTTTATGGGTGCTGTTACACCCTTACCACTAGGTGTCAGAATAAGTCTAAGACAGCTCAAAATACACAAAAAATTACTGATACACCTTTAACTGTAATAACTAACAACATTTTATATTTTGTAGGCTTGACTAACCTACAAGTCTTAGAACTGACAGGAAACATCCTCTATGAGGGCAGTATTGCACCCCGGGCTTTCAAACCACTGAAGGCACTTAAGTATTTACGATTGGATAAAAACAGATTCAGTTCCATTCCAGCGGGATTACCCCCATCTTTAGAGGTCAGTTCTGTATTCCAGTCAATGTTTCAGTCACTTGTTTCTCTGTATATATTCTTGGTTTTTGTATTTTGATATGTCTTGGTGTCTTTGCAGGACTTAAGGTTGCAGGAAAATCAAATAGTGGAGGTGCATGACAGGCTTCTGGATAAGAGTGTCCACCTGAAGGTATTAGATCTCAGTCACAACCTCCTGAAAGAGAACAGCATCTACCCTGAGGCTTGGATCAACCTGCCGTAAGTCTCACACAGAGGTGTAAAGTCCAGGTTCAGAAAGTAAAAGTCCTCTTCAGTATTTTGTTCTTATCACCTGGATTTGCTAATTAGCACAGTTTTCAGCCAGGAGATTTAGGTGGAATAAACATATGGCAGGAACTCTACTTTCTGACCCCTGAACTGTACACCTTTCGTCTAGCATGCACATTTTTATACTTGATTAATGCACATTATAGGTTTATGTTATATATTATGTTTTAGGTTATATATATATATATATATATATATATATATATATATATATATATATATATTGATATATATTGATATAACAAGTCTTGTTCTCAAATATAAATTTTTCAAAGTATGATTATATATGACCATCATCTGTATCATCTTAAATAACACTGATTATAATATATATATATATATATATATATATTGAGATATTGAGATATTGAGATATAAAGATTATTATCGAAAATATTTTATAAGACATATATTTAATATAAATTGTTAAAATTAATCAAACTGATTGAAATAATTCTATATAAAAATCAATATATCATTATATACTGTGGGGTCCAGTGCTAGTTTTACCATAAATAGTAAAAACATACATATGTGTTTACATATGCTTATATAAAATATATTATATAATATATGGAAATATTTTTAAATGTATATAATTAATATATTTTGCTATTTTATCAAATTTATTTAATTATGAAATATTAATATTTATTTATTTAATTTATTAATGATGTGTGTGCATGGGATCCATTAGGACATTTTTCTTGTTAGCCACTAGATGGTGCACAAAATACACGCTAAGAGCAGTCTAACCCATCCTTTAAATGTGTTTTGGTAGAACATAATTACTGTTTGTTCGTCATCATCAGAATCTTTTGAAGAAGGGTGATAATATATTCTGGTCCTGCTGTCAGCCTGCCTCTGCCTCATAGTTTTGATTCGACTGGAGTAGATGTGCTTCCCCAAGGTCTCACATCACTCATCCTCAGGTGTTATACGGGAGACAGAAGTGACAGAGAGTTCACTCATCACTCACTCTTCCCTTTGCCCTGTCAAACACGCTGAGAGATGGGGTGAAATTAGATGCTTACCATTTCCCAGCTGTTTGGAAATCCAAACTTAATCCCATGCATAAAAAGACCTGAAAATGTCTAGGATTGTTTATGGAAGATTACTATAGGTCAATTTTGTAATTAAGCCTAAACTCACTCATGAATAACAGTTTGCACTTGTATTGCGGTGAATGCAGATGTTTGGTTGGCTGCTGATCAGCCAAATGGTGCGGTTTACAGCACTGGTTATGGCTTGGCTGTGTGACGGTGAATGTGTGGGGTATGATTCATACAGTGGTGACCTTGATGCTGAAGCAGTCCTACCGAGAGATATTTTATAGATTTCTATGAGTTGCCAGAGTACAGATATACAAGGTTATCACTCTAAACCATCCATACTTATCATCCATAAGAAAAGATGCAACAGTAATCAGTACTTTATTCTGTAAAGAGACTTTCAAAGTTCATACAAAAATAAAAATTCTCTTATTTACTTGTTTAAAACTGCAAGTCTTCTGGAGTCAATACAATAGCTTTATGTGAGAAGCAGACCAAAGTATCAGCTTATGTTAAAACGAGACCGTTCATAACAGCTTTCTCTGTTTCATAAGCTTTTTGTCTTTTCCCTCCCCTCCATTCCCGCTCTCACACTGACTCTCATACCGTCAGCAAATCATACTAATACATTATTCATCTCTAACATCTTTTACTCATTTTCTTTTCTTGCGAATTGCAAATCGTTTTGAAACAGTGCCATTCAAAGTGGGAATAGAAGGAACTTCTTTCTTTCTTTTTTTCACTCTCATCAGCATCTGCATTTCTAAGGAAAGCAGACATGATCACTGTAACTGTTGCCATGGCTGATGCACTTTTTGCTTTCCAGCTGCTTTTTTAAGGTAACCCGTGATTAGCTGCAGTGAGCGAAAGGAAGCTTTGATCAGCCATCCGCTCAACTTTACAGCCTATTTATTTCAAAAAATTATGTCACATTGTAACCAAATTGTGCTGTTAATTGTGTGTGTGTGTGTGTGTGCATGCATTCACGTGTGTGACCCTCTGATCTGCAGCACCATACTATTATCTCAGCACAAATCTGTGAACCTCCCCGAGTTAAGGCAGGTCTTTTACTGTCTACTTTAATTTCTTCAGCCTTTATGAGTGCCTGTCAGCCTAAATAATGTTCATTTTGGCACCATGGACCCGGTCTAAATACTGCTGTAAATTCCCAGCTCCATCAACACATCTTCATCACTCCATTTCTCAAACTTTTACTCATCTAGCAACCCAGCCACATTATATATACACATATAGCCATGATGACAATATTTTCCTGAAGCTTATTTGTGATCAGTCATTTCCAGCTGTGATTAGAGATTTTCGTCATCAGAAAGATGATGAATTGTGTATTTCTGGGGGTTTCTGTCCTAGAATCGCCATTGAAATGATTGAGAATGCTATCAACTAGCTATTACAGATCTCCTACATATTAACAAATTGCTTGGATTTACAGTGGTATTTAGACTGGGTCCATGGTGACGATATGGGCATGAAATAAATTAACTCTTTTCTCAGTTTTTTTTTTTAATACTTTTCTGCATTTACACTTCTGTTCGCTTCTGTTCTACTGGGATGTGTTTATGCCCAGTTTAATTCCTGAATTTGAATTGAATTGCAAATAGGATGTAGAATTACATTTTGAATTTAAATGTAAGAAAGCAGAATTTAAATGAACTGAAATCCAATTTATAATCCATTTTATAAGGTTTGAAGGATTATAGACTTCAGAGAAAGATAAGGGATAACTACATTTGAAATGCTATCTATAAAACTTTACTTTACTTCATCATATTTTCAATTATTTTATAATTATTTAGTTAACTTGTAGAGGAGGCTCCCAAAATGAATTGCAATTGAGTGATTCCTTTTCCTGTCATTTCATTTCAAATTCCAGTTCAGTAAAGTTGATGGCTCCTGAATGAGAAATTTCGATGTCCATCATTTTTAAATCACCTTGGATAAAAGCCCCTCATAAATGCTTAAAAGTTCGGTAACACTTTATTTCGATAGTCCACTTTAGACATTCTACTAACTCTAAATAACTTTTCAACTACATGTCGACTAACTGTCATTAGAGTATTAGTAGACTGTCAGCTTAATATCTGTTAACAATTTATTTTGTTGGTCCCCCAACAGACATTCAACTGACTATAAGTAACTTGGCTACTACAAGTAAACTTATTCTCCTAACCAAAAGCCTAACACCTAACAGTCTACTGACAGTCTACTATGATATACTAATACTCTAATGAAAGTTAGTTGACATGTAGTTGAAAAGTTTCTTATAATTAGTAGAACGTCTAAAGTGACTAAAATCAAAATAAAGTGATTCGATTGATCAAAATCTTTATTTTGTAACCAAAAGGTCACCTAAAAAAATTTAAATTGTCATCAGTTACTCACCCTCATGTCATTTCAAACCCATGTACAGAGATTTCTGTTTCTCCATTTAAAGTCCATGCAAGCAAAACTTTAAAGATCCAAAAAAGGCCATAAATGCATCGTAAAACGAATCCATATGAAAGGAGTGGTTTAATTTAAATCTTGTGAAGAGAAACAAGTGCTCCATAAGATATAAACACAGAAGCTTAAACATGCCTTATGTGTGACGCACAAGAAACAGTGAGGTTTGTTCTAGTGTGTGATACATGCATGTTTAAGGTTTCGTGTTATCATATTTGATGCATGTGCGTTATTCATAAAAATGTCAAGATGATAAAGTTAAATAAACCCCTAAATTATCATGTAATGCAATTATATCTCTTAACAATATTTAGATTAAACGTCTTGATTCATATGGCTCATATTTTTACGATCCATTTATGGCCTTTTTGGATCTTCAGTGTTTCAATGGAGGGACAGAAACCTCTCAGGTTTCATTAAAAACATCTTCATTTGTGTTTCAAAGATGAATGAAAGTCTTGCCGCTTTGAAATGACATGAATAAATGATGACATTTTCCTTTTTGGGTGAATTAAACCTTTAAACATTGTATGTGTGTACTGTATCCTCATCTCCTTGAGCTCTGTCCTTCTCTTTTAAAGAAGTGCCAGGCCCATAAAATCGAATTACAGTTTTTAATTTCTCTTAACGACCTTCATGGTTTATTTGTCTGAGCTGTTAATGGGAGTCACACGTTTCTTTAAAAGTGACAAAACTTCAATACGCAGCCAAATTTCATGGGATAAATGACCACAGTGCTCTGTTTATGTTTATATGCTGGTGTGTTTAAATAGGTGCACAGTGTTTTTGTCTGTGTGCATTGACACAACAGGCCCCCTGTCATCTAGAGAGTTGTTTTGGTTCTCGGGTGAAGAACAGGGTGTGCTGGGAGAGCAGGCCATTGACCTGAGACTGAGGATTTTGATGGATGGGTTGATGCGCGAGCGAGCTGGACCGAGCTTACGGGAATGAGGCAGGGGGTTGAAACAGGGGACACGCGCTGCTTGTTTTCTCACTGGGAGAAAAAAACGCAAGTTATTGCAGTTTCACCAAGACGTGCACATTCTTATTTCATAATGAGTTATATAAGTATCTCTGCTTGAGGAGAGAACCCAGAGCCAGAAGTTCTGAGGTGAGATACACACAAGTAGACGCCATTCACTCTTTTATAGTGTGAAAAAAATATTCAAAACCTCTCTTCTGAATCTGAAAAAAAAAAAAACATGAATTTGCAGAGCCACAGCTGGAGACAGTTATCCCATTGCCTGCTCTTGCTTGTTCAAATCATAGTGCCCGAAATGAAGAGGCTGAGTTTGGCTGAGCCTGGGCCTCCCGCATGCATGACATAACAATATGAGATGACAGTGGTCTTCCAGTCCCGCGTGCCAAGTTATGTAAGGGCGGTTGTGCAACATTTGCATCTTTGTGCCCGTGAATGTAGTGGCTGGCAGCCGTGCTCTTCTGCTTCGCATTATGGCAGTGCTCCCTGACGATGCCCACCCTTGTCGGTGGGGGAGATCTACAATATCACTACACAAATCTGACTAAGACATCACAATCTGAGGCTCTGTGTTCTTTGATTATGATTTATCATCTTTTTATTTTTTTTAATGCAAAGTCTGTATTTATGGCAGTTTTGTGAGTTTGATGCTATCTGGTATTGTACACGTTTTAAGGCTTTTAGGATGGTGTTTGATTTAGATATACATAGTTCATTGGCAGTGAAATGCTTTTTCTAATATTTAAAAAAAATATTTAAATATTCGACAAAATATAGACACAAGGTTTTAAAATATAGACACAACTATTTAAAAAATAAGCTAATAATATATAATCAATAATTTAAAAAGAAAGTTTGAGAATAAAGAACAATGCTTGACTGTTAGCTCATACTCAAATGTCTAAAACATATAAACACACAAAAGTGTGTCTGGCTGTAAATGATTGTGTTGCTCCCTTGTGAACTGATGCGCACATGCATAATAAAACATTTATGGATTTGTTTAACAACCCAACTGTTGATAAAAATCTCCTAAAGAGTTTCTTAGCATTTACTTTTATTAGTGGCAGTCTTGACCCACTTTCTTTGTCCAAGATTTTCCAAATTTCTGACACTTATAATTATAAATCATAAACACATAATTCCTAAAATAACTATGCAACTTAAAGGGATAGTTCACCCAAAAATTGATTAAATTTGAGAGCTGGATCACTACCACATGTGTGTGTTGAGCCACTGTAGTCACATGGAATATTTTAACATTTTCTTCAATGACTTTCTGGGCCGTCAAGTTTCAATCCCTTAGGGTGCCTATGTAGCAGTGATCCACCACTCAAATTTAATCAAAAATATCTTCATTTGTGTTCCGAAGATGAACGAAGATCTTACGGGGTTGGTATAGCATGGGGCTGAGTAATTAATGACTTAATTTTCATTTTTGGGTGAACTATCCCTTTAAATGTGAATGTTTTTTTTGGGGTGGTGGGGGGTTGTTTTAGCGACTTTTTCAAAATGTACAGGTTAGGTGATACCAATAATTGCTTTATTTACTACAGCTTAACATAATAGCTCCGGGTTCTCACTGAAACTCTGTCAGCTACGTTTACTGCCAGATATCCTGATTGATATTCAGTCTGCAACATCTAGAGTCTCATCTCTCATCTCAAGGTCAGAGCTTGTTGGGTGAATGAAAACCACATGGAGGTCAGTGTAGCTTTTGATGTAATAATAATAACACTCGTTGCTATACGAGACCCTCCTCGGTGCGCTGGTGGACTGGGCAGCCGTCAGTGTTACAGAGGAAATCCTGCTGAGGCTAACATTGTAAACTTACACCAGCTGCCTCGTCCAGAACCCTCTCGAAAAACACAAAAGCCTCTCATACACTACCAGTTCTTCAATACGTTCTCTCTCTAACTCTCTCTTGATCCTCCACCCCCACAATACACTCGTTCCTGCTGCTCTACTGCCTTTGTGCCTCTAGAGATCACATACACACATTTAAATGCACTTAACCAAAGTTGATGCTCAGGCTTTTTTGGCTCTAGCTGTCTTGTGCTGGGTTAATGACCTGCCATGGGGCCCGTTCTCCATGTAAACACAGCCGAATACTTCACAAGCTCCCCCAGCACTTGAGAGAAACCCTCTAAATATGCTGCAACCAATGTACACTACCCATCAAAAAAACTCTAACATGGTTTACAGTTTACTCAAATACAAATTGTAAAGACCAGCTTGAACAACCATGAATTCCTATGGTCCAGCCTTGAGGAATACCATCGGTGCCTGGTGCTTTGTTACTGTGTTCGGCCTGAGCCCACTAGGTGCTCAGTTGACGTGTGTCACACGTGGCTCCCTTTTCACATACACTAGCCAGCGGTAGAGGCTGAAAGCTGAATGTGACAAGCACAGAGCATACAGCACACCACACTTGATGCATCCACAGACCATGTATTAAATACATATTTAACCATATTTTCATATTTATGGTTTTAGATTTTTGCTGTGGTATCGAAATTGGTATTGAGATTTGCGAAATTTCACCGGTATCTACAATATTGTTACCATAACAATCTTATTATATCATTATCATTCATGAAATAAAATTACTCACATTGTGACATTGTGACAAATTTTGGTCATATTGCCTGCCGCTAATACACTCCGTGATTTAAAATTAAACCTCTGTCTGTCTGTTTCCTCAGGAAGCTGGAAGCTCTTGACCTGTCCCATAACCAGATGGCAGTGGTGCCCACGGATCTGCCCAGGGCCTTGCGCCAACTCTCTCTGCAGCACAATCACATTCACTCCATTCCTCCATACTCATTGAGTCACATCCGCCCAGGCTTACAGTCCCTGCGCCTCTCCCACAACCTGTTAGAAGAGCACGGGGTGCTGGGGAAGTCATTTCGTGGTGTTTATCAAACACTGGTGGAGTTGCTCATGGACAACAACAGGTTTGAGAGGGTGCCCCACAATATGCGGCACTTCAAGAACCTCCAGCTACTGCGTCTAGACCACAACCGTATAAGGTATTTACGCTCAAGCTGTTTACCTTAGCTAGTGAGCTGCCTCATTGCCTACAGCCTACATAGGCAGCATCTTAACTGTCATGTACAGCAACTATCTTTATAGTCACTGATGAGAGGCAGTGATTTCTGTTCATTCCAGTTGAGTCTGACGTTAGCATGTTACAGGACCAGTTAATACTCTATAAGCACAAAAACAAACAGCACACACAAATATTATGTGAAATATTTGTAAAAAAAAAAAAAAAAAAATCATGTACACTATTCAAATGTTTTCAGTAGATACTTTTTTTTAAAGAAATTAAAACTTTTATTTAGCAAGGACGCATTTAATTGATCAGAAGTTACAGTAAAGCCTTTATATTGTTAGAAAATATTTATATTTCAAATAAATGCTGTGTCCATGCTAAAGTAAATGCTTTTGTGACATTTCTATTCATCAACAATCCTAACAAATATAGCATGGTTTCCAAATAAATACACTATTTCTACTACACTATTTCTTCTATTTTCAACACTGATGATAATGATAATAAATCTTTCTTGAGCAGCAAATCAGCATAGTAGAATGATTTCTGAATGATCATGTGACACTGAACAAACCCATAGCGTTAGGCTGCTACACACCCATGGATACAGTACAACCTTCATTTATGAAACCCTCTCAGTTTATGAATTGATCACATCTAAATTTCTACTTTTTCAACAATTACTCAAAATTGTTTTCAGAAATTATGTTTCTTATCTTATTTATTGCGTAGATTTGCTTTTCAGATTTTTAAGTTTAAATTTAGAAAAATTATATTTTTATCGCAAAACATGAATGCCTACAATGAACCATTTAATAATGAATCATACATATGGCTTTGTGCTTTCAGCTCTGTCCCAGTGAAATCGATCTGTAAGGTTAAGAGGACGGAGGAATCGCACCTGAAAACTGTCCATTTAGAGTACAACTACATCAATGTGAAGAAAATCCCTCGTGCTGCTTTCTCCTGCATTCGGGACCCTAGTAAGATCATATTGGAGCCTCAAACACAGAGCTAGAGAACATCACCCTGTCACTTCACGGCCTCCCCTCTGCTCCACCTGTCAGTCACTCCCAGGTTAAATACTGTAAACACCATGGCCATTAGATCCTTTAATAATGTGCACGCTTGCTCTTGAAATGCACATTTGGATCATGTTCAGCAACTTGTAGCATAAAATACATGATTTTGTTTCTTCTTGTATGTAATAAACATTCTTCTTGTAAGTTAATGTCACAAGTGGGCTCAGAAACTCCCTGGCTCAGACAGTTATTAATGGCTTTCTTACACAATATTCATTTATTGGTGCATTTGCAATGATTTTATTATTTTATTACTTTATATTTATAATTTTATTGTATTATTTTATGTCTTTATATTCTGATGTGACATTAAAACAATTTCATGTATAATACTTTAATATTAATTCATTTTTTAACTCAAGACAGTGTTTTCAAAACCTCTAATGCTAAATGTTAACAATTACCGCAATTTCAAAGTGTCTTGTCAGACATGATGGAACCAAAGTTAACTCAGGTAGGTACAGCTACAGTATATGTATAAATAATATATATATATATATATATATATATATATATATATATAAATGCAGTCTGAGGTCTGTGACAGCATATTTATTATCCATGACTTTCAGGATTCTTCATTTCAGGACTCAGCAAAGATGATGTTTAGAATGGCAAGGTAATGAGATAGAACTTATGAGCTGTGATGTCTGCTGAGTTCAGGTGTAAATGACGCCCACAGCTCTGAAACGGGCCCCTCTGTGCTCAGTCTGCAGCACTGCCTCGGGGCAAGAACAGGTTTCTTAAATTCCATTTACATAAGTACCTCCGAATTCCTATAACCAAGAAATCTATCATAGTGCCTCAAGATGAGTTTCTTTAAGCTTCATGTCTAGCTCGCAATCGTAAATGATTTACATCAAGCTGTGGATGCCCCCAATGACCTTGCCTGATCATTCAAAAGAAATCTTATGGCCTGACACATTTAGTTTGAATTGCATTACACTGAAGGCATTTGAACTCATTTAAAGTCCTTTTAAGTCAGTCCACTCACAGTCATTACAAATCATGAAAGCATTTTCTGAAATCTACGTGAAAAGAGTCCTACAGGGAGTCAACTGTTTGCCTAGTTTTAATGTCTTTAATTTGTTAGGTCACCAATAATATCTGACAAAACATTCATCTTCAGTGTATAGATGACTATTAATGGTATAAAAATATCACACATTTATTAAAAATTATATTTAAGGGTAGTTTACATGGCCACAACTCAACACTTCTTGGTTTTCCAGAGAACTGAAAAAAAATTATTTTTAAGGTGTCCGTGTTAGAGTGTAATTATACATTTAAGTACTGAGTAATAAAAGTAAAAAATACGGTTCTTTAAAGGTTCTATTTAGTACCATATTGTCCTGAATAACCCTTTATATGCTGAAATGGTTCTTTGTGTTGGAATTTTAGTTATTTTTTCCCGCCTTTTGTTTTTCAAATCTGGAACTGCCAAAGCCTCCTCATTACTTATTTTCTGGAGCTGAGATATACAACTATAGTTTCTACACAGACTGTCAACATTAACAGGTAAATTATTTCATTCTTAAAATGTCTATACATTTTAACTTTAAAAATTATAACAATTGTAATGGATTTTTTTCCTGAACTATAAAGCTATAAACCTACCCTATACCCTAGCGCGTCTACAGTCGACGACCTGCTAGGTACTAATCCTATAACCCTAGCGCGTCTACAGTCGACGTCCTGCTGGGTACTAATCCTATAACCCTGGTGCGTCTACAGTCGACGTCCTGCCAGGTACTAATAATTCTAACTTACTTGTTCTTGCTGCGCAGCTTAAATAACAAACAGACTACAGCAAATGTCCTTTCAATGCTTTTAATTACGGCCAGGAGAGTTCTCGAGCAATACTCAGAGAACTTCCCAAGTAAAAACAAGGCCGGTGGATCTCAGACAAATTCCATTGAGAATCCCCCCGAAAACACTGATACAACAGTTTTTATACAATATGGAGGCATGCCATAATGACATTAATTTCATTGGTTCTTCATAGGTAGACTGTTTTGTTACTGGGTAGAGGAGACCTTGTTTTAATGTTTCTAACTTAGTCATCTGTCTAGTTCCATTTCCCATATTTGTTATTTATACACAGTCAGGTGTTTGACACACATACAGTACATTCATCTCAGGACATTGTATCAGAGATTTGGCTGGTTAAATGAGGTCAAATGTCGAAACATGGTTAGCTTAATATTCAGTTTAAAATTTTCCACCACACAATCATGTCTTTTTCTCTTTTAGTTTAACAGAATGTAGTGTGAGCAGCTCTGTTCAGTAAACTCACCTTCTCTTCTCCACAAAGTAATAGAGATATGGAATTTATTATTCATATTGTTTGATTTTATTTAAAATTATGACTTTATACCTGAACATAGCCAGTCACAAAAAAAAAAAAAAAAAATGTAACTCTAAACTCAATTGTATATTTCAGATGCTGTCCCGTACCTGACATCATAGGCCAAGGGATGTTAAGGTATTTCATTGGAACTTGGTCTTTATTACATCTATATCACGTCCAATGTCAATTGTTATTTATTAATGCTGCCATGTCAATTAAAAATAAAAGTACACGAACAAGAACATGCTGTTTTTAAAATCAAATAGAGGCAACACGATATAAGACCAGGCAGATAGAGGGCTAAAAATAAAGCAATATTAATAAGTAATTTCTAAAAAAAATAATATGAAGATAACATACTAATATAATGAAAATAAATATTGTTGAAAAGGTTATTTTTTAAACCATTAAGGTTCTACATAGCACTTTCAAAGCATGGTTCTTTATGGAATCTATTTTGCACCAAAAAGGGTTCTGCTATTGTTACACGCCGAAGAACCCTAATTTGGTACTGTTTAGAACCATTTTTCTTAACAGTCTACGTGTACTTATTATAGTGTTAAGATTAGGGTGTTGCATGTAATTATGCATAATGTATATATATTAGGGCTGTCAAACGATTAATCGCATCCAAAATAAAAGTTTGTGTTTAAATAATATATGTGGGTGCACTATGTATAATTATTTTGTATATATATAAATACACACACATGCATTATATTTAAGAAAAATATATTATTTATATATAAAATATTTATATTTATATATAATATAAATTATAAATATATATACATGAAAATATTTCTTAAATATATACAAGCATGTGTGTGTATTTATATATATAAAACAATTATACACAGTGCATCCACATATATTATTTAAACACAAACTTTTATTTTGGATCCGATTAATCGTTTGACAGCCCTAATATAAATTAGTAACCATATGTAACGTGTAACAAGGACATTGTAAAGTAAAGTGCTAAAAAAAATTACTCCATTCACATCTTGAGAACTTCGCAAAAATAGCAGCTGGACATTTCAAATAGGGCACGAAGGAGAAAGAAACGCTACATCGTTTAAAAGATCAGATACAATGTTGGTCTCAAATGTGTCATGTCGAAACATGAAAGGCAGCGGGGCTTCTGCTGTTATAGGGATAATGGCTCTGAGGTTCAAATGTGCATGTTTCCTGGTGATCCTTTTCTTAGAGGAGAGGTTTAATAACAGTATGACTGGTCTGTTTGCAAAACACAATGCTTGTATTCTTGCAGCCCCCAAAGGAAAAAAATACCATTAAAGATATTGGGGCCAAGCAGAAAGACATAAGATGTGGATCTGTGATCCTCTCCAGCACATCCAAACAGCAAAAACCCTAGTGTCCTTCCAGCTTTGTTAACAAAGTGACTTCTTTAGTTTTTGACGTTCTTTATCCTGACATTTATTAATTATTTAATTAATTAGCCAGTTCACTGCTCAGAAGACAATGGCCCACAAAACTCACAGATTATTTATTTCATATAATATTTATATGTATCTTTATGTGATCCTCCTGTTTATGTAAATAGCTCTCAATGAGTGTTATTAACAGCCCCACTGCAGCACCAATTACCTGTACATTCTTCTTAAAACGACTTCCCGGTGCAACATAAGGATTGATGAAATTATAATACTATTAATAAAGCCAAAAACCTGTTTTTTCTAACAAAAATACATACATCTGGAGTTTTTGAAGCCACACAATAAGCAGTACAACTCATAATGTTGACTGTTACAAAAAGTACAAAGAACTCCCAGCTGAGCTGAGCATATAATCACACATTATTTCTAAGCACCACTGAGTTGGCCGGTGCAATTGGTTATCCGATCTGCACACAAAATAACCTCGATTTGACATAATTGTACGGTCATTTTGAAAACAGTGCTTTACTGTCTAAGAAAGTGGCCACCACAACCAACAAAATTCAGGCTGCTCATGTTCCTGCCGAGTTTGATCTGAGTGATTTTAGCTTGGCATATTTAAATAAAGTAAAAATGTAATTTATCTCAACATCTTCCCCAGCAGTAAGATATAAATGTTGCTTGTCATGGCCATCTATATGGTGGTACAGAGATCCAATGTCGACTAGACTCACTAACTTGCATAAGCTGTGACTGGCTCTGGCTCAGATTCCTCCGCTTGAGAATAAGAGTGCTGAGGATTGGGGTTTTTTTCAACCCAGAGGAGATCCGTATTATCCTTCATATCCTCTTTGGCCCACAGACAAGCACTGTTCTTTCTTTATTCAGACTCAAGCTGTTTTCACATGTAAAGCGGCCTCTGCCATGGAAGGCAAGTCTGCCGTTCCCACATCCTTACAGACATGCAAAAAAACATTTTATTTTTGTCTTTTACTTTCAAATTAGTCAGTTACTTTTGTTTAGAAGAAAAATTTATTCTCAAGAATTCCATAATTTAAAATCGCAAAGTTTAACAACAAAACAAATCTCTTTTGTCTTTTCACCTCAAAGTAAAATAAATTCAAATGTAATTGTTGGATAACGCTTAAAATAAGAAATAAAGCATCTAAAAGGACATGGTCATGAGGAGGGGAAGTGAGTTTTGATATTTCAAAGCTTTTGCAAGCAAATGTAAAGTTTATGAAGGAATGCAAAGATTCGCCAGCAAATGCAAAAGCACTGAAAAATGTTTTCCTCTCATCTCATGTCCATTTAGGGGCTCTGTTGTGAGATATGCTGTAAACTCAACCTGTGAAATTTAAAGTCACAATTGTGAAAGATGTTACATTGCAAGGTATAAAGTCACAATAATGAGAAACAATTTTGCATTTGCAAGAATTACAAGTTCCCAATTAAAGCAAGAAGTATTATCCGATAGCTGCAGGCAGTGCTTCTAACATATTTTCTGTTTTGACATATAATCCTCTGGAATAAAATAATCTGCTTATGCTGAAGCATATAGTATAAAGTATATCAGAGCTATGCACACACCCAAATAACACAACTGGACATTACAATAGTCAAAAATAATGCAGGTCTAAAAGAAACTTGTTTTAATGTAAAACTCTCTGCCCATCTGTTTTGTCCTCTTTCTCTACCCTTTTCCAGCAAAAGCAGCTTCCTGTGTTTGTTATTAGAGGAGCAAGAAGGGGGCAGTTGCCCATAAACCCCCACTGGACTGTGAACTCAAATCACATCACTCCATTACAGAGAGTGAAAAGAGAATGGAACGAGTGAGAATAGATAAAGAACCAGGATTCATGGCTAGTGTTGTGTAATGCATTACTAAATAATTAATAACTGTTATTTAATTAGCCTACTTGTCCCTTGAAAAAGTAAAGTAAGTGTCACAAGGACATCAAGAGTTCTTCAAAATAACACATGGAGGACGTTAAATGCCATTGTCATATTTATTTATGTTCTCCCAAACCAGTAAAGTGCAAGGTGCTCACAGGTGCCACAGCAGGAAAAAAAAATTCCCCAAAAAAGAAAAAACAACAACAAAGTCAATATACCAAAAACACTAGCCTTGCATTCACTACCAACAGTCTTTACCCTCCTGATCACTTCATTCTGTGAGAATTTATACACCATTTCTCAGCAATTACCACATTGGGAAGTAATAAAGATCATGAACAGCTAATAAATATCAAGTAAAAATATTATGTGATCAAGTAAATCCATTTTCTTCACCACACAAATTTAAATAACAGTACAAACTTCAATAAGTAAATTTCAACAATATTTAAAGGAAGTACACATTAACATCAACCAATTCCCCTTCCATTTCCACCATACTTGGTATCTCCCACTTCCCATGATGCAACACATAGCGCAGGTAGGCTATAAAAAACGTAAGAAAAATGTCCATGCCAGTCTTTTATCCAATTCAAGATGGCTGCCACCATGTATGCTGCTCCAGGTGACAATCAACAGTCGTAGCAAACTTTAAATGTCCTCAAGGTTAGTCCTCAGTTGGCCAGTCTGAGACACAACAGTACAGTTGTGAATATATTTGTGTGGATAATCCATCTCTCATGTCGCTGGTACTAAGGTAAATAAAGAGTCTTTTAAAAACCAAGTTTGTGTTTATGTGTTTGGTGGAAGGGCTAACAAGGGGTCACAAAGAACTGAGGGTAGCTCTGTGACAGTAAGGGATTAAATGTATGAATTAGCATACTCAAATTTTTCTAGTTAAGTTCAATTAAAATATATGAGTATAAAATAAAAAACTACAAGTTCTGCTTACTTAAACTTTGAATCTCTTAACTCAGGAATTTGATGATTACCTCCAACTTTGGAGTTTATTCGGGTTTACACAGACCTGTAGTAGCCTACAGAAAAGATTAGGCCTAACTGCGCTAAAGAGATGAAAGGACAGCTGTCAAGAAAGGACTGTTTAACCAATTATTAAAGGTTTTAATGCTGACATTGTACCTCTTTTTAATATAATTACTGCAAATTATAGCATCAGGAAAACGTTTTTTCTCCTGCTTCAGAAAATCTACCAGTTTATGTTCTCATTCCTCCAGCTTATGAGTGGGTGCTGGCAGTAGAATTAACTAAAGGCAGAAATGAATAACAGTGCAGGTTGCCAATGGTAAATAGAAAACAGACCTGAAACAGCATCATCATGAGCTAAACTGTACTTTCTATGGCTCAGCATTACATGAATTAAATGTGCATGGCTATTAATCATGATGAAGAAAAGTAGTATGTAGCTGTCTATTGTCCAACGTTATAGGGTAGCCTACATTTGAATGCAATCACAAATGTCCCCTTGCAGACTATAACGTCCTGCCTGCAGCTTTCTCTGTGCAGAAAGAAAGTGCATCTGAATTAATCTTTTTAATGAGTCTCCTCAGAAAGGGCTACACTTATGAACCAACTATAACTACTACATCAAACAAGTTAAAATGTTGCAGGGCGTAAACGGTTTCAAACTGCAAAAGACAATGAGGAATAGCTGAGAGGGCAGAATAATATAGAACTTTGACGTTTTGATATTATTATGAGGTTCAAGCTTTTTGCATTGGTTTTTTAAACCTCCTCCAGCTTGTTGAAAGAGCTTTGCTTTTGCTCTCATTTTGGATGAATTTCAGTCACCGTAGGGTAGGCTATAACATTCCTCATAGTTAAATCTGTCTAACGGATCATCATCTTCCAATAAACATTACTTACTGTAGAGAGACGCTTCAGTGGTTATGATCACTAAATGTATTTGTAGGCTAATCGATTTTTGTTAAATATATTGCTTAAATGTATGCTACTGGGCCCACAGATGAAAAAACACCAAAACAGGGAATTATAGTCTGCTATAGGCTATATTCTGCTAACTGATTTGCATACCAACATTTTCGTTTAATTTTACATTTCGAGGAGATAAAAAAATCGAATTAAAAATGAACAGGCTCATAGCTTATATATAATAGCTAGCCTATCCCACATTCATTTATTGAGATAATATGGTACAATAAATGATATTTTGGCGGAAACAACACGGTACCTAACATGATGACATTTTATGTCAGGGATTTTCTTAATATGCACGTTGTAAGAAACCGTTTCCTTCGATTGCTTGCATTGAAGACGTGTAAATAACATCAAATCAACCTGTCAGAAATCGTTTCATACATGTTGCGCAATATAGCCTTCACTACACACTACTGAGTGAGCATCTGTAGCCTAGAGCAGCTGGCAGAATTCTGGCACTGTCCAACCCACCCAAACCCGCACGCCCGTGTTCGCCTGTTTCCTCCGTGAGGAAACCACCAGTCCAACTCTCCGCCTCACTGACAGAGACAGGCATGACCCACTGGAGTTAGTTAAGATAGTTAACACTAGGAGAACGAGGCACGACTAAGAGAACATACTTTACAGCCCAAATAACAAACTCTGAAGATAAATACGGTAGGAGATCACAGTGTGGAAACACTGCAGCCCAAATTAAGGTAAGTAGCCTAGTATAAGCGTTTGCTAGTTAATTATTTACCGGAGTAAAGATAGTTTGCGGGTTAATTAGCCTACCTTATGTTATGTGGACATTTTGATTGATCTGCCTTTCCCCCTTTTTTATAGTTTGACTAGTTAGCCCTACTGTACTTTTATAAATGTTCTAGTCTAGGCTATAAGCTTTAGCGAACCTTAAAGCACAAACCGATGCATTTGCAATATGAAACTTTCTAGATGTAGCGTATGTGCAAAATTGTTGCTCTCTCTTTATTCAAATGCACAGAGTTGTGATGTGAAGATATTGATGCTCTAAATTATGATCGGCGGCTGGCCATGCCATTATGTTTGGGTAGTTAAAGAGTTTAAACTTTTTATCTTTTAAATTCCTCTTCATACTTTAAAATTAATCAAAATAGCCTAGATGTTCTTTTATTTCATGAAAAAAATATAAAAAATTCTCAGCAGTCTGTCTTCTTGTTTAGCTTCATCATCAGCTCAAGTAGCAGTTCTTGCAGAAAACTTCTGCTAATGTGAATAAAGGGTTACGTCAACCAAAAATGTTAATTCTGTCATCATTTATTCAGCCTCAAGTTGTTCCAAACCTGTATGAATTTATTTCTTCTGTTGAACACAATGGAAGATATTTTGAAGAATATTGGGGCACCACTAACTTTAATAGTAGGTAGCCTATGAAAAAAAAGTCAATGGTGCCCCAAAACAGTTTGGTTACAAACATTCTTCAAAATATCTTCTTTTATGTTCCACATAACAGGGAAATTCATACTGGTTCGAAACAATATATCGGTGAACACTGAAAGAGGAAAGGGTGGATGAAGAGGAAAGACGGATGTTTGGGAGATGTTGAATGATGATGTGACTGATGACTCTTACTGAATGCAGGATGAAAGCACTAAATCAGCTCTCTGAGTCTGTCTGACGGTTATTATCTATCTATCTATCTATCTATCTATCTATCTATCTATCTATCTATCTATCTATCTGTCTATCGGTCTGTCTATCGGTCTGTCTGTCTGTCGTCCATCTGTCCCGGTTAGTACTTAATTTTCCTCTTTGGAGCCATGATTGCCACTAGCACCACCTAAAATTCTCTTTCAGCCTCTCTCATAATTGTCTATATATCTAATTGTGGAAATGGCCAATATCTTTTTTAAATAATATCGTTTCACACTCCATATAACTCGTTTAACAAGCAGCTGCTCTGTTGATCAGGTCTGCCTTCACTCTTTGTTGTGCCAGTCACCACATTCAAGCAGAGCAGTAACAGACATTGCCAGGCAGAAGCTTTTTTAGGGACTGAAGTTAACAAATTACAGTCAAGCCAGCAGTTAATTCCTGCCAGCAAAGAGCCCAGAACCACCCAATGGTTTGTCAGGAGAGAAAGTGTGTGTCAGACAAAAGGAGTCTATACATGTGATGTGTGCATGCAACAGACAAAATGGCTCAATTTAGATGATTGGCTTTATTTGTCAGAACAGATTATATTGGGAATCTTCATATATTTAGTTGGGTGATGTCAGCGTTTTATTGGCTGTTGAACATTGAAAGCAAGAGTGTCATTGGAATCCTAATCAAACCACATGTGATGAGTCAAAGCTGTTTTTATAGAGAAATTCTTTATTCATGACCTTGCCAACTAATGTCACAAACCACAGATTCACCAGAGTCATGTGAGTTCACTGCTTTCACAATTAGTGCAGTAAACTGAACAACTTCCTCCTCCCAACTTTGGTATGTTAGTTAGATAAGTGGCATAATTCAACTCTTAACATTCAGCTCCCAGTCATATTCTAAAAGATGAAAAATGCATTTGGTAACACTTTATTTAGATGGTTTAGACATTCTAAGGAACTCCTACATGTCAGCCAACTCTTATTAGAGTTAACTCCTAAGTTTTTGATGGACATGATAATGTGCACGAGGGGTGAACTATGTTTGATTTTGGGGTAATGGGAATCGAAATGCTTTTGTAAAAGTGCACTATACCTATTTTATGGAATGTTTATTTTGTGGCTTACTGTAAATAAATGATATGTTTTATCTCTTGTCCCATTTATAGATTGCAAAGCATTGAGACACGCCATAGCCTTGTATTTTTGCTTTTTTTAGCCTTAACTCTACAAGTGAGTCTTAAAGACTTTCAAATCAGACATAAACACATGCCTCACACAGTTCGGATGGAAATTCCCTTTTTTTGGCTGATGTGTTTTATTATTATTATTACAGTAATCATGGGAAACATGCTGCGTTGTTCAGAGAGATCTCTGTATGGGCACTGCTCAGTCTCTGTCATTTCTGGAGAGGCGTCTGCTGTGCGCTCTATTATTAAAATTTGACATTTAGTTAATTACTGTCTGTCTTTTTCAGAAACACCAGACTAGGTGGAGATTTAGACAGTAACTAATTGTTTTCATGAAGAGAAAAGATGTATTGGTCTACATTTTAAACAGCATTGTTTCATAAGCTTATTAGGCATTATTTTCCCAGTGTTTAAAGATATAATATCACACTTTAAGTCTTGTAATGGGTTAGCAAAAACAATGTATTACACATCGCAAACTTATTGAATTCCTCAAAACAAAATCAAACAAAACATCATTGTACTTGTACTGCATAGAAGCTTAAATGCGTAATTATTTTTTTTTTTGAATGTGTTTATATGCCTTGTAAAATGTAACATTTTGGTATTCTCTGAGGTTTGGTCAAAATTGCAACGTAATACTATTGGAAAATGTAATGTTTGAAAAATATCTAATGCCATCATTTTTCAAAAAGAGTGTTTAAAACGATACATTTTGGGAAAGACAACATTAAATAAAAATGTAAGTGTATTTTTTACTAACACAAAAATATATGTTTTATTTGTTTATACAATTTGGGATCAGTACGATTTTTGACAGTAACCCCTTTTATAGAGTTACAAACGATTTCTATTTCAAATATATGCTTTAAAACAACACTTTCTAATCGTCAAAGAATCCTGAAAAATGTATCATGGACTGGTTTCATTAAAATACGAAGCAGCACAACTGTTTTCAATATTGATAATAATAAGAAATGCTTCTTGAGCACAGAAGACTATTACCTATTCACATGCATCTTGCACTTTCATTTTCACCTTGCTCATTAGCTGCTGCTCTTCTGCACCTGTTTTCTCTTAGTCTCTAAGACTAACATGTACATTTAACTTTGACCAACTGTGTAATTAGCAGCAGAAGCAGTTGTTATGTCTAGGCCGTACCTGGTCACTGGTGTCCGGATCTTAAGTGCAATGAGCTTTGGATTGTCCGCTGATGTGTTTGGCTAATTCCGTGGGATAGGATTATCTTTGTGTCAGCTAATGTGTGTATGAATGTGTATTTGCGTGTGTTTTTGTTTAAGGCTTCAGATGGCTTTTGCTTATTTGCTGTTTTCACATAGCCATGGGATTGGCAAGCGTTTTTACAGGTGTAATTCTTAGATTGTCCTTTTGACAGCAGACACTACCAGATTGAATATCTGTTTTGCATTGGTCAAAGTCAATCATCATCTGTATCATAATCTCAATGGACCTCCACTCATCCAACAAGCTGCTAGTTGATCAGTGAGGTCAGCATCCATTGCTTTACCAGTTTTTACAGTAAAAGTCTTTAGGAAAAAATAATTTGTTTCATTATTATTTTTTACTTTTGCTGCTACAGCCATCACACCATGACACCATTTTACCTAACATTTATTAGTGATCTGATTGTACTGTTTTGTAATATTTTTTTTCTGTCTGTTTGTAAAATAAATACATTTTTATAGTTACAAAATATGTCACTCAAATAAACAAAAGAAACCTTACAAATGTTCACCATATGTTAAACAACAACCATTATTAATTGATTAAAATAACAAAAAATAAATTGTGAATAAATATATATTAATTTTTAATATGTATATCTCTGAATCGGACTTACCTAAAAAATGATTGAATGAGGGAATCAGTATTGACGCTGAACAAATCAATGGCTAAATGGATAAGGGATTCCATCTAGAAGTTAGTTTGTGGCTGTTTCATGAATAATTTGTTTGATTTATTAAAAAAGACTGGTTCTTAGGAGTCATTTTGTTTGCAAATTGCAATTTCTTTTTTATTGTGTGGTGTCTTGGTGGCATAGAAAACACTGGCACACGTGACAAAATGGCATATATGGACACAGACAAAATTTATGCCAACTGGATTTGAATAATTCGACCCTTTTTGTCTCATTTGTAAACATTTTATTCGCAGTATAAAGCCCTGCAGAACCGTATTTGGTACTCCAAACTGTAAAAACGATCATATTCTGCTGATGTGCGAACATAACTATTGAAATCCTACTCAAGACACTTTGTTTTGTTGAGCAGCTGCTCATTAAAGAGTTGCTGTGTGGAAGTGCTGAGCGCAACAGTATTTTGTCCCATAAAAATGGCACATATACTTACGCATATTATGGTGCTTGTGGTCATAAATAATGCATATAGTTTTCAAACTCGTCTATGGAGTGGAGGATGCAAGGACTTGTGTATAATTGTACCTCGGCCCTCTCCTCGCATTCCTCTGGCCAGTCCAAACCGGACCTTTTTTGGGGACCATGGTATAATTTAGCTTCTATTTTTACAAATGGGTACATTTCATTCCCTGTTTGCTTTTATTCCAGGTCAGCGGCATAAAAAACGTCTGTCGCTTTCCCAAGTGTTTGACTTTAAAGTGAAAGATGGGCAGACGATATGAGAGGAACACACATAGATGTTGGCACGTCAGGAAGAATAATGGGATTTCTTTGGATGCTTTAGGCTTTAATGCCTTGGATGAACTTATATTTAGCTAACGTTTGGATCAGCATATGGTCAGCTCTGGGAACTGTCAGCCACCGTGACAAATTTTTTTATGTAAATGTCGGTTTGTAAGTCCATTTCAAAGATGTCTCTGTTGCCTCGGACCTAGACAACAAGCTTGAATGTTCACAGAAGATGATTGAAGAGTAGCCAAGGGGAACGGCAAAAGCATCCATGCTCATTACTCAGTAAAGACACAGACGCTGTGTGAAATGGGAGACATAAAGGACTCAGACACATTTACATGAACAACATTTGTGTGGGATAACTCGGAGATAATGGGAGTCTTTACTGCGAGTTTGCTATGCATAAATAGGAACTGAGGCTACTCTACAACGACTTAAAGCTGTTCCTCAACACAATGTTCCTCTTTAACTGACAAATGATACGGCAGGTATTATTTGACTTGTTGTTGAGGTATTCTTGAATTAGTATTGAAAATTCAGATACTGTATATTATATTATATTATTCTTAAAGATTAGGGCTAACACAAAAGTAACACTAAAGACAAAATCTATTTTTAAATGAACATAACTGAACTTTAGATTTTGTTGTTGTTGAAACTGTTTATTTGCTGAGTATCTGGGAGGCTGAATGCTTTTCATGCCTTTTTAATCTTCACATCCCGACTTTTGTTATTGAGGGAATAAATGTGGCAGTAAATTGTGATGGGAAGGCATTGAGTTTCTCTCTTGGGACACATGACATCCTCTGACATCTGGCTCCTCTTGCTCATCCACATGTGTTACTTCCCAGCATGTATAGGGAGGAAGACTCATTTGTGTGGACAATCAACTATGATGGCACTGGGAGTGAGACTTTTTCATCCTAGCTGGATGGATTGAAAGGATAATTGTAATGTTATGTTGCTTGTGCTTTTGCCATGAGATATCACATTTAGTGTGAGGTATTAGAGTATGTATGATTGAGTGTCAAAGTTCAGGATGTGGCTGAATCGAGTTTGCGGTTCAGGTTACAGGCCCATGTTTAAGGTATCAGCGAGGTCCTATGGTGGGTTTTGTGGACCCCAGACCTTTAACCACATCTCAGATGCCAAATTTGATGATGTCACAGGATTCAGCTGGAAGCCTGGAACACATTGAGAAATTACATCATAGGTGGCTCCCCACCCTGCTTGACACACACACACACACACACACACACACATACAAACAGAGACTGTCAAAAATATTCCCTCCTACCTCCTTCCTGACTAATGAATGGCTTGTTTTAAGATATGTTTTAAGAAGGCCAGTTTGACCTTTTCCACCACCACACACTGTCTGACCAGACACAGACCGATTGTCTCTTTAGCTTCCCCTACATTATATTTTTTTTTATTTTTAAAAAAATCTGCAGAGGATACCAAAAAATGAACTCATAGTTGCACTTTTTGCGCTTATTAGTAATGCTTAAATTTGCCCTCCTGAAAAATGTCAAAGCTTTAGTGTTTCTCAGGGAGGGCATGTCCTGTGCTGAATGATGTGTTTATATTCAGATGGCAACGTTACAATACCCTCCCAAAACCCCAAATAACAACCTAAATCCATCCTGTTCCTTTGATGTACTTTGTGAAAACTGCTTTAATGATTATAGACAGAGCTAAGGAACTGGGTTACGGGCTGAACTTGAAGGGAAGACAGAGTTGTATTAAATAACTGCAGGAAACATTAACGATTGTGTCGTTAACATATTAAGGGTCAGAATTACTAAATGGGGCAAATTAGCGCAATTCCAAAAAAAGTGTGATGAGTGTGGAAAGTTCTGTATGTGATCTTTTAATGATGTGCAAATTAAATAACACATTTAATTTAACTAATTTCCTTTATGACCAACACAATCTACTAAGAGCAATGCAAATTAGCATCTGCTAAACATGCTTTTTTTTGGGGGGGGGGGGGGGGGGTGGGGTAAATAATGGCAGAATTGACTAGCGCAAACCTGAGTAATTCACCTTGAATGGTTCAATTAAATACTCCAATAAATTTTGCATCTGACAGGGAAACTCCTACAAATCATATGCAATAAGGTTAGCCGGAAAAATAACCCTGTCCACGCCATTTCAACACTATTTTTTTTTTCTGCAACATCATTACTAAAAGAGGGTTTGCGTTAGCGCAAAATTAAATCTGGCCCGAAAGGCTCTGTTTAATAAGTTTATAACATAATAATGCACTAAATACAATAAACACAGTTGGGCATAAAAACATATATTTTCGATTTAAATAAATAATGATAAATCTCTCTCTCCTGATCCTGCAGGTCAGTGTGTATATACAGGTCTCTGTATCTCAGCGATGTTCTCCCGTCGCTCTCTCCTGCATCTGCTGCTCAGTGTCTGCAGCCTGACTGCTCCTTCACTGACTCTACCCTTTGAGCAGAGAGGATTCTGGGACTTTTCTATGGACGGAGAAGGAGGAGATCTGTCGACAGTAATGATGAGAGATGAAGAGGGATCAGCTAGCGAGGAGCTGCCACCGGATGTGTCTATATGCCCCTTTGGTTGCCATTGTCAACTTAATGTGTTGCAATGCTCAGACCTGAGTGAGTATCACATCTGTCTGTCTGTCTGTCACAACAGTTATAACAATAACAACACAGAAAGGAACAATATCATTGGAATCACTTTCAGAAAGATTTTTTTTTCCAGCTGATGCAAATCAGATCTACCCGACCTTAAAGGGTTAGTTCACCCAAAAATGAAAATTAAGTCAATAATTACTCACCCCCATGCTGTACCAACCCCGTAAGACCTTCGTTCATCTTCGGAACACAAATAAAGATATTTTTGATTGAATCTGAGAGCTGGATCACTCTTCCATAGACAGCCTGAGGGACTGCCTCTTGACGGCCCAGAAAGTCATTAAAAGAAAAGGTTTAAATATTCCATGTGCCTACAGTGGCTCAACTATAACTTTATCAAGCGACGAGACTACTTTTTGTGCGAAAAAAAAACGTAAATAACGACTTTATTCGACTTTCCATTACTTCCTTATGGGCGCATGCGCGAGAACTGAGACGAGACCGTTCTTCTTCGACTACTTTTTGTTACCGGCTGCTCACCGCTTAGGAGTTTTACCGCCCCCTACCGTATAAGTACTGATATAAGTAACCATATATACTGATATAGCCGGAGGCGCAAAACGTTCTGTTTACAAGCAGTACGTCATCTTATACGGTAGGGGGCGGTAAAACTCCTAAGCGGTGAGCAGCCGGTAACAAAAAGTAGTCGAAGAAGAACGGTCTCGTCTCAGTTCTCGCGCATGCGCCCATAAGGAAGTAATGGAAAGTCGAATAAAGTCGTTATTTACGGTTTTTTTTCGCACAAAAAGTAGTCTCGTCGCTTGATAAAGTTATAGTTGAGCCACTGTAGGCACATGGAATATTTAAACCTTTTCTTTTAATGACTTTCTGGGCCGTCAAGAGGCAGTCCCTCAGGCTGTCTATGGAAAAGTGATCCAGCCCTCAGATTCAATCAAAAATATCTTTATTTGTGTTCCGAAGATGAACGAAGGTCTTACGGGGTTGGTACAGCATGGGGGTGAGTAATTAATGACTTAATTTTCATTTTTGGGTGAACTAACCCTTTAAAGAGCTGAAGCATTTAATGCTGTAGAGTCTGTAGGACATAACTGCAGCGTGTTTATAATAAACAAAGCTTTATCATCCATAGATGTGGACTCTAATGTAGTTATTGTTACTGTTTAGTTTTATTTATGGTTAAAATTCTTGGTGTGAATGGACCTTTAATCATTGCAGTCATTTATATATTAATCATCAAAATGCATCAGAGTGATAGTTTAATTATTATATTAGTTTAAATTACATAATAGTGGGATCTTATAAACACTGCTTGATAGTTCACATCCAAACAGGCAAAAATAGCTGTCCATGTCCAGTTTGTTGCTGCTTACGGCGCTTTTCCATTACCAGTACCAGCTCGACTCGACTCGACTCGTTTTGCCTCGGCTCGCTTTTCGCTCCGTTTTCCATTGCAGACAGTACCGCCACAAATAGTACCCGGTCGTCATAGCGACACCTTTTGTTCCTCGTTGCCCTATCAAGCTCTCGCTGGATCCTCTCTTCGGCCACCAAACAAAGGAAAGTCTGCACCTCTTCGTTTGACCACGGCGTATTCTTCCGAGTTGCCATAATAATAGTAGTAAGTTTAGTGTAACTATCTCTGGTCAAACTATTTAAAAATGGCGGGGATATTCTGGATACTCCATCTGGTGCATGCAATGATGACGCAGTGAATGGTGACGATTCTCTCTGACCAATCAGCAGTCAGCATTGTTTTCACGTCACATTTTAGTACCGGCTCGCCTTAGCTCGCTCAGAACCTCGCCGGAGGTGATTAAAAAAAAAAGTACCCGAAAGCAGGTACAGGTACAACTTTTACACAGCCAAGTCGAGTTGAGTTGGAAACAATGAAAAATGCCTGTGCAATTTCCCACTGAAATATGTACTGTAGGAGGGGTTCTGTGTTGTTTTTATGACCCACACAGGATGTTTTACAGGGAGACAATATGTGAGAGATAAAGGGAAAATAAGGAAAGTTAGAGGGAGAATGAGAATGAGAAAAATAGGATGATTTGGAAGTATTTGATGAGTATTTGTTTATTTCAAAATGGCCAGTAATAGTCTTGGGTGTTGTCTTGTTAGCAATACAGCCACACAAATGGTCATTTGGGCCTAAAAATGTAGGATTTTGACTGGGGCCACTTAATTTCAGTGTGATTGCTTCTAGATACTCTTGTTGTCTTTGCCACGGATAGGAATAACAGACCTAAAATCAAAGAGGAAACGTTATTGTTAATTGAACGATCCATTCACCATCACCTTGTAAGATTTTTTGTCAATCAAGTGAATGTTATGTTTTTCAGTGATCGCTCAGTTTGCAAATCTAAATACACAAAATATGGATGGACAAACATGTACAAAAATTGTATAAAACAAAACAAACCAACCAACCACCATGCAATGGATGTGTGTACACCCATAAAGCAGTGGTGGAGATTGTCTTTTTAGTATGTGGAAAACAGGAAAAGTGAAACGATCAGGGTTCAGCAGGTTCAAGAAATTGGTTAAAGCCTTAAATTTCAGACAAAATTTGGCCTGTTTGTGTATTTTTCCAGCATGGCTCCAACAACATCCATTGAAGCTCCACTGTAGCCTTATAGTCATACTTACAGATACACACGCTCTCTCCATCTCCAGCCAAGTTTGCCCAAGTTACGATCCTCATAGAACATTTACAGGCATTGAACTGACAGAAGCAACAAAAACTTAGGAATTTAGAGCTTATTATTATAATTATATGTATTCTTTTTTTAGTTTGTGCATGTCTGACTGTGTTTGTTTATGTGCATGAATGTTTTATGCAATGTGTTTTGGTCTTTAGAATGTGTTTTTGTTTTCGCGAATGTCATTGCATCTTTGTTTATGCTTGTGGATTTGATATAAAATAAAAATACAGCCCTCTCTTGAGGCGGTTCTTTATATGCTTCCTCCCCCTGCAATCAAGATTTCCTTATAATACATTGATCCGTCCACTACGCTCTCTTTATTTTCTTTCATATATCTGGAAGTCATTCTGCCATGTAGGCTGTAATTGAATTGATGGTGATGCTTATTTATAACAGATGTTCTTGATTGTGTATTTATTTAGGTGGTTATGTGCCTTCATCATAAAATATGTCCCTATTACGAGTTGAAGATGTGTGTAAAGCTGTGGTTGGGGGGCTGTGATGTGCTGGGCAGCTGTCGAAGCCCAGCTTTACTCTGGGGGTTTGGCATTTTGTCCGTCAGAGGTTGGTTGGTTAAAGTTACAGAGCACTTGTTGGTTTGAGTGGCAGGTGGGAAGATGGCTTAAAAGAATAACAATCATTAAAGGAAAACAGTAAAGATCTTCAAGATGTTGGCCGATATCACAGCATATAATGTGTGGCGTATCAAGAAACTGGAGACTTTTGAAGGAATGTTTGTGTTCAGTGTACGTTGAGAATGCAAATGCAAACCTTTTAACAAACAAAAAAAATTCTAAGATAATGTGATAACAGCACTTCCCTAGAATGTGAATGGGCATACTAAACACTCCAACACAGAGAAACACATTCAGATTTCTGTGAAAATGCTTGAGTTGATTAAGGTAGGACTTTTTTTTAACACATTGAAGTCAAAATTAATTTCTGTGGTAATTGAAAACAGGCCATGTTGTCTATAGAGATTAAGTTATTTAATCGAAAATGTATTTCTTTAAAGGGATAGTTCACTCGAAAATGAAAATTCTGTCAGTAATTACTCGCCCTCATGTTGTTCCAGGCCCGTAAGACTTTTGTTCATCTTCGGAACACAAATTAAGATATGTTTGATTAAATCAGAGCTGGATCACTCTTCCATAGCCTTCTAAGGGATTGAAACTTGCCGGCCCAGAAAAGTTAAGACATCTTTAAAATGGTCCAAGTGACTACAGTGGCTTTATCTTTAAGTTTATCAAGCGACGCAAATACTTTTTGTGCGCCAAAAAAAAACTATTAATTTCCTTCTCTGTGGACCTCGAGATTTTGCATAGTGTAACTGCGCAACGCTTCTTTGTACTTCTTTGTACACCTAGGCTCACTATTGGCTGACGCTGGTGTGAGTAATTACTGCATCAGGGTGAGTAATTACTGACAGAATTTTCATTTTGGGGTGAACCAACCCTTTAATGTGCTTAATATCCTAATGATTTTACTTTTCTCTTTTGAGAGAAGCTAGATGGTCTGGCAGTTGTGGTTTTCATGAACATTATAAATGGCTGGAGGGGAACAGAGGTTGAACCCAGCCTAGTATAAATTATTGGGCTCTGCTGGAAATCATCATGAATCATTGGCCTGATTTAGAAACGGGGAGACTGCACTGCTAAAACTGACACAATGCTGAATTTGAGCTCTTGATGTGGTTCTGTTAAAGTTTAGATATAGTTTTGTGATGTGGTCCATGTGTGGAAAAATAACCTAAATGGTTTTAAATGTACATTTAAAGAGGTGGCAAAACATCATCCGGTCACTAATATAAAGATACAGTATACCTCCAAAATCTGACACAGAATGGAAAATGAATAATAATAACTGGTTAATTTATAACTAAATATCTTTTCAAGGACATGCTGTAATGCTGTAAGGGTTAACACTTTCATTTGTGTCAACTATTTAATCCTTTTATTTTGATGTCAAAACTCAAAAGCCCTATAATGGGGAAATTCAGTCCAGATGTGAGCAAATGTTGTCTCTGTACAGAGATTTGTTTATAGATTTGTATGTTCTATAACCTACATGCTTTAAACTAGCATATAAACATGTTAATATCTTGTTTAGGTTTGACTGCAGTGCCCAGGGATATTCCCAGAGACACCAAACTCCTGGACCTACAGAACAACCGCATCACAGAACTGAAGGAGAACGACTTCAAGGGACTTACAAATCTCTATGTAAGACTCTGATAGAAATCTTTGACTTGAAATAAAGATAGATGAGGCTAAACATAAAATAAAGTGCCAGTTGTTAAGTAAAATAGAAAACTTTTTGGCTTGGATGTGTTCCTCAAAGCAGAGATTATTCAAATGAGGACATTCATAACAGGCCTATTACTCGTTTCCCCTTGAGTAATTTTTCAATGCGTAGGTCATTTTTTCAAAAACACTTCACAAAGCGATCACAACAGAGGCATCGTTGCTTTGCCGCAAAATGCATTTTACTACTTTTAAAAAAATTTATTGTTTTCCAACTTAGTGAAAACAAGTAAGGGTGAATGCTTAGATAGCTAGCTTGAAGCCAATTGGCTGTCAGTAAGAACAGGTCCAGTCTAGTAAAGTCAGGAATAGAAATCTTTTTCACATCCATGCAGGTATTGTATGTGTCTGTATGCATTTATGTGAGTGCGCGCGTGTGGTTGTTACAAAAGAACAGAAAAACAGTGTTTAAGCTTCCAATAAACAATGCCAAATTGGATACAAGGTAACTGCCAATGTTACATTGAATTCACAGGAAATAGAAGTAATTTAAACAATACATGAGGCCATCTACTCATATTATAAGCTCATCAAATACACCTTTAAATATCTAAAGCACATGCCTAAACAGGAAATATGGCAAGCCTGAAAATAAACACATTTAGGCCAAATTTAAGTCATAAAAATACATTTAAATACTTACGTGGTCTATTACGCACACGCAGGAAAAACAAATAAAGGAGAACACAGTACATCCAGATGCAAAAGAGGGAAGATGTTGTGGGACAGGTGGAGCTAATAAAGCCTGATAGAGTCATAATTGGCTTGAGATCAGGAGGGTGGAGCTAGAGGTTAATAGGGAAATTAACTGGCTAAGAGGGGTGTGGCACATGCTTTGCACACTGCAGCTGAGGCTATGTTTACACGGAAACGATCTGAAGAAAAAACGCAAAAGTGGCGTTGCGTTGTCACTTTTTATTTTGCGTTTAGACTAGCGTGATGGTTGGGAAATCTGTGTGCATGTGGTGACGCAAAAGTGTGAGAAATTCGATGTAGTATGCACTCCAGGTGGCTAGATGGCAATGTGAAGCACTGCCACACAACAACACCATGTCCGCGCACCTGCGTACAGCCTTCCCTGTCTAGCGGACAAAAAACTTTTGCGTTTTTTAGCCAGGGAACGCCACAGTGGAACGTTTTTTAAGATTTCCACTGTGGAGTGGTTTTACTTTTTTGCGTTTTAAGCCCCAAAAACGCTGTCGCCGTGTAAACGAAAGCCACAACCGATAAAATAGTTTTACGTTTTCACTCATGAGCGTTGTCGTGTAAACAGGGCCTTAGGGACAGAAAAAATTCTCAACATTAGGCAAAATCTTTATGTAACGACAGGCCAATTTCACCTGTTCCAGTTTTTAACAATTGTTAACATGCTTTTGTCCGATTTGTAGTGAACAAAACATAATTAGCACAACATCTGTTGTGGACCATACCATTAACACAAATCATGTTATTTTTACACAAATATGCTGTCAATTAACACGTTTCTTAGTTGTTGTTTTTCCCCCAATCACTTCGGGACCACTTTCAGAAACTTGATGTCATTTTTCAAAACTAGACACATAACTCAAACCAGTCATTACTTGTAACACAGGCTCAAAGCTTATGTTTATAACTTAGCATTGTGCATTCATTTGTTTAAAGAAGCCTTGCACTCACAGAATTATTAGTTCAAATTTATTATGAAATATCATAGGAATATTAATTTATATCACCCACACACGACACCCAGTTTCACTTTGTAGTTGTTAGTACAATCATTAAATATGCAGGTTTCATTATGCAGGTTTATGCAGGTTTCACAACACACTCTGTTTTGCTCACATTGCTATGCTGTATAGAAACTTTTGACAATTGGACATAGCCTAATGTTCAGTGCATTCTGACTTACCGGTTCTCATTGTGGAAAGTTTCATGTGCTGGTCTGTGCCCATACCTCTCAAACGAGGCCTATGACCACCTCTCTGGTGAGGCATGAGCCCTCCTCTATGACGAGGCCCACAACCACCTCTCAGATGATTGACAGCAATGTGATATATTTCTACATATTACTTCCATATTTAAATATATTAAATCTAAAAAATACTATTAAAACAATAAGATGTTCCTGAACACCTACATAGGTGGAAGACTTTAATTTCATTATCATCAATTCTCTGTTTGCTAGTGTTATGATTCATTATTTATATACGTTTTGGTAGATTTAGCCCATTTTGAATGTGAAAAATACTGCTGTGCCAAGCTGAAAGTTGCGTAGGAGAATTGGGTGAAGAGTTTTGTTTTGAAAAAGTGACCTGACATGGATCCTTATGTTTGTAAAAACTCTACAACTTAATGGGTGGTTTCTTGAGCTGTACACTGATGCACACCAGTTTCACAGCTTGATTCTTTGTTTTTGTTTTTATCGCCATTGGCTAATGCGGCGCATCAAGGTCCATATGTCACTATTTACTGTAATACTGAAGATTTAGCTGTACATTTAGATTATATTTTAACATCAGTATTTAAGATTTTTATTTTACAGATTTTACATAAAAAACAATGTTTTGGCTAACTCTTGAAAAATCGGTCTGTCGTTCACAGCACGCATTACTTTACGTTTGGCACTCAAACTGCAAAACAGCCTGACAGGATATTCATACAGTTCAAGTCGCTGAAGAAGAATGTTCCTGTAGTTCTGGAAACACACGCTGGTGCCAAACTGAATGTTTTAGTTCCCTTCTTAGAACTCATATTATCCCCAATATTTATCCCTAATATTTATTCAGCCTCTCTCACCAAACACAATATTTGACGTGGCCTGTAAAAAGGAAAAAAAAAAAAGATCAAGACAGTTATATCATCATTTATAAGTCATTAGATTTTGTGTACATATTTAATGATCATGGTCAAGCTATTATTAATCATGTCTTCATGAGTTTCCATGAACCAAATGCTGACCTCTTCCTGTCTCCTGTCAGGCTCTGTCACTGGTCAACAACAAGATCTCCAAAGTCCACCCACAAGCCTTCACACCCCTCCGACACTTAAAAAAGCTTTATTTTTCCCGGAACCTCCTGACGGTGGTACCCAAGAACCTTCCCCCATCCCTGGTGGAGCTGCGGATTCATGAGAATCGGATTAAGAAGGTTGCAGAAGGAACGTTCTCTGGTCTGGGCAGCATGAACTGCATTGGTTTGTATGCGCGCTCGCCATTATGTGGTATAGAGGTTACAGTCTGACCAAACCATTTCCTTTTTTAGATGGAGCCTGCTGGTTTTTGTGATGGGATATTCTTTCTGATGTTGAATGCTTCTTATAGAGATGGGTGGAAACCCTATTCAGAACAGCGGCTTTGAGCCTGGTGCTTTCAAAGGGCTGAAACTCAACTACCTGCGCATCTCTGAGGCCAAACTCACTGGAATACCAAAAGGTAATTCGAATTAGTCATTAGTCATCATTAGTCAAGTCATTAAAGAGTGAACGCTTGTCAAACGATAGTCGTCACATATTCATTTTCAAAAAAGAACATTTGGATAATACTCTTCTTTGTGCAGTTTCTCACTTGAATGAGCTTTAGTAATATCCTTGGCAATAAATCACAATTTGCACAAGTTTTAATGTAATGTTAAGATCAGAGACGTGGTCCGACTTCCAATAATATAATGATGTATGTCTCTCTCCTCCCAGACCTCCCTGAAAGTCTTCATGAGCTCCATTTGGACAATAACCAGATCCAAGCCATTGAACTGGAGGACCTGAGCCGCTATAAACACCTGTACAGGTGAACCGTCTCATGACTCTCCAGCACTCCAACATACAATTTGCCTTCTCTCGGCCTGTGGGCTTTCTGTAAAGCAACAGCGCCACCTGGTGAATGAAATCTGATGGATGTGAAAATTTAAAAAAAGATTTTTATAAAACATATGTTTGTTTTATATATATATAAAACAAACAATGCTTATCACAATTTTAATTTGTAGATTATACCTTTTTACACAAAATACACAAATGTTTAAACTTGTTGGCAGTCAGACCATTTGTTTGTCTTCTCAGCCCCCTGAAAATGTATTATGTTAAAATTCTTTATCTTTTCTGAAACATTTCACGCTTGAGTAATTTAACTTTGTACTAAGTATAATCCTTTAAATTTCACAAAAATCACTTTTCAATTTCGAAACTATGCTATCAATCAAAAATCAATTTTCCAAACTATGCTAATCGTGATCTTGGCGGCACACACAAAAAATGTTTTGCTCCAAAATCCTGCATGTGCTAGATTTTTATAGTGCAGTTTGTCCTGCAGGGCTGCAGTGCCTGTTCACAGTATTTCCAGTCTATTGTGTTTCCACCTCACTAGAGGTCTGTCTCAATGAGTGTGGCCCATCTATTGTCTCTAGCTTATTCATGGTTGCGCTTGTCGTTGTTTGCCAGATTGGGTCTGGGTTTTAACCATATCCGCATGATTGAGAATGGCAGCCTATCATACGTCTCTAATCTGAGGGAGCTGCATTTGGAAAACAACCGTCTGACCCGCGTCCCGAGGGGCCTGCCAGACATGAAGTACCTGCAGGTGCGAGATATCAAGCTGATGAACGTAAAGTGCTCCATTCGCTCATGCACGATCATTGATTTTTTGACTTCTTTTTCAGGTGGTCTACCTTCATTCAAACAACATTAGTCAAGTGGGCATTAATGACTTCTGCCCTCAAGGTTTTAGTGTGAAGAGGAGCTTCTACAATGGCATCAGCCTCTTTGGAAACCCGGTTAACTACTGGGAGGTGCAGCCTGCCACCTTCCGCTGCGTTGGTGACCGATTGGCCATTCAGTTCGGAAACTATAAGAAATAGAGAAAGGATGAAAGGGAGGTTTGGGGACAAATAATAATGCTGGAATCAAAACAAAACAGAAGAAAAGCTTGGAGAAACTAGGGGTCGAAATGGTGTCAACAAACAGTGTTTCCAAATAGTGTTTAATGTGTATCTTTGGATGTATTTGTTTGTGAAGTCTAAAGAAAAAAAGGAAGGAGCAATAAAAATAAGTATTGGAACATTTTAAAAGAAACCTACGGAATATGATCTCTTACGACTGACTTGTTTCATAAGTGTGTTACCGTAAAGTTACTTTGTAAGGCCTCTTTGTTTGCTCGACACTTTTATAATAATATTATTGATACTGTTAATATTGTTATTATGCTATATTAGTTAATGTTGTATTATTAATAACAATATTTTTATAATATAATTATAATAATATTAATAATATTTTGGATGGGATATTGAAATGGTAAGGTTGAATCTTAATTTTAAATTTATGGTGCTTATAATAAGTGTATCTGTGTTGTTTGTCAAGTTTTAGATTACTTTTTTCTTCCTTTTTGTCATTGCCTTGCTTCCTTGCTTCAGGGGTCTTATTGTTGTGGGAGTAATTTAGGGCAATGGAGGAACTTTACACAAAATATAAATCAGTCAGTCAGATGCCTCATGTTTTTACCCAGCCCTCTTGGGTTCGAGGCTGATTCAGAAAAGGATTGTAATAATGTAATTTTGCACAGTTTCTCTATGAATTCCTAATATTTTCTTTGTAGCGTATTGTTAGAGGGTTTTTTCTCTTGCATTGCCACTGCATGCAACTGCATGCCTGCATGTTTCAATAAAATATCTTTCAGCTTGACTTCAGGAGCAGAAGTGGCGTACCATCATGGTCTAAAAGCTGTGACTAATAAAACTTGAGTAAACATGAACACCAAATATTGATTGAGTGAATTCTCAAACACAATGTCAAGGGGTCATCATCACTTGTTGCAAACCATGTCAGCGAAATTCCAAATTTTATACATACAAATAAAATACATAAAAGTCTTTTGTGCCAGAGCATTTTTAGCTGTTGTATTAGAATTACTTTACTTTGAAAAGTCATTAATGCTTTTGAGTGAGCAATTTTGCTATATTGCAGAATGGCTTGATTCACACAAATGAAAAGTTATCTGAGGAATTATCATCATTTTTGTAATCATTAGATTGAATCTGTTTTGTTGAGGACAGAAACAACTGAAACGTCACAGACGCCATAATTCACATCACAAAATCACATTATAAATACTTTAGACATAATCCACATGATTATAGGCCTACCTTTTCCATCAAATTAATTTCGCTTTATTGTAATCACAAGATCATCTGTCGTATGAAAACGCCCTCTAGAATTAAAACTGTTGTCTGTTTTCTCACTAGTAGGCAGCACTTTTTTTAACACAGGTATGTTAGGGCTAAGGGCTTTTATTGTAACAGCATCAAAAGAGTGCCCGTCGTCGGTAGCGCGTCACCGAATCAAACATGTCTGTCAGCGGCTCTCTGCTATAACGCGCTCAGCACGCGCTTCACCACCGAGATCCGCGACACGCTCATGCGACTGCGGATATTCGTGTTCCGTGTGACATAGAAGAATGATTATTCACAATCGAGTGATTAATATTAAATAAAGGCCTAGATATCTACAGACACTGGAGCCTCATTTGAAGAAGCGTCGCATGTGATCCGGGTGAGTCAAACGAAACGCTTGACCTGAAGTGATGAAATTAACCGTCATATTGACGATTATTTTGCAGTGACTGTTGCTAGCCTAGTTGCTCTTTGGTTTGCACTTGGCTTTGTCGTCGCTGCATGTAGTTAACATCAATTTCATGTTTCGTAATGCAAAAGATGAGCTGGTTTGTAAATAGCAGGAGATCTTGTTAATCAGTCCAGAACTATCTGTCTCTAGGTGCACTGCACAATGTTTTGTGATGGACAGGAAGAGGAGGACAGTGGTCTGTCAATCCTGTGTTTATGACCAGTCAGCACAGGTACTCAAATGCAAAAAATAAACAAACAAACAAAAAACACTGATATTCATCCCTGTTATACAGCACACTTTCATGTCCACGTCTTAGTATGTTAAATGAATGTAGCCTACTCACCTTTTGAAACATGGAGATAATGTTATCTGTTGACAAAATCAAATTTAAGTGAGCATAGGAGTGAATTATGTTTTTTTGTTTGTTTGTTTAAGAGGATGTTGCCATTTTTCCAATGTCTGAGTATGCCATGCATTTCTAAATTAAAAAACAAAAAAACAAAAGTGCAATTTATTAAGAAATATTACAGATAGTTTTTATATTTTCTTTCATACATCTAAGCATTGTTTCTTGGAAATATTTCCTGGTATTCGGGAATTACTTACTATAGCTAAAAAAGCCACTGTGCCGTAATGACATCATCCTCCAGAATGAACAAATATTAGCAATGGATTTAAATAATTCTGTTTTGTAGTATTAGAATTTTCATCTTACTTTCATCTTACTTGTTTTAGATCAGGTAAAGTTCTAGAAATTGCTATATTCTAACAAAATTTCAAAAGATTGTTCAAAAATATCAAAAGTACCTTCAAATTCACAACCTAATGTAAAGAAACCTTTTAAAAATATGTTTTTTTGCATTGTGTTATCAAGCGAGCATAATTCTGAAAATCTGATTCATAGAAATTCTTATTACATACATATTATTATTATTATTTAAAGCTACTGTGCAGCATGAAAGACCCAAAAACTGTGTGGTCTTTGCTGATTTCATGTGAGATGTGTCATTGATCCTGGGCACACTGGCGCTTTAAAGTTCTCATTTCTAGTTAGATGTGATGAATCTGTCACTATTGATTTTTGTGTTTCTCTGTTTTCCAGTGACTCGCACTCATGCCATAGATGTCCTCCCCTTAGCTCACGAGCTTACTTTATTTTCTCCCTGTCCCCGCTCTTCCCTCTCTCATGCATCTTGCTTTGCCTTCACTCCCTCTCTCTTCTCTAATCTCTCCACCCCTTCTGACTTTTCCGTCCTCCTTTCCTCTGTCACTCCTGCTCTTGTGTCGGATGTCATGATGGTGTGCTGCAGTCGAGCACTGGACTCCCCCTGCACTCTGGCTCTGCTGGTGGGCTTCCAATTTGCATTTGTCCTGTACTTCTCTCTGGGAGGCTTTCGTGGCCTAGTGTCCGTTTTGGTTCATTCCACTGAGCCTGAGATCGACTACTCTCGACCGCATGACGTCTACACCAATCTGACCTCTCTGCTGGTCCACCATCCAGGACCCAGTGGACCCGAACAGCAGATAAGGGACTGTACACTGCCCTCTCCACTGCTGGGTAGATATAAAGCTATAAATAATTGGATTTGTTCATTCACTTTGTTTCATTGCAGTTTTTAGATTTAAGTGTACCCAAAACACTTCAACGAGTTTAGTTCACATACAATTCTGTCATCATTTATTTACACTTTTATCTGTCCAAACTTGTGACTCTTTCTCCTGTGGATCACACACAAAAATATATATTTTGAAGAATGTGCTAGTTGCTGTTTTCCATGAAATTACAATGAAGGAAAACTGGAGCATTCAAGAATCAAAAAGGAGGGAAGAGGACCTTAAAAATAGACATGGTCCTCACTGCAGAACACGAAATCCAGGGGGAGGAGTTGGATCCAGATCCAACTCCTCCCGCCTTACATATACCCGTCTCCACCCCCTGATACCCAACCACACCCCTAATCCTACCCATCTCCACCCCCTGATCTCTAACCCCACCCCTAATCTTATCCATCTCCACCCCCTGAACCCTAACCCCACCCCTAATCTTACCCATCTCCACCCCCTGATCTCTAACTCCTAATCTTACCCATCTCCACTCCCTGATCCCTAACCCCACCCCTAATCTTACCCATCTTCACCCTCTGATCCCTAACTACACCCCTAATCTTACCCATCTTCACCCTCTGATCCCTAACTACACCCCTAATCTAATCCATCTCCACCCCCTGATTCATTACCACACCCCTAATCTTACCTATCTCCACCCCTTAAATCTGGATCCAACTCCGCCCCCTGGATCTCATGTACTGCAATGAGTTTCTACTGTAAAAATATCATTACATGACATGTATTCAAAATTCCATGTCTTCTGGAATTTAAGTTCTGGGGGGATACCAGTTAGTTTCATTTTATTGTTGACAATCAATAGTACCTTTTTACAGTTGTGTAAAAAAATAAAACTCTAAAATTAAATAATTATCAATTAAATAATCAGTTTTAAACATGCCAATAATTCTTTTTTTACTTGAATTATTAAATTGATTTAGTTTAGTTTAAACTAAGTTTAAAAACTTATTTTTTTTTAACAGTAAATCTTAGTGAAACTACGTTCTTAGTGTTTTAAAGAATAAGTGAGATGACCGAATAGGTAGTCTAAATGTAAAAATGAGCACAAACAATTAAATATTCAATATCGACCAATGCAATAAATAAATAAAAAATCACTGATATTGTGCAGTAACATATATGGTCCAATACATTGTGCATTACTATTCAAAAATGTTCCTTTGTGTTCAACAAAAAGGAAGAGGGTCATACAAGTTTGGAACAACATAACGGTAAATAAACAATGGCATCATTTACACTTTTAGGGAAACTATTCCATTAATTTCATGTTGTAGAACAGATTTTTACAACAAATGCATGTGTGTTGCTCTCCCCCTGCTGTCTGCCAGTGGGTCCTGTTTCTGTCCACCTCTCCTCACCCCCCTCCCTGGAGGAGATAAAAGAGAAGAACCCCTTGGTGACCTTAGGGGGTCATTACCGCCCACCAGACTGTGAAGCACGGCACCACACAGCCATCGTGGTCCCCTACCGGAACCGTCAGACCCACCTCCGCGCCCTCCTCTACCATCTGCACCCCTTTTTGCAGCGCCAGCAGGTCCACTACGGCATTTACATTGTGCACCAGGTCTCTTGTTTGTCGTTACGCTGACTTGTCACATTTATTGTATGGGGAAAATTCCTAGCAGTAATTAGATGAAGTAGCTGGGACAAAGGGTAAACATACCTCGTAGCTTTTTGTCAGTCTATATTAGTGTTTTATTCTTTCCGAAGAATGGATTTGTACAGTTGATTTCCTCATAGTCTGTGTTATCAGTCAGGGAACTCCACGTTTAACCGAGCAAAGTTGCTAAATGTTGGAGTGCGAGAGGCGCTGAAAGAGGAGGACTGGAGCTGTGTTTTCCTGCATGACGTTGACCTGCTACCTGAGAATGACCACAATACCTACACCTGCCACCCCCAGTACCCAACACACCTCTCCGTGGCTATGGACAAGTTCAGATACAGGTGCCCTACCCACAATAACTGGAATTTTGTGTGTGTTTACAAGCCATTTCTCTAATTTGATCTTAATGAAATTGTGGGGGGTAATAAATTACTTATTTATTCCTGTGATGTAAAGCTGAATTTTCAGCATCATTACTTCAGTCTTCAGTGTCACATGATCATTCAGAAATCATTCTGATATGCTGACTCAAGAAACATTTATTATTTATTGTTGCAAAAATGTTTTTCGATTAAAATCAGAATTTCAAAAGAAACATTTTCAAGAAAAAAACAACAATTGTTGGATATAGCTGCAAGCAGCACCACAGAGGTACATTGAGGAGCTAAAAATCAAAGGAGACGTTTTGAGCCAAGGAATCAATGGAAAAAAAATTGTTTCTATCCCTTATGGTTCAAAAGCATGGTGGTGCTAGAGGGATTGGGTTAGAAACTCCAGAATTGCTGTGGTCAATGTTCAGACTGTCCTCTATCTGTGTGGCAAATATATTTTCAATATATGGTTGTATGGGCTGCCATAGACTCAGTAGCAAAAAAAGAAGAAAAACACTAACGGATATAATAGGTGCTTACACAGCTTCATTGCCCATAATTAAGCAACAACTTTGACTTTTTAATCTTTTATTTTTAAATTTTCGTAGAATATAAATTTTAGCGAACTTCTAGAAACCAAAAGTTCATCCTCTTCAGTCTTCATGCATGGTAAAATAGACTATGTAGTTCATTTATTATTAGTGCTGACACAGGTGTATGCAGTAGCCCATGGGTCTGCTCCTCTAAATTGACATCCAGGTCTGCACATTTTGGGTCACAGAGTTTGCATTTGTGTATTCTGCAGCCACAATGTCCACCTAGATATAAACATTCACTGAGAACAGAAAGATTGCAGAGAAAACAACCCATATATTCAGTCCACCAAGGCTGAGGACAACATCAGGAGCGCTCTGTGATGAATCCACTGAAGGCTGTAAAACATTCAGACAGACACGACACGAGAGTTAGTCCTTGGGTAGAAATACAGAGAGATTAGGAAGAAAGATACATAGCAGCAGCTCATCTAGCTATCACTCAAAATTTGATAAATAGCACTAAAGAATTTAGAAAGGGTGTTCAAGGGATCTCTGGAGCTTAAGGGTTGAGTGAGCGATCGCAGTTACACTACTACCTTACTACTTCTCTCACTACCTAATTCTTTTTTTAAAAGAAAAGAAATTATTTTTATTTAGCTGTAAGACATTAAATTTATCAAAAGTGAAGATTTTTATAATAAATTCTGTTCTTTTGAACTCTATTTGTCAAAAAATCCTGAAAAAATTACTCTTTAACATTGATATTAATATGAAATGTTTTTTGAGCAGCTAATCAGCATTATTGGACGATTTCCTGAGGATCATGTGACACTGAAGACTGGACGACATTACAAAACATTTAAAAAATCTTACCAACCCCAAACCTTAGAACAGTAGTTTTTTTTTTATATGTGGTAGCCATTTGAAATAATGAGTTACACATTGCGCTTGTTGCATTTTTTGTTTTTTTACCTAGCCCTGACAATAATTCACTTCCAGTTATTTTTAGCTGTACAAAACAGCTCTTTATGCTGCTTGATATTGCAACCTGGTATTTCTCAGCATATTATTTTAATGTATTGTCTTAATTATAAACATGCAGGTTTGTAGACCAAACAATTTATAGTTTTTACTTACTGTTATTTCCCTATAGTGGCTAATAAATCTGAAGTTTCGCACATTCACAGAAAACAGCATACTTCTGCGTTGAAAAATAAGATGGATACTGCACACTTCACTAAATGCAGCAGGTCATATAGTTATTCAGTGCATAGAAAACAATTACATACTGTACACTATATACTGCAGAAATTGTAGTATGTTTTTCTAAAAAGTTATAACTGGGTTATTACAATTCAAGCTTTATAAGGGGTCTACGTAGGTTTTCCATCCCTTTTGTAATGCATGTAACTGCAGGGGAAGCTGTGACACTTCAGATGGAATGATTGATGAAGAAACAGGTGACCTTATTCCTCTGTGCCTCACCAAATCACGCTCTGACTCCACCACAGGCTTCCATACTCTCAGTACTTCGGAGGGGTGTCTGCTGTAACTCCGGAGCAGTATCTCAAAATGAACGGCTTTCCGAACCAGTATTGGGGCTGGGGAGGGGAGGACGATGACATCGCAGCTCGGTGAGGATGGCAAAATAGAGTTTAAATAGCATTTTCAAGAGTTATTTCAACATAAAACAGCCTGAAATGTTGTAAACTGGCATGTCTACATCCTTGTTAAGCATTTGTATTGCACATCTCTCCATCATCATTTTGTTTTCACTTCACAATCTCATCTGTCTCTTGTCATTATTCTCATTTTCACTGCATCCGTCTATCCCTCATGCCCTCCCCCACATAGCCACAGGAGGGACCAGTAAGTACATGCATGAATCACCAGTTTGGACTCAAGGCTTCTAACTATTTAGATGTCAGTATTACTTCAGTGATTATAGTTTTTTGATTCAATTATAAATTCAAGTAACATTATTTCTTTGACTATGAGAAACTTGAAAGTCTGAAGTTGTTGAAGCCTTGAAGCCAGAATGAGTCAGGTGTAGTGGATAGTGTTGAGGATTTGAAACATTTTCTTTATAGTTTTAAACCCTATTGATTTTGTGCATTGACAGCTCTTTTAGAACTTTTGAGGAAATTAAATGAAATTCCAATTCAATGTGTTTGCATAGACTTTTCACAGTCTTTTTAGAGGCGACATAAATGCAAAATAATATTTGGCCTTCTCTATAAACTAAATAATAGTATTAATTATGTTTAGCTTCATGTTGTCTTATGAACAACCAGTATCCACAAAAAAAAAATAAAAAATAAACATGACTCATAAGAGCAATTTACAGACTTTCAGCATTTTTCAATGAAAAAATCAAAGAAAAGTAATTAATTGAAGTAGCTCTACACAACACATATTGAAAAGTGGTTTCCCCAAATTCAACTGAAAATGCAACTTTTAATAACTTCTGCTGTCTCAAAATAATTCAACCCCTGAATAGAATCCCTCACAACAGCTCAAATCTGCAAAACAGGTGTCATCTCAAGCAAACCTGATGCAACTAATCAAGGGTCAAGCTAGATCATGTGAAATATCTGAACTGGCTAGATTTGTTAAGTGTCATGTTAGAAATATAAGTTTAAAGAATGGTCCTAAAAGTTAAGACCAAATTTGTGAGAAGGCAGGTTCAGAAAAACCCTTGCGGGACCGCAGAAGACTTGCATCCAGACTTGGTGGCAACAGGGACTGAGGTTTCAGCTTGCACAGTAGCATGTACCAAATGCATGCGGTTTCCATGCCAGAAATCCAAGACCTACACCACTACTGACCCAAAAGCACAACAAAAGTCGGCTCCAATTTGCTCAAAATCATATAAATAAGCCATAGAAGTTTTGGAATTCTTTTTTGTGGAGTGATGAAACAAAACTGTACCTTTTCGGCCCTATTGATCAGCGGTATCTCTGGAGGAAGAAGACTGAAGCATATGCTGTTAAGAATACTGCCTACAGTTAAGCATGGTGGGGCTGCTTTGCATCCTTTGGCACTGGAAAACAGCGTGTGGAAGAAAAGATGGATCCACTGAAGTATCAGGAAATCTTAGGAGAAACCGTCATGCCATTAGCGAGGAAGCTGAAGCTAATTGACCCCAACCATACCTCAAATTCCACCAAGGCTTGGTTGAAGAAGTAGTCCTGGAAGATTCTGGCCTTCATATTCGTCATTTCACTTGGTTGGGTTTGAAGAAGGCAGTTGCAGCACGCAAAAAAAGGGTTTGTGAGACTGCTGAAGTCATTAAAAGTTGCATTATAATTTGAATTTAGGGAAACCACTTGAAACGTTTGTTGTATTGAGCTATTTCAATTACTTTTGTTTGATTTGTTCATTGCTGGCCGTCCGTACATTTGTCCAATAAACCTGATTTGCAATGGGGGTTGAATAATTTTGATTACAACTGTTTAAAAACCTGAATCATAACAGTTGTTCATTGGCGACTCTGACTATACTGGTTTGGCTTGTGTTTGATTCACTAAAAAGGTAATTCGTCAGGAATTGATGGGCTACACAGCTGAATGGTTTTGATTCATTCCACAGAACTAGCTTGTAATATATGTCTGTTTCGTGCTATATATTCAATAAGTTTGAAGTTTATTTTATTTATAAAGCACATTTAAAACAACCTTGTTTGACCAAAGTGCTGTACAAAATATAGCTATTTAAATCCATACAAAAAAGTAAAAACAACTTTCACAAGACATTAAACGCTGTTTTATGCTTGGGATCAATAGCAGTGTTCCATTGAAAAATTAGTCTAGTGAATGACTTTCATTAAATGCTTTAGTACAGTAGCGGTTCCAATATTAATGGAACCAAATGTTACTCGGCAAAAGTCGTTTTCGCAAAAGGCTGACATTTAATTGGATAGAATACATGTCTCAAGAAATGGTAAAACTCTTTGGTTGCGTTGTTGACAAATGAATGTTCTGTAGAATTTGGATAGATTCCCTCAACCATCCACACACATAAAATCCTCTAATTAATGAATTGGATAAATTAGGCTACATATTTTGGCTTTAAAACAATGAAATTCAGCAAAAGGCGATGACTTTGGGGCACTATAAATTATCAAATGTAAAAATATTTTGGAAGTTCAAAATCCATTTGGCTCAAAAATCGGTTTGACTGGGCATGAGACCTCTGCCTCTGCGTCTTTGACAAGATAGCACCTTTGATTCCAACAGTGTTTTTTGTATTCCCTGTTGTTTAAAAAGTGTACACGGGTCGATTCACCATGAGCAATTTTTCAGGGTACAGGTCAAATCTAGTCCCTGGCAAAAAGTATTTTTAGTGGAGATAGTCCAGGAGTAACTGACGTTACATGTGTTGTTGTTGAAGAACATTTTGAAGGGCATATCAGCTATTGGTGATTTGCAAACCTGACTGTCGCATAATTAACCGTCAGTTAGTATCCTTGCATGACTCAGATGGCTGTACCAGAGGTAAGAACCCAAAGTTTTAAGTATTTAAGTACTGGATTAGACTCTCCAACTTTAGCTTTTGGGGATTTTGAGTTGTGTTTAGAACATTCTTACATAAGAATCCTCAACAACAGTAGTTTTCTAGTTAGTTCACATTTATCTGGCCCACCTTGCAGACTTTGCTGTAAATGGTTTTCCTGCTGTGCTTTGTGTTGTTCTCTCTTTTGTCCTTTTGATAATTCATACCATCCTTCTTCTTGATGTATTTCTACTTTTGTCTTTAGAGTCCGTCTCTCTGGGATGAAGATAATGCGCCCTCCTTTGGCCATTGGTCATTATAAGATGATCAAACATAAAGGAGATCAGGGTAATGAGCAGAACCCGAGAAGGTGATGTCACATGGCATATAATGCTTTGTTACAAATGAATAACAATGTATTATTACATAGAAATGGATGGATGAATAGATGGACTATTGTATCCATTTGTTCAGTCCGTTTATTGAGTCTGTTCATCTTCATGAATTGATTCTCGTAGGTTTGATTTGCTGAAGCGCACAAGGCTGAACTGGCGCTCAGATGGACTGAACTCATTGACTTATAAGCTCCTGTCCAAAGAGTTGGACCCATTGTACACCAATTTGACTGTCAACATTGGGGATGATCCACACCATCCTCCTGTGAAGGATCCATCCTGGAAGTCACAGCCTCAACCTGCTCCAACTAATAAGATGAAGACTGAAAAAGTGGGCGTGGCCATCACTAATACCACAAAAATAGAGAAAGCCAGTAATGAAACGTCAAATGTTGTTAAAAAAGCTCCTGTGAATCAAGAAGTTGGATGATATTGATAATGGAGTTTCCACAGAGGCTTCTAACAGACAATGGAGGGAATACCAGTTTGCGCTTTGTTTTATATCGTGAAGCATTGCTACTAGGCAAATAAGTTCATTCCACTGAAAGTCGACTGAAGCTGTTTGGCAACCTCTGAATGTTGCTCAGCTACTGATATGGTGACATTTGCACAAGTCTGGAATCATTTGCTGAAGAACTCGTTTTGCTGTAGAAGTCGTATCAGAATGGGCTGAGTTGTGAACGCTCTCAAAAGTGACCTATCGACGTACCTGTCCAAGTCCAGTGTGTTTTTGAGCCGACCTGCTGCCAGCTGCTGCTCTTCATCCCACTGTGTGGGTCTGTTTTTCTGTGCCTTTTCTTCCCTTGATCCAGTCTCTTATCAACATGCCATGACTCAGTCAAAAGCATTATTACTGCATACCACTGTTATTAATACTAGAGTTGAATGCTCATTCCACATGTTTATCTATTTTTCTTTACTTTCAATATCTAATCAGCACACACTGCTTTGTGATCTAGTGCTTGAGCAGACGTGTATCACTGTGGTCTATTTTTGGTCTAACTGTACAAACTTAGAAAGGTGTGATCTTTGATAGTGAGCACTGGTTTATTTTCTCTTTTAGCTGCTCAGATATCTATTAATAGTTTTATGATACAGTATAAAAGAGTTGAATTGTTGTAGGTATTTTGTGGTGCCTTTGTTGGATTCCATTTTGGTTGTAGACAATCATTGGGATAAGCCGATACATTTACTTCTATTATTTGAATTCAGGAATATGTTTCTGTCAGATTAGATTTGATGGTTAGGTTGAAGGTGTGACTTTATTGTAAGATGTTAGTTGACATTTTTAGATTTTATAAACATTAACCAGTTAATGGGTATTTTTATGATTAGTTATATAGCAGCAAGAATTAGTTTTATTTATTGTTCAAAAATATTGGTTGATATCACCCATCATGGTACTTTTTCAGTATATGCTGTAAATTAAGCTGAAATCTATATTAAATACAATCATTGAGTATAAGCTATTTGAGGAACAAAGATTTTAGTGGCAAGTTCTTTTGAAAATAAAATTGTATTGCACATTATGTTAGCAGATCCACTGGCATTTTTCCACTAAAGATCAAATAATTATCTGTAAATGATAGTCTGAAGGTGCTCATTCATTGAGATTTTACCCCATCATGTGACATGATGCATATCTTGTTGTATTTACGACATATTTCAAAACCTAAATATACATTTCAAAGAGTGTTGAAAGATCAGTATATTATGTATTCTGATTTTGATACACAATTATTTGTATGACCGACTTAAGATTTGCATTTGAATTAGAACTATAAAAGGTTTTTGTAAATAATTAAAGACAGTATTCTGACATGCATGGGGCAGGTATATTTCATCATAGCATATTTGCAAGACTCTTGTATACCATATATATATAATTATTAAAGTATATAGTTTTCTATCAGATATTTGGAATTGGTGTTAAACTATTTTGATGCCTAATAGTCTCTAGCTTGAGAAGACCATTACATCTGATATTAACAATTTAGATGTGACCTACTCCTGCCATGTCATTTTTGGTCAAACAATTTATTTATTTATTGTCAGTTTTTTTTTTTTGATAACTATATATATATATATATATATATATATATAATACACACACACCTACATACTGATCAGTTATCTTGTAAATAAACACATTGACAACATTGTAACTTTGTGATCTGACCATGCAGCTGCTTTATTGTATGTTTATTAACAGAGAGTGGAAAAATGATTTCACAAGGGTCTTGGCCTTCATCTTTAGAACCTGTGACTGGCTCTCAAAGGGATAATTGATCCAGAAATGCACACCATTGAATTCCAATGTAAGGATAAAAATGTTACATTTCTGAAAATACCTTCTTACTGTATGTTCCACAGAAAAAATAAAGAAAATCATATAGGTTTGGAATGATGTGAGGATGGGTAAACAATAACAGAATTTTAATTTTGGGTAATCTATCCATTTCAGTTTCCCAAGCTTTCAGCGTCTGCTCCAAAAATCACTCATTTGCTTCCAGTCACCAAAAACATTAACCGATGACTAGTGAATCAAGCTGATTTTGTGTTCTATTGGGCCTACAGGTTTGTCAGTGCATTATTGAGCAAATAAAGCAAAAATATTGAAAATATCTAATGATGTTTTTATCTTTTTTTAAGAATATTATTAAAATACAGTCATTAAGGTACTTTGATGTATTTTCTGGTGATACTTGACCCTGCATTCAGGCAGCATTTCATTTAAGCAGATTCCATTACAAAAGCCATTTAGTAAAACTAATCAGCTTTAGCTTTATTGAAACAATTCAGTTAATGTGTTCTGACACACACACATTGCGAACAAACGGAGAGCACTGTTATAAATCATTGGAAACACAAAAATAATATCTGTAAAGTAAGTGTTTTTCAAAGAAGTGGTACACTTACGTAACAGAGGAACTTTTATAACTGCCCATACAGGAGATCTGATTAAAATGGTGTTATTTTTGCTGAGATGCTGATCTGCCACTCTGGGTTGGTGGTCTTAACTCAGCTTGGCTTTCCTGAGTGGCTGGTCTGGATGGAGCCTGTTGGCTGTGGTGACTTACAGATCTAAACTGGACTTGGTTTTCATGAAGGTTTACAGACTGGGCTTGCTGGCTTGTTGGTCTAGACTGATCTTGGCAATTCTGTAATTTGGGCCTTTCTGGTTCGTTTTGGTCTGGGTCACTCATATGTATTTTTGTCTCTACAGCAGGCTGTTCCACATTTATGTTTTCCTGTAAGAATATTGTTTAGTCAGAATTAATAAACAATGTATTTTTTTATGACAGCATATCATAAGTAGGTTATATTAAATACCCACCCCATTGTGAGAGGATCTGTTTATAGCCTGGTTGTCACCAAGGGCCCCATGAGTCTGATTTGTGGCAAATTTAATCCTTCCCCAGGTCCTGAGGCGACTCTGTCCCTCTTGTGAGCGGGCAGTGGGGTTTATGGAAGCAGGAGAGATTTGGCGAGGTAAGTCCCATGTGCCTTGGAATGCTGACCATGAACTTCCACGCTAATAATGAAATCATTTATAAATAGAAAAATTACAGTAAAAGTAAGTTGCAAAACGTGTTACGCTTTGCATTTAAATTCCATGAAACTCATATAATCAAACCTTTGTTTTCACACCAGGCAGAAGATGGCCACGGTCTGTGGCTATAAATGTAGTGTAGCCTTCTGCTGCTGATGGTCTCTTGAGTAACAAAAGAAGTAAATAGACCAAACACAAGTATTTGTAATATGAACTAAGTTACTATTATTCCTCTCCAATTTGTGTAAGTGTGTCACTTAATGGGAAAACAACTCAAGATTTAATTTGTCTTTTTTTTTAATTAAAGACATTTATAATGTTGACGCATTCTGTTTGATTGATGTGCACTCATTTGGATTTTAATTTTGATGACAGGGGGATTGTTCATTCATTGTTTTGCTTAATGAAAAGGCTCAGTAACAGTAAAATGTAACGTTACAGTTCAAACGTTTGGGATCAGAAAGATTTCCCGAAAGAACATAATACTTATCAAGGATTCATTAAATTGATTAAAAGTGACAATGAAGACATTTATAATGTTACGAAAGATTTGTGTGGAAAAAAAATCTTGCCAGATGACGTTAACGTTACCTGCTTAAACTGTTTGGGGATGGTCCAATTCTGGAGCCTTTGCGGCCTATAGGCGTTTTCATACTGCAGAAATCATAATAAACATGTTTAATATGTCAAGTTGATTCAATCCAATAAAAAATAGTTTAAGAATAATGCCAATTAAAGGACCTGGTTTGCAGAGTAACTAGACGACATCTTTCCGCGCTGATGTTTTGGCAGTGGTCTCCTAGCAACCTCTCAAAATGTCAGGACAATTATACATTCAAATCAGTTTACTTTTTCTGCTCTTTGACTTTTTAAGACAGTCAAATTTGATTTGATATTAAAAATATTTTATATTTTATAAAATAGCAGAATATAAACATTTTCCATTTAGTTCAGCGCACAGGTGTGTCATCCCCTACGTTGGGGGCGCTGTAGACCATAAGAGCTCTATGTTGCGCGCTTAACGATCAGTCGAGTGAGAGTCTCACAGCGTTGGACAAACCTCGATGGGACAAACGAATTGTACAAAATAATTAATTGTTACGTTTATTGTAAAAAATGCACCCAAACAGTGAGTCTAAACTGAATAACACGCTTTGAAATTGTAACCAGCTTCCTGCAAGACGTAAAATGAGCACTCAGGCTTCAACATCTGTATCTGTCAATGAGGCGAGAGGCAGACGAAGTGCTGATGATGTCGAGAACTCCAAAACACACTTCAGAGTCTGTCGGTTTATCATCGAGACTGGTATTTGCAACTCGCATTCTGGAATATTTGTGTAATAAACGTGTTTTTAATTGCAATAAATGTAAGTATACTGTAGCAGCTCCCTTGTTCATTGTCATTGGGTGCATCTAATGTTTTCCCCATCTGTAGGAGTGAAGTTAGGCATGAGATCTGTGCCCATGGCTACAGCATGTGTGCTGTATCACAGGTTCTTCCAGTCTGCTAGTCTGCAGGTCTATGAGCCTTACCTAGTGGCCATGTCTGCCATCTACCTCGCAGGCAAAGTAGAAGAGCAACATCTCAGGACAAGAGATATCATCAATGTTTGTCACAGGTATAAAAGGGGATATTACATAGCTGTTTAGTTCTCAAAGTCAATGCACATTAGCTCGCTGTGTATTTCTCTTCAATCCAGATACTTTCACCCAGACAGTGAAGCACTGGAACTGGATGTGAAGTTCTGGGAGTTGAGGGACAGTATCGTACAGTGTGAGCTTCTCATCCTCCGGCAGCTTAACTTCCAAGTGTCCTTTGATCATCCACACAGGGTAATGCATGTGACGGGTACCTTCTTCTCAACTAGATTTTTTTTGTATCCGCAATATATCTGTTTTCCAAAGAAAAGTAAAGTTGTATATTTGTGATAAAACATAGTGTAAATAAATGATGACAGAATTCATTATTGGGAGAACTATTGTATCAAAATTTTAAAAATGGATGGTTTGCAAATTGAAGTCTATATTGTTTACTGTACCTTATGTGTAAAACAATATACACTTTAAAATAATATAATCAATTTACAACAATGAGGTAAAGAACTAGTTTTTTTTTTTTTTGCTTGCATTTAATCACAAGGCAACTGTAAAATGTAAGTTAAAGTGTTTATTTTTTTCACAGACACAAATAAAGTTGAAACATTAATATGACTACTTGGGAATAATTTAAACATTTTTTTTAAATAGATTAATACTAAATAGGAATATTTACAAAACTAAAAATGTTAATAAAATCTATAATAATATACAAGTAATATTGGTATTTGCAAAATCTTTCATATTCAAAGTTATTTGATTTTATTCTTATTATTGATGTCTTTTAGCAATTTCTCCTTATGAATCTTTGCTTTATGAATTCTAGATCCTTTTTGTGCATTTATTTCATTCTCGATTGTCAACAATTTTGTGAATTGAATGAATTCTATTTTGATAAATTGCAACATTACTCTCATCTTTGTACCTTCTTTAACAAACTAATGATGTCAAAACATAATTCACTTTTTTTGCACCCCAGTACCTGCTGCACTACCTGCTCTCTGTGAGGAGTCTTTTGAATCGCCACGCCTGGTCTCGAACCCCCATCGCAGAGACTGCCCTGGCTGTATTAAAGGACAGTTACCATGGCTCTGTGTGCATCCGCCATAAGCCTCAACACCTTGCCCTCACCTCCCTCTATCTTGCTCTCCAGACATATGGAGTGCAGCTCCCCAGAGGAGAACGAGAATGGTGGCAGGTAGGAGTTTTACAGTTTCATGTGGCGAAAAAACATAAGTTCAGGCAGCATTTGGGTCATGCTGTGTTATGCATTGAGTCACCAAGACTAGTTGGAGCCTCACTGGTCCAGAGCTGAATCAGGCATCAATTGAGCCACGATTTCAGTAACCTTTAGAGTGCTGGATGTTGTTCCCATGGCAATAGGGGCACCTAATGGTTGCTGCTTGGTCTGAGAGAAATAGCTTTGTCTTTCACACAAGTTCCCTTGGTGACACCCCCGAGTAATATTTAAAAAGAACCAAACCATTTCATATGTTTCAAAGCACTCTTAAAGCCACTTGCTTTGCTTCAGTTTCCTAGAATTCTGTTAAGTGCTATCACGAGAATACAATAGACTAAGGCCTGATTTCACAGACGGCCTTAGATTAAGCCAGGATTCGGTTTTCGTTCAATTAGGGCATTTAATTAAAAAAAAGTAAACATCAATAAATAAATGTAATAATTATCACACTGCCAAAAGTTCCATATCCCTATGTGATGCCATCTAAGATTGAAGGTTTGTGGTACTATTATAAAATAACAAACCTGTTTAAGGTTACGTACATTTAGCCTAGCTCCTTGAATGTACCATGCCCCACTCTCTGGTTTTGAACGCCTTCTCACTCTTCGTGGGTTTCCTGTTTACAATAACCTATTTAGACTACAAAATGTAGCCCATTTCTGCAATGTATTTGATTTGACACAGGATGACCCAGCAGTTGTTTCACTAAACCACTAAAAAAAACACCACGTCACCAACAAGAGACTAGAGTAGACTCTATTATTAGTTTCCTTAGAACTTAGTTGTCTCAGATAAAGGGTGCAGGTGGTCCAAACTCTTGAATCTGCATTGATGGTTGTTGTTTTTGCTTGTTTCATTGCAGGTTGTTTGTGCAGAGATCACCAAGGCTCAGATTGAGACCATCATGAGTGAATTACTGCAGCTCTATGACATGGAGGCCAAGTGTACCTGAGAGACAAACAAATGAAACTGGTATTAAAACAAAACAACACACTGATCACTTGAGAGCTACGACAATGGTCTTAACGCATTCATTCAACCCTCTTTCTTTTTGATATTGTGATGTAAGCTAATGAGCTCTACATGTTAATTTAAGGCTCTTCAAGAATTAAGAATGATGAGGGGAATTTAGAAATATATTAGGAACCCAGCTTTTTAAGTGGAGGTATGAAAATCAGACTTTAGCCACGGCACATCAATCACTTCTCAGCCATCAACCTACTTTCTTCTCCTACCTTGTGCTATTTTCCCCTTAAGAGGGGGAGAGAAATTACAAAAGAGATGAAATAGCTGGTTTATGAAAGAATGAAACAAAAGAAAAGCCATCCCCGAGCTAAATTGTGAGGTAAAACGTTGTGAGATTTGAGCTCTTTCTTTTATATTTTATTTCAATTACCATACTCTAGTCTTCTCCATACAGATCTTGTCCCAGGAGGCTTCTTTATGTAACTCCCAAAAGCAGAATTATTGTATCATCATCATTTTATTAGAAACCAGACTTCTATTTCAAACTTCAAAAAAAACAACAACAAAAAAAACACTTCACTGATGTGAACTTTTCATATTGTCAGCTTCTGATGTGCATGAACTAACAGACGGATCGTTCTAAGGTCTATATTTAAAAATGTAATTTCTAATAAACATTTTTTGTTCTATAGTTTTTTTGAAAGAACATCTTTATATAGTCTGTCTTTGTAATTTTTTCCCCCATCTATGATGTTCTACTTCAAATTTCTGGATCTAGTTGGGTCAGGACATCGCTCTAGAGTGGATCTTAATAAGTTACTATGGCAACTGCTATTGTGGAGGGAGCCTTTGAAACATACAAATGTGAGACTCCATTATAGCACACCTGTCAACCTCAGCACATCAAATAATTGCGGTCGGGGAAATGTAATAATTTAGTCATCATTTACCAAATCAGTCATTGCTAACATGTTAAACAGCAGTTTCCCCTGTAGCTAACTCAATTCTGTTGACCTGTGACTGCTGCAACTGCTCTATACGGGATTTCAGTATGCAACATTTAGTATTAACATTAATCCCTGAACAAGACGGATTATGAAATCAGTATGATTTAGGAATTGTGTATTTAATCGCTACAAAATATCGTAGTAATTTGTTTGCATGAATTTTATCTACTCCAAATTATTTTATGGTAACATTACATAATGCATTAAGCATTGTGCACTAACAATTTGACAGAATTTATTCATCTTGATTAATGTTAATTTTTAAATACAGTATATTAATACATTTTCTAATGTTAAACAATTAATTTAAAATAATAGTTAATTCACTGTGAACAAACATGAATTTACAATCAACAATTTTAACATTATTAACCTAAGTTAACAAACACTGTAAAAACCATTGTTCATTATTAATTCATGATATTTAATGCATTAACTAATGCACTAAAATTCATATTAGAAAGTTAGTGTTCAAATTTTACAGTTCACCATCATTTGGGCCGATGCAGATGAATGAATTCTCTTGTAAGTAGTTTTAAGGGTGTTTGGGAAAAATATCTGAACATTCCTGCTTCACTCTCGCTCTCTTTTTGCCACGGTTACGTGTACACACACACATACACACACATCTCACAGCAGGCAGGCCCTAATGCTGGGCATCATGAATTATGGAGAGGGTACATGTGCAGCCGGATTCTCTTCCATCAATAAAACATCAGCATGGCCCTCACTATGGGATAGAGTGCTGGGAATAGGAAGGATGGGATTGATTGTGACTCAAACCTTATCTCTTTTGGTTGCCTACTTTCAATCCGTGTCCCTCATTCCTAGATTTTGTCCTGTGTGAAAGCAAGCCTCTCCGTAACATCCTTGGCTCTGTGCTTCCCTCTCATGGAGTCTTTCATCTCTTTCCTGTGCTCTCTCTCTCGTCACTGTCTCATAAATCACTCAACTCTTTTCTCCAATTCAAGGTTTCTCTACTTATATTCATCTCTACCATTCCTCTCCTCTGCTGGTGCTAAATGAGTTATGAATTGGGGTTATTTCTCAAATTGTTTAGTTTCTTCAGTGCACGGCCCAACCTGCAAACAACCCAATCCCCCCATAAAATAATATTTTCCTATTTCTGTACATAAATCATTTTGGAAGGACTACAATATCTTTTGCTGGACATCAGAACTTGTGCCAGTTTTGGGACCGCAGCCAAATCAATCAACTCTTAAAGAGGCAAAGTATTGATGTTCAATTCACAGAGTGTTTAAGAAAATCTAAATTAAAGTGTTGTAATGTATATTTCTGTATTTACAGCACAATACGAGATGGAAAGAAGTGCAGGGGTATCTAGAAACGAGTTAAAGGTAAATTGGAGTAGAAATGGGTTGATTAGCCATTAAAGGAATATATACCCCAAAACTTCAATGAATTAATAAAAACACTCCTTCAAAAATAAAATCATCTTTTATGTTCCACTGAAGAAAGTCATACAGGTTTGGAACAACATGAGAGAGAGTAAATGATGACAGAATTTCGGTTTAATGCTGCAGTGACAAAATCTTCTCAACTCTGCTAAAGTAGCTGCCAAAATGGGAAGCGGTTCAAATCTGATCTCCATCCCAGAAAAGAGAGCCTTTATATGAAAAACATTTGTGTTGAATCCTAGAGATGCTGCTAGAGTTCACAGCCATGGAACGACCTCACTCAGGTAGCTTTGGTGTGGAGTTCTTCAGTAAAGCAGGGAGAAGTAACGCACGATTGGGCGGATTGTTTTGATTGACAGCGAGACTCCATCTGTTGGGTTGGGCTCCAAGGCTGTGATGCACTACCTGCAGGGCTAATGCACGGCAGCTCTCAGGGGGACAGCCATCTCCTAAACCCTCACCTCTGAATTATAGATATAACTCCACATCTGAAACTTTCTCTTTACTTTCCCGGACGTGCCTCACAAATATTTCAGTGTGAGTATACGCCGTCTCGTGTGCACAAGTGAGGAAGAAAGATGTAGTGTTGAAGAGTGTGCATTGGGAGGTAGGCAAAATTGGCATATGTAGGCTTTTTTGTTTTGTTTTTTGCATTTTGGTTGCAATGAAACATGGATCGTTGGTGTGGAAGTGTCAAGCTTAGCCTTGGGAGTGTACTGTGGACAACTAGGTGCAACCTACCAAAAACTGATCCAAGTCTTTGTATTTCCCTCTGTGTTTTTGAGTTAAACATCTGGGAAAGAGCATTTAGTGCTTGTTGTGTGCATGTGTGTTTGCATATTAAGGCTTCAGGAGAGGCACACTTGAGCACTCGTCAGCACATAAAAGCTTTTATTCACTGTTCTGAGAGGCCTACTGCATTAGGGCTATTATATTTGAGTCCGATGTGCTTGGAGACAACTAAAAGATTACACCTGTGTGATAGTGCATCTGAATTTATGATTTGAAAACACTACAGGAAAGTCTATCTATCTATCTATCTATCTATCTATCTATCTATCTATCTATCTATCTATCTATCTATCTATCTATCTATCTATCTATCTATCTATCTATCTATCTATACTTTTTCCTACCTACCTAATCGTTCATGTGGAATATATAAATAAATACAAAATTGTACATCTTATTTCCTCTTATTTCATATAGGCCTTTCTCTGTTAGAGGCATATTAGCCCATCATTTAAATATTTATTAATTTATAAAAAAAATATTTATGTACAATTCCATAACTAATAAACCTGGTCAAGAACTACAGGAAACGTATGAACTCTGTAATTGCAAACAAAATTTTCTGTACCAAATATTAAGGTTGGTTTTTTCAGATGTATCATGTCATTCAATAAAAATGCAAATGATACTTAAAAATCATACAATTCGATTTTATGTTTTTTTGTTTAAGATTCCGTCACACAGTTGAAGAGTAGGCTACAAATTACAGACTTCTACATGCTTTGTAAGTGGGAAACCTGCAAAATCGGCAGTTTATCAAATGCTTGTTCTCCCCAGTCCCCACTGTGTATGTATGTATATATATATTAGCTTGAGATGACATTGCAGTTTCTTAGCACCTTCGTTGTCTTACGATGAATTTTTTTATAAAATAATTTACTTTAAAAAACCTCTTGTGGAAATGTAGTCTATTGGTACCTGTTTCGCGGAATGAACTGGACGCCTCTCCGTTCTGTCCTTGCATTAACTCGGAGGTTTGAACTCGGCGCATTTGGCATGTTGTGTGAGCTGACGTGATCGCACTGTAACGGAGCAAAGTGGGAGGGATTTGAGGGTGGAAAGAGAGAGAGAGTCCCCCGCGCCTCCTCCTTTCCGTCCTCTCCATCCGCGCGCATAGCAGCCCGCGCGGATGCTGCGTCCACGGTCCTCAGCGTGCAGCTCAGCGAGGGGCACTCATCACACATCGCATCTAAAATCAAAATACCGCATCACCTCGCTTCACCACCTTTTTGATTTACACGTTCAAGAAGAAGCTTAAAAACAAAGAAAACACATTTGCCTTCTGTGACACATTGGTCAGGACAGACATCTCAAAACGATGTCTCCATCTCTCATTTTTTCCTCTGCGGAACCTCCATCTAACCAGGCAACAACTGCACTATTTTAGGATCCATCATCTCCTTCCGTAGTAAACACACTGCTGAACACCTGGCTGATAAAGGACGGCATGATAACAGCTACTGAGTGAATCCAGCCGCTCTGTTTCTCCGGGATATTCCCCTTTCCCAACAAACCACGGCAATGTCCTTGGAGCATGGCCTGGTGAGTATCTGATATTTACACCAATAAGGATGTGCTTGCCATGGTAACAGTTGGCAGTTCATTTTTTATTAATGACCGCTCTCAGTCATACTGTTAAATTGCCCTTGCATATGTTTTTCTAATGCAGATCTATTCGTCATGTATATTGTGATAGCTGTCCGGCACGTTAAAACTACTGCATTAAAGCCTTAATAATCTACTTGTTTAATAATTATTTCCAATGACACGTTTTCTCATCTATGAGGTGTTTTTCTGACTATTTACCATTCCCTTTCTTTTAAATGTGTTGAACTCTATGGCTTCCCGGGGTGTTCTGACATTTTCCTACATAGAAAATGTATCATGCACTCTCGTTTTGTAAGCCTACTAAGTACACGTACACCCAGCTAATAGTTGTGTTGTTTTTGTCTAACATGTCTGTGCGTGTGCATCTCACACTGGTACCCACACTGGTCACCTTGCGGAGGGGCATTGCGCTTATTCCGGATGCGAGTGGCGCACCATCCTCTCACGACCAGCATCTTCGCGCTAATAATTCAATTAACATCGCGAGCCGCTCACAAGACTCAAAAGAAGCCCGTTTTGTTCGTGACTACCCGGGCTGTCGGGCTGGCTTTTGTGTGAGGACCGGTCGCCCTCTGAAGGTGACCAGTAAAGGTCATTTTATTGTGGAAAACCGCGCGATGGGAAACGCACCTGGAGCGCGGTGTGGGAACTTCACTGTCTGAGTTGCTCATGATGCTCTGCTGTTATTTTCCTTGCGGACTTTCCCCCCTTCCTGCTGCAAGGTGTGTGAAGTATGCTGGGTGTGGGGCGAGGAGAGATGGGGTAGTTGTAGTCTCGCATGGCTCAGACAGCCCGGTGACCGTGATGAGTCCGTAAATCTATACTCGACTCTGATTGGCCATTTACGTATGACCGTCAACGCAGGA